AGCACCCCTGCCGGCTCTTCTTCGACTCCTGCTTCGTCGTCCACCCCCGCTGGATCTTCTACCCCGGCCGGTTCCACCGGTCCTTCTAGCACTGGCCCTGCTGGCTCGACCACCACTGGTCCTTCTGTCACTGGCCCTGCCAGCTCGACCACTACTGGCCCTGACGGCTCGGCCACTGGTCCTTCTGTCACCGGCCCTGCTGGCTCGACCACCACTGGTCCTTCTGTCACTGGTCCTGTCTCTACCGGTCCTTCTAGCGCCGGCCCTGACGGCTCCGTCACCTTGACCACCACGACCGTTTACACCACTACACTCATCACTGTCACCCACTGTGGCCCCACCGTGACCAACTGCCCTGCCTCTTCCACCGTTACTACACACACTGTTATCCCGGTTAGCACTATCGTCAGCTCCATCAGCAGCGCTTCCTCTGGTGTCCCCACAGGCCCTGCCACTGGCATTCCCACCGGTCCCGGTGGTGCTTCTACCTTCACCACAATCCCCATTGGTGGCAAGCCTACCGGCTCTGTGCCCGGTGGAAACCCTGGTGGTAACCCCCCAGGCAGTGTTCCCTCTGGTTCGGCTCCTTCTGGCAGCTCCAACCCTGGTGCACCTGGTGCCAACCCTTCAGGTGGCGTTCCTACCGGCCCTGCTGGCACTGTCCAGCCCGGCAACCCCTCGGGTCCCGCCCCTACCGGCCCCTCCAAGCCCGGCAACCCGGGTGCCAACCCCACGGGCGTTGCCCCCACGGGCTCTTCCAAGCCCGCCAGCCCCTCGGGCGCCGTCCCCAGCAGCCCTACTAAGCCCAGCACGCCTGTAACGGCGGGTGCTGGTCGCGTTGAGCTTTCTGTCATTGCCGTCATTGGCATGGCTCTTCTTCTGTAAATGGTCTTTGCGCTCTAACAGACGCAGCCATCTGAATGTACATCTATAATATTTGACATCGTGTAGAGACTATTTATATCCCATAATAGAAGATTTTTGGTTTATTCAGCGAGCTTGTGATTTCTCTGCCTCGCTAGGCATATCTGTTCTTTGCTATTGAGGCGTTGCTGCTTGAGTAAATTTACAACATACTTGATCCATCGCTGCATACATATCTATGTTCCGAACTTCTGACGTCCATTTCGGGGCCCGTATGATTCGTTGCTGCTTTTCTGCCAAGCTTCCAAGACGAAATACTTGTCCGTCTGCAACAAGCCTTTGGTTGCACGTACGAATCTAGGGCTGCTCAGAATGGTCGGTGCGTGTGATTGTCTACCTGCTGCTTGCCTGCCTGCCTTCCGCAGGTGGCACTCCGTGGGAGTCGTCCAGAGTTGCCACAGACACGACAGGGTGTTGCATTTCCGTAAACGAAGTCTGATACATAATGTAGGATGTACCCATGTTGTATTATTCATCTGGACACACCCTCTTTTGAACTCTAGCATTGGTACTTATGAAGATTGCCGCCAGTGAAGCCGCGTTAAGTCGGCAAGGTACCAATGAGAGATGTCAATTGTCCATAATAATAGGGTCAAGTCACTCAACAGTATGACGGGCTAGAGCACCACTGCATACCAAGCGATATGTCACAGCATTTAAGAAGTCGGTATCCTGCGACGGTGTTGCGCTCATCAATCAATCGCATCTCAAAACTCCATTGAATTATTCACTACCTTTTACATTTGGGCTCAAAGTGGTATCTAAACTTCACAATGTCATCTATCGGAATAATTGGCGCGGGAAATGTCGGCTTTGCTCTCGCTGTCGACCTCGCTGATCAAGGGAACGATGTCGTCTTGCGGACGACGACAGGGCATCCGGGAAACACTCGAAAGATCCAGGACAACCATGGTTTCTTAGTTGCTACAGGCCAGTTCAAGGGTTGTTTTTCTGTCAAAGTCAGCCAAGGGTTCACGCAGCTTAAAGAGACCATTCTTTTTGTTGCTATTCCATCAACAGGCATCGACGAGGTCCTTGGCGAGCTTGCTGGATACGACTTGCGCAAAACGATTCTCATCTTTATTACAGGACACGCTGCTTCTATCAAGGCACATATGAGAACAAACGCGAAAGCCGTTTTGGAAACGGCCACATCGCCATACAGCTCGCGAATCAGTGCGGACGGGAGCATCGGCGTCCGGGCCATCAAGAAACGCCTCACGCTCAGTGTCCTTGGTGCCAACATCAGCCAAGACGATGCGACTAAAGTGGACGTATTATTTCGGATGCAGGTGGAGTGGTGCCCGAGTGTCTTGCAGACGTTCTTGTCCGGCGTCAACGGCGTCGTTCATGTGCCGACGGTCCTGATGAACCTGGGGTGGATGGAGACGACGAACGGCAACTTTTACTTTTACCGCCAAGGAATGAGCCCAGGCGTGTGCAGTGTCATTGAAGCGTTGGACAAGGAGCGACTCGCCGTCGCCGCGGCATACAATGTGCGCATCCTGTCGGTGGTGGAGACGTACAATGTCAACTACGGCACAAACGAGGTTACCTTTCGCGACTTTGTCGACAAGACGGTGGCACACAACTCGACAAAGGGGGCGCAGAAGCGATTCCTAGCCCAGGACGTGCCGTACTGGCTAGTGCTCTGCTCTGAGCTAGGCCTGTTGGCTGGAGTTCCCACCAAGTGTATTGACACCATGATCATATTGGCGTCGATTCTCACGGGCACAAATTATAGGGCTACGGGAAACACGCTCAAGTCTCTAGGGCTTGAGCGTGCGACGGTGGAGGAAGTCATTCGGGCTTTCCGAGGTGGCGATTAGGGTGACGTTGGTGTATAGTCCGTCATGTCGCACTAGCACAGATCCTGCAGGTATAAGTAACTCTAAATTTTAAGTTATTTTTTGTTCTCAACTATGTATTGAGCAGTTGACCATTGTCTTCTACCTAGTAAAGGTGATGTAGAGTCGTATCGACGAACCAGTAGATCGATGTTGGCTTCCTTTGCTGTCTGCTTGGAGGAGGATCGATCTTGTAATTTCAGGTCTAAGTTCTTTTTTCTTTGGGAATCTCATTTACTAGCTAGATCGAACTCTGGCAACGTTTGCCACCACAAGATTCCGACCGCGGAAGCGTGGCTTGCTTGGCCTGCTGATTATTTTGGTGAGACGCTACTGCCGTCCACGAGAGCACAGATGAGAGCTTTGCGGAACGGGGCACTGATGTGGGAGGACGAAAGCATAACTGTCTGGGACAATTGAAACTTGCCTCACAATGCAGATGTCGCTTGGGGGCATGGTCAGAGACGCCACATTGCATGGCTTACCTTGCACCGTTGGGCGGGGAGCCTTCTGAGACACGGCACGTGGCGAACTAGAGTATTGAATAAGCATGTGCCGGTGATGTAGTATTTTTAGTATACATTTCAAGCTAAATTGAACTAAAGTCTCAATATGAATTGTGTCCCGGCGCTGTTTGATACAGACACCAGATGGTCTGTGGCCCTGCGGGGAGCAACAAGCTGGAGCTCGTTTGCTATACAGCAAAGTTTGCTCCCCCCCCGCGCGATATCAGGAAACAATTAAGCTTGATAAGATGCACGCTTGGCTATGCACAATCCCGATTTCTGGTATCTGCGTCAGGCATGTCTCGGATGGCCACCAGGGCGCCAAGGCCTGGCGCCGTTCCCACCAGTCGTCGTTCGGTAGCCTTTTCGTAGATACTTTTTGTGAGACCCATTAATCGAATCACAATACTAGCCGTGATGAGATCACTGATTTTGGCAATCGGGTTGTACGGCATGCGGTGACGCGGCGAGAGAACGAGGTCTGTTTTCTACGCCCTCCCACAAACTGTAAAGCTTGGAAAGGCTTGGCCATGTCGCACTCGTGTTAAGCTTATTAGAAAAAGCTGCAGTCAGAATTCATTCGATCGCGACTTGCTTCTCGACAGTTACATGGGAAGTAACACCTTAGCAGGTCCAATACCACCCAGTCCATCCAATTGGCTGACTCCGAGGGGCGGGTAGGCTTCAAAGATGAGCCACCCAAACCCGGACTTCCGTGTTAGTCTAACGCGTCAGTAAATGGATGCTACACTGATAACCAGCACAAAATACTAGAGATGTTTGTCTTGAATAGCCGTTGTGTAATCGTGGATGCAGTATGTCTCCATAGCACCTTCGCCGAAACCGGCCAACTCAGGCTTCCAGGGCACTTGCCAATTGTGAGTGTAGGCCTTGCGCCGACAATTTCGTTTCCTTTTCTCGATTCGGATGTTTAATCTTGATGAATGAAGCCGAATATCCTGCGATGGATACTATCAGCACTATAAAGTCACTCTCCGTGGGCTGTGTCATTCGACGCGCGGGGAGTGGCCTCAGAAACGCCGCGTTTTTCTTGTGGAAATGGTCGGTTCCATACAGAAACAGAAACATGCCTGAAGATGAATCTTATGCAGCTATATGGAAGACACCGCTCGGAGGGATATGCACACAAACGGTCCTGGGTAGTGTCTTCGCAGACATTGCCGCCGAACAACTACCTGTCGAGGAGGAGGAGATACGGCAACTTATCCGGCTGCGAATTCCACCGCGAAGAGATGCGACAGAGATAACTAGAGAGAAAGAAGAGAATCAGAAGCACCTATGGGAGCGAGAGCCCGAGGAAGCCTGGCCGCACGTTCCAGAAAATATTCGGCTTATGCTGGCGGCTGCCAATGCGAAACATATGGAAGATAAGCTGCAATTACTGAGCGACGAAAATTACCATCCCTCACCAGGCCTCGAAGCTTTACTGCGACACAAGGCTGCGGTCAACAAGACATTTCGAATTTGGCGATGCGGATTTGCTGACGGCGTGAGCCGCACAGAGCGAATCGGTGTCAAGATTTTCTTCCTGTTTCTCATGTTTTGCTCCGTCTACCCAAACGTTGCGGCCGGGTTTCTAGACGAACGATCTTACAATCAACGCTCGATTGGCAGCAGAATCATGACTTTGGTTCAGCTCTTCTTTCTTTGGACGTTTCCTTACCACACGCTATGGCTGCTCTTCAACTGGAGCCTTGAAAGACTCTTGGGTGGCTTGGTGGGAAGCACTGCCTATGCATTAGCTGCCATCTTCCCGGCTGTACGCGCCATTTACAAAGAGCCTTGGTTCCGCACAATGATCCTGGTCTTGACCATTGCATGGCAAATGGCTGTTCAGTTCTCACCGGCCGTCCGCAACTACATTGTACGACTTTTGACGCGCCATCAGATGAATCGCCAGCGGCGAAAGAGCCAGAATAGGGGGCTATACTGGGCCTTGGTCGACAAAGCTGTCCATCACGAGCTTGTCCCGCTCGAGGCACACATCGAGCAGCAATCAAGATTTGGAGCTACTGCGCAGTCTTGGCAGGATGTTCCTATTAGAGTGCGGGTGGAAAGATATATCCGATTTACACGCTGCTTTCATGTTGGACGCGGGGCCGAGCAACTCATTGGCCTCCTGAAGGATGACATGGAAGGCATTGTGAACGTCTACCAGGACTACCTTTGGTCTGCAACGGCTCTGTCGGATGAAGAGATGCTGGAAAAGACAGTGAATGATCACGTGGAGCCACGAATGCCAAAGTTCATGCTGGTCGTTTTCGATATCATCGTGTTTGCCTATGTCTGCTTCTCCTTTTGGTCGCAGTCCTTTACCTTCAACACGGTCGTGGCGTACAGCGCTGTGGTGGTACTCAAGCAAAGCATTCTCCTCTGCAAGCGCTACCAGACAGTGGCCAATGCAAGCAGGCTGTTCACCAACATGGTCGCGTTCAATATTTGGGGTATATTTCTGTCATCAATGCCAGTCACTGTGAACGAGAATGTGCTTCAAGACACTGGCAACTGGGTGGCCTTGACGTTAGCCATGGTATTTGCAACAAATTTCTTGATCGAACCCATTGCTCCTTTGTTTCTGAAAATGACAGAGAAGATGGTGACCGCTTTTCCTGGCCCAAGGGGGAATTAAGAAGAGAATTGGGTGTGCTGGATGCTGCGCAAGCAGAACGACACGCAGACTGTCAGCAGTTAAGACTTGAGGAGTTTCCAGCTTTCACTGACGTAAAGGAAGCAATTAGACGGTATTTTATGCCAATCCCTTTATTTGCCAACCTGGTGACATTTTGGTCTGTGTTTGAAAGTTTTGAGATGCCGTGCCTTCTCATGGTTGACCGTCGCGCTAGTCCTAGTTAGGGAGCTCTCACTCCTCCTGGAGGGACAGCTGTCACAGTGCGAGGGGTCTAGTGTTCCAGTCTGTAACCAGCATCATCTTGTCTCTATATATCCAGTTCGGGCTGGCAGGGCTGCAGATTTGTGCTTCGTCTGCAGATGCTTCATACTTGAATTCAATTGCTTCCACTCCTTTGTCGTAGCCCGCCACCCGTTGACGCGAGCTCGTCACAATGGGGCTGCGTTCGCCATGGACGACTCTGCTCATCGCATTGGGCATCTTCATGTGCCTTGTGATACCTGGAGGCAAGTCAATATTTTATCGAGATGGCCACGTGTCTACTAACATAACAGCAGTATCCGTCAAGGAACACGATTTCAAGAAATGCGATCAGTCAGGCTTCTGCAAACGTAACCGAGCATATGCCGACAAAGCCACCGCCGAAAGCTCACGATGGCAATCGCCGTACCAAATTCAACCTGCATCCGTATCCTTCAAAGACGGCCAATTCCATGCTGTCGTTCAAAAGACAGTCAACGCCAAGGGCGACACCGTTAATCTGCCGATTACCGTTTCGTTCCTCAAGTCTGGCAACGCCCGCGTCACGGTCGACGAAGAACGACGACAGAAGCAAGACATTGAGCTGCGTCACGACAGCAAAATTCGAAAGGAAAGATACAACGAAGCCGAGAAATGGGTTCTTGTTGGTGGCCTGGCCCTCGACAAAGATGCCAAGGTATCTCACCAAGACGACACCCAAACCAACATCCAGTACGGCAAGGACGGTAATCTGGAAGCCGCCATCAGGTACTCGCCTCTTGAGATTGATTTCCGACGCGACGGCACATCTCATATCCGTTTCAATGATCGTGGACTTCTCAACATGGAGCACTGGCGTCCTAAGATTGACAAGGAAGAGGGCCAGGAAGACACGCAGGGTGAGGACGAATCGACCTGGTGGGAGGAGACCTTTGGAGGCAACACCGACTCCAAGCCCCGTGGTCCTGAGAGCATTGCCCTTGACATTTCATTCCTCGGATACGATCATGTCTTTGGTATTCCCGAGCACACTGGCTCTCTTTCACTGAAGCAGACTCGTGGCGGAAACGGCAACCATGACGAACCTTATCGACTGTACAACTCTGATGTGTTCGAGTACATCTTGGACAGCCCCATGACACTTTACGGATCCATTCCCTTCATGCAAGCCCACAAGAAGGACTCCACTGTCGGTGTCTTTTGGTTGAATGCTGCTGAGACTTGGGTTGACATTGTCAAGTCCAAAGCTGCTACGAACCCTCTGACGCTCGGCAAGAGTGGCAAGACCAACACCGAGACGCACTGGATTTCCGAGAGTGGCTTGCTTGACGTCTTTGTCTTTCTTGGCCCGACTCCCCAGGATCTTACCCGAACCTACGGCGAGCTGACTGGCTATTCTGCCATGCCTCAGGAGTTTGCCATTGGCTACCACCAGTGCCGATGGAACTACATCTCTGACGACGATGTCAAGGACGTGGACCGCAAGATGGACAAGTTCAAGATCCCTTACGACGTCATTTGGCTGGACATTGAGTACCTTGATGACAGAAAGTACTTTACCTGGGATCCTCATTCGTTCACTGACCCCACTGGAATGGGCAAGCAGCTGGACGACCACTCTAGACAGCTTGTCATTATTATCGATCCGCATATTAAGAAGTTGGAGGGGTACCCCGTCTATGATCAACTCAGCTCTCAGGATTTGGCTGTTAACAACAAAGAGGGCAAGGCCTACGAGGGATGGTGCTGGCCTGGATCATCCAATTGGATCGACTGCTTCAACCCCAAGGCTATTGAATGGTGGAAGTCGCTGTACAAGTACGACAACTTCCCTGGCACCGCGGAGAATACCTTTATCTGGAACGACATGAACGAGCCGTCCGTGTTCAACGGCCCCGAGACCACCATGCCCAAGGACAATATCCACTTCGACCAGTGGGAGCACCGTGATGTCCACAACCTCAACGGTCTTACATTTCACAATGCAACATTTGAGGCTCTCAAGACGCGCAAGAAGGGTGAACTGCGCCGTCCCTTTGTACTCACTCGCTCATTCTACTCTGGCTCCCAGCGTCTCGGAGCTATGTGGACTGGTGACAACCAGGCTAACTGGGAGCACCTTGCCGCCTCAATTCCGATGGTTCTTAACCAAGGGATTTCTGGGTTCCCCTTTGCTGGTGCTGATGTGGGTGGCTTCTTTGGAAATCCTTCGAAGGATCTGATGGCCCGCTGGTACCAGGCTGGTGCCTTTTATCCATTTTACCGTGGACATGCTCACATTGACTCTCGTCGTCGTGAGCCATACCTACTTGGAGAGCCCTACACCGGCATCTTGACCCAGGCCCTGAGACTGCGATATGCTCTGCTTCCCTCTTGGTACACGGCCTTTTTCCAGGCAAACCGTGACGGCAGCCCTATTGTTCGCCCAATGTACTGGACTCATCCTTCGGAAGAGGGCGGCTTTGCTATTGACGATCAGCTGTTTGTCGGCTCGACGGGCATCCTTGTGAAGCCTATCGTGGAAGAAAACAAGTTCTCGACTGATATTTGGATTCCGGACAACGAGGTCTATTATGACTACACGACGTATGATGTGGTTAACACACAAAAGGGCAAGCGCGTCACGATCGCCGCTGCCATTGACCAGATTCCGATGCTGATGCGTGGTGGTCATGTGTTTGCACGCCGCGATGTTCCCCGGCGATCCGCCCTGGCGATGAAGTATGACGACTACACGTTGGTCGTTTCTGTCTCCAAGGATGGCACTGCCGAAGGCGAACTGTATGCCGACGACGGCGACACATTTGAACACGAAAAGGGCCAGTATATCCACCGCAAGTTTAGCCTTGAAAAGGACGGTGTAAGCTCGGTTGATGCTGAGGGCCGAAGCGCAAAGTCTGCCAAGGCGGGCGCGTGGCTGAAGGCGCAGAGCCGGGTGCACGTCGACAAGATTATCATTGTGGGCGCCACGGACGCGTGGAACACGAAGGAGGTGGGGATTGAATCCGAGGGCAAGACTTGGACGGTACAGGTCAGCTACCGTCCGGCGACCAAGAGCCAGGCGGCGTATGCTGTCGTGGGCCGCGTCGGGGCCAAGATTGGCAGCGACTGGCGCATCAAGCTGGCATAGGTGGAGATGAAGAGTAGTGTAGTTGACGCGCGAGAAACAAGAGACGAATGTAAAAATAGACGCCATCTAGAGATGTACAATGGAACACAGTGTTGTGCAGTTGTTCAAGTAAGTCCCAAAGTGCCTGAAAAGCGTCCTTGTAGCCACAGCCTGCCCGTGCCGGCTTCCAATTACATGACCGTCTTCCTACCAGGGCGCACGCTAGCCGACACGAAATATACGCCACCTCACCCTCGAATTCCCGTCATCCTCATTAATTCATCTCTTGGACCCCTTTCTTGTGGTCCACACCTGTCGCTCTCTTGCTGCCGACTGCGACTTGTCGGCGCAAGCAATCAAACCATGACGCAAGCCGCCCTGCCGCCGCGGCCACGAGGCGGCGCGCGTGCTGCGGGAGTGCGGCGGGACGGGGATTCCGGGAGTGCGGCGGGACGGGGATTCCGGGCGGAGGGCGCTTTCTGTTTCCTTAATTGGCGTGTGGCTGGCCATGTGGCCCGTCAACTTGGAAGGCTGCTATTTTGACAATAAGAATTGATTAAATGATAACAAGCTAAACCTAATTAGTATAACCCACATAGCCACTCTACCAAGTTTTATAGGGGATAGTACTAGCGTCAATTCTTAATAAGTATTAATTATATCTCTTAAGGCTACTATAATAGCTAGAATTAATAAATTCACTATAATAAAGCTAGTAACTAGAATTAATAGTTAATAATTAACACTACTAGCGGCGTTGATTATTAACTTATTAAGGCGTTATTCTAGCCCCTAAATTTATAATAATAATATCTATTATATCGCCCGTATCGCCCGTATCGCCCGTATCGCCCGTATCGCCTATATCGTCTATATCGTTAATCGTCGGAATCGTTGATCTCTGCATCGCTGCCTAAGAGGCTGCCTAGTGCCTACCTTGCGGCGCTGTTGAGGGAGCTATTAAGGCGGGAAAACAAAACACTAGAAGAGGCCATCACGAGATTAAGCTGCTAGTATTAACAGTGGTTGTTGGAGTCCTGCTCTCAAATTAGGTAGTGACTAGCGTTGCGCTAGTTAGCGTTGATATCCACTACGACCTATAAATACCTAATTAGGTTTAGCCTGTTGTTATTTGATCAATTCTTGTTGTTCAAATAGCAGCCTTCGTCAACTTGCTCGTCCCGGGCAAGCACGCGGATCAAAGTCGATACGTGCTCTTCTGGCCGCGCGGGTATTGCGGCAGCAATGTCATACGGAACGCGGGTACCTGGGTAGTCTGTGGTAAGGTACAGGGACGCGACGTGGATGGTATTCAGACGGGTGCGACGAATCTTTGTCAAGCGGTCCGGCCGCAGTAGCAAATTTCATTGCTATATTTGGGATACTCAAAGGAGACAATGTCAGGGATATTCAGCTCTGATATTAGAATGTCTCAGTAGATGGCTGCATCAACGTATGAATTGAAGCGATGGCTATTAGTTCCAGTATTTCCCAGTCACTCGAGCAAAAGACGTTCTAGATGGAGAGGGCAAAGATGTCAGGCAAAAGCAGCATTCATTCAATTCTATGTGGTACAAAGTTATCAACCATGGCTATTATATTATATCTTTAGAATTTTTATCTGAGATCGATCTCTGCTTTTTGGGGGTTGCTGTTTGGCTCAGCCCCCTGTGGCAGTTGCATTGCACAAAAGGGCTTGCCTCATACCAACCTCCTCCCTGCCGTCTTTCCCATCCAACATCCAACCCATCTTCGCATCATCATCAACCTCACATCTCCCCTGAAAAAAACGGGCAAAAAGCATAGACGTGAAGTAGCTGGGGTGAGCAAACAATTCAACACCTGCAACCTCTCAATCCCCATTGCGAGCCGATTGGTAAACCGCCCCCAGTCCCGTCCCGTTTATCACGCCACCATCAGAACCTCGGCATCATCATCAACGCCGCCACTGCCATCGCCCCAGTTTCTGCATAGCCTCAGAAAAAAGAAGAAATCAAAAGACCATGTCGACTCCGCCGTCCCTCACGACTAGTGTGCGGCAGCACGCCGCCGGCGCGTACCAGTACGCCCAGCGGTCCCTCGACCGCGTCGTCGAGCCCGAGACGCGGTTGCGAGTCTACGACGCCTCGTACGCGCTGGCGTCTACCCGGCCTCTAATTTTTGTACGTTTTCTCTCCCCGGTACCTCTGCCTCTGCCTTTTTTTTCTGTCTTGGCTCTCTTTCTATTCATTTCCCGCCGTCCTCTTGGCCTCGTCCTCGCTAACAACCAAAAAAACGCTTAGTCCGCCGCCGTTGCGCTCCTCTTCTTTTCCGCGCTACCCATCCTCCTCTTCGCCGTCTTTTCTGTGTGCGTCGCCAGCATGGCCGTCGGCGGCGGCATCCTCTTTGCCCTGTTTTGGCTCGCCCTCGGCGTTTTGGTACTCGTCCCCACGCTCGCCGTCACCTCGGTGCTCGCCCTGGTCGTCTGGGCCTGGGTCGTCGGCAGCTTCATCGTGGTGCGCGCCATGTACGGCGCCGTTGTTAAGTGGGATGCTGGTCGTTATCCGGCCGGAGCCGAGATGAAGGGGCTGCGGCAGCAGCAGCAGCTCAGACAGCCGCCGCCTGTACCCCAGACTCGACCGGAGAAGAAGTCGGCCAACGGCAATGGGCAGGACACTAATGCAGCGGTGGACAGAGATGCTTAGAGGTATTGGCATGTGCGGGCGGGAGTTTAATAATGTCATGGCTCGCTCTACAGTGAACGAAAATCGGGGGTGATGGATGAATGCATGGTTGAACGATATATACATATACCCAGATTGGCGAATTAGCTCGTAAACTTAATATAATTCATGTGCGCACCATGTTGAGCGTTTCACGTCATACGTTCAGTGCCATTTACAACATGTCTATTTATCATCTGCCGCAAGAGTCTTCCGCCCCTGTCACACTAGTCACACACTCCTAATTACAAGTACAGACCCTCGGGCTCGCCCTCCTGCTTTGTCTTGAGCACACGCTCCCTGGCCGTGCGGAAGTCGCCCATTTGCACGCGCATGCGGCGCTCGCGCAGTGCCATCATACCCGCCTCGGAGCAAATAGCCTTGATGTCGGCGCCAGACAGGTCGTCTTTTTGCGAGATGAACTCCTCCAGGTCCACGTCGTCGCTCAGGCTCATCTTGGACGTATGCAGTGTGAAGATCTTGCGCTTCGTGTTGGTATCAGGGTTCTCAAACAGGATCTTGCGATCGATACGTCCGGGCCGGATCAGCGCCGGGTCCAGCGTTTCGATCTTGTTGGTCGCCATGATAACCTTGACGTCGCCGCGGTCGTCAAAGCCGTCGAGTTGGTTGAGCAGCTCCAGCATGGTTCGCTGCACTTCACGCTCACCGCCCGATGTAGAGTCATATCGCTTCGTACCAATCGCATCAATCTCGTCAATAAACACAATAGAGGGTGCGTTTTCTCCGGCCACCTGAACGAGTTAGCCTCTACCAATATTCAATGTACCAAGCTTCTTACCTGGAATAATTGTCGAACAAGCCGAGGGCCGTCACCAAGATATTTCTGAATCAACTCACTCCCCACAATGCGGAGAAATGTGGCTGATGTTTGGTTTGCCACAGCCTTGGCCAACAGTGTTTTGCCAGTACCAGGCGCACCGTAGAGAATGACACCCTTGGGTGGCTTGATACCCATCTCCTCGTACAGCTCAGGATGCAGTAGTGGCAGCTCGACAGACTCTCGCACCTCCTGGATCTGCTGCTCGAGACCACCAATATCGGCGTACGACTCTGTCGGCGCCTTATCAAGCTTCATGACGGTGACAAGAGGGTCCGCGTCGTCAGTAAGAACGCCAACGATGCTGACACTTTTATGGTGAAGGAGGACGCTGGCGCCAGGCTCTAAGAGGTCTTTGTCGACAAAGCTCATGATGCTGACATAGTATTCAGGCCCGGTTGTGCTACTGACAATGGCGTGATCGTCATCAATCAGCTCCTCCAGCGTGCCTACGCCCATCGGGCTGCCTCTCATGTCGTCAACCCGGCTGCGTTCGTCGGCGTTTCGGTCAGCGTCGGCCTCAGATGAAGTAGCCTGACCCTCCTTGGCAGACTTGGCCTTGCGCAACCGTTCCTGGTTCTCGACGTACTCCTCCTCGAGCAGCAGGTGGTCGTGAATGCGCTGCATGCGGAGCAAGCGCAGCTTGCATCGGCTCGTGGGGAAGACGGCAGGCAGCTTGGCGGCGGCGCTGGTGCCGCCCTGCTTACGCTTCTTGCGGCCAACGCGGGTTGTAGGCCTTGGGGGCGGCTCGTACTTGGGCTTATCCTTCTGTTGCGGTGGTTAATCGGGGCCGGCCCAATGCATCCAAATAATCGTTCTCCAAAGTGTCCGTACCTTCTTGTCCTTATCCTCTCGTCCCTCTCCGCCTCCGCCTCCCATGCCAGATTGACCTTGGCCCTGCGAGATCGGTCAGCGAAACGTTACCTGGCAGGGCAACCGGTTGAAAGAGCTCACCATCTTGACTTGTCAAGCTCAAGGAGCCTGCAAAAATGACCAACTAGATCTAGAATGGCGTAAGAGAAGGTTTCGATTATGCTGCGAATCAATCGGGGTCGTGTTGATGCAATTCGCTGCGATGGTGGGAGATGAGAAGCGCATGGATGACGGGGGAGCAAGCAAGCTGTGTTGCCATCAGGCGCCAGCGACCGCGACAGCTGCGGATGGGTCACGTGTAACAACAGCCTGGCTGACTCAGCCAACACCGACCGCTGCGGTCAATGTGGCAACAACAGTGCACATATTGAGCGCCAAAAAAGTCAACAAAAAATGGGATTAAATGAATTAATTGACAGGAGACTTTTTGTCTAAAAAGTTATGTGCAGCGCAGCGGCGACCTGCTAGCCTGTGTCAGGCAACTTGCACTTACAAAAGCAACGAAGCAGATCCGAACCGTAAAATGATGCCGTCGAGTTCACCCCTTTTGTAGCTAGGTATCCATAAAACACCAAACACAAAATGCTTGATATACATAAAAGCCTCTGGCGGCATCAAAATGAATATAATATAAAATCCCCCGCAATACAACCCAGTTTAAGCTTACTATTCTAACTCCAGTCTTTACAGAGTAAGGAGGGCAGCCATGGCTACTACGCCAGCGGCGAGGACGCCTGAGGGAGCAGTGCGAACCCCAAAGTTCTCCTTGCCGTTGCCGCTGCTGCTGCCGCCGGTCGCCTTGGGGGCGGAAACGTTGCTGGTAGCAGTAGCGATGGCGCTGTTCTGCGCCTTAGCATCGCTGAGGCTCTTCTGGCAGTTGGACGCGGTAGTGCCTTTCTGAATCTTGGCACCCTTCCAGCCGCAAGCATCAGAGGTCTTGCCATTGGCCTGGTAGTAAGCATCGAGAACGAAAGAAAGCTTCTCCTTGGGAGAGCACATGCTGTAGGCACCGTAGTTGCCGAGCTTTGTGACAGCATTGATGCCAGCACAGATCTTGGGGCTGGCACCGCAGACGCTGCCAAAGAGATCGCCATAGCTCTTTACGTCGAGGTTGTCGGCAACAACACACTCGAGAGAGTCGCTCATGCACTTGCAGAGATCCTTGTCGGGGGTGGGGGGAAGCTGAGCAGCAGCCATCCAGGCCTTGCTGACGTCGGGGCACTGAGCAGACTTGCCGGAGGGGGTGTACTTGTCCATGGTAATGCCCTTGGGGTCGGCAGCCGCGTGAGCCTTCTTCAAGCCGTCGTAATCATCCTGCTTCTCAATAGAGCTGCCTTTGACCTCGACAACACCTGGAATTTGGGGTTAGCTAGACTCCGGTCGTTACTCGTGTACTCAACATACCATAGTCGTTCTCCTCCTGGAAGTACATGTAAACGAGACCGCCGCTGAAGACGCCAGTCATGTCGTCACTGTAGAGAGCCGCAGTTTCCTCCCACTTGCGGCCCTTGGCGCCGTTGGGCAGGTTGCAGCCGTACTCGGCAAGGAAGACGGGAACGCTGAAATCCTGGAAGAACTTGACCTGCTGATCGTAGCCCGACAGCTGCATGGAGCTCGTGCCGCACCAGGAGTAGATGTTGTAGCCCCAAAAGTCAATGGACTCCTCGGCCTTTCCGCAGTTGAAGTAGTCGGCAATCTCCTTGCGGATGTCCTTGTCATCGTTGGCGGCATAGCCGACACCGATCCAGCGCTTTTGGTTGTCCTTGATGTACTTCTTGGTGTCGCGAACGGCGGCCTTGACAAAGGCGGACGCGCCGGTGTTGTTGGCAGAGTTGCTGACTTCGTTACCGGCAAAGAAGCCCACAACGTTGGGGTACTTGCTCAACTCGTCGACAACAGCCTTGTAGCGGTCAAAGAGCTCAGTGTTCCACTGAGGGTCGTCGCGGTTGATAGAGGTGGCAGGCTCAGAGAGATCGGAGACGACGTAGATGCCGGCATCCTGAAGAAGACCCATGCAGTATGAGTGGTCCTCCTTGGGGTCGATGGCGTATGTGCGGATAATGTTGATGTTGAGGTCCTGGAGGTAGGGAACATCGCGCTTGCAGGCGTCCTTGTCGGCGAGAGGGTCCATGTACTTGGCGGTCGGGTCGGACTTGGCACCGGCAGCACCAATGTCACGCTGGTAAGCAATACCCTTCATGAAGAACTGGGTGCCATTGGGATAGAAGAATTTGGAGCCCTAGAGACGAAAGAATGTTTAGCATTGCGGTTGAGGCATGTGTTGGTAGCGGTGTTCGTCTCACCTTGGCGACGATGGCGGGCAGGTCGGCAGCAGCGGCCGCGCCAGCGAGGGCGAGGAGAGAAACCGCGGACTTCATGGCTTTCGATATTTGGGGTAGATGCAATAGCTATTGGTCAACAAGATTCGGTTCGGAAAAAAGTAGAAAGAAATAGGGAAAAAAGAGTAGGAAATTTGTAACGTGGTGTCTGTGTAAATGAGTGTAAGAAACGGCCGAATTGAAAGTGAGGAAGCCAACCCCGAAAATAGAGCAAGAGAAAGCGAGGGAGAGACAGAAAGACGATAATGAAGAAGGAGAACAAAAAGGATTGAATGTATAGTACGGAGTACGGAGTATGGATACAAATATCAGCAAATGGAGGACCAGTGACGGGACGGGGCCAAGCCTGGCCAAGGCTACGCTGGTGGCCAGGGTCTGCTCGAGTCTGCAACACCAAGAGCCAGCCCAGACTCGGCCCAGACGGTAGCGCCGCAGAAGGGTGGCTACTAAGCTAATATCGAGGTAACTTGGTAGTTTGGTTATTGCATTATTAGGTATGATGGCCAAAAGACGGTGTCGAACAGGGGCGAGGATGGGCAAGGCAGAGGAATGAGAAGCTTGAACAGTGGACAGGGGGGCTGTTGTCCCACAGTGGGTGATTGCGCCGAGAAGCCCCTGGAGCCCGCTGTATGCCGGGCACCTGTGACTGCAACTGGGCTGCTGTAACCCTCTGTAACCCGCTATAGCATCCGCCGTTTCCCCCTGTAAAAGCACACTGTGCCCACTTGGCATTCCCTGAATCCCTCCGCCTCCCATACCACCAAAAGGTCCAATCACGAACCTCATCCTCTAGCCAGGAACAGAACCCCGGTCTAGCCGATGTCGATGATATTAGATACGTGCGAACCATTGCAAAGTCGAAATGTACCCGCCGCCAAGCAAGGCATTGCTTTTCAGTCGATCTTGGCTAAATAAATGTTTAAAGCAACCAGTTGCCGCCGAGCCTCGACATCTTGACCCACCCATGCAAGGTACGGTAACTTGTGACTGGGGGGAGGAGAAAAAGGGGTGCATGTCATGCCACCAGATCTTGCGCTGTACGGCGTAACTACCAGTTATTGTTGACTGGTTGTGGCTTGTCCATAATAACTAAAGTAACTACGGTATGTACTCCGTACATATGTTCGGCCAATCTTGGCACCGCCCACTGTGGCGTGCCCAGCGTTGGCAGATTACGCGTTTGTGCTGGCTGCAATTCTCAGTTTTTGCGGAGAATTATTGTTTGTAACTACCTACAAGCTGCCCTACCAGGCAAACCTGGCATTGTCCTTGGTCAGTTAATCGAGGCAGTGCAACAGGACCCGGTTGCATGCCCCATCGACTCTCAGACCGATGAAACCGGACACCGTATGTGCCTTCGGCCGTGTTTAAGCATATGAGAAAAGAATGCCGATCTAAAATCGCTGATCCAAAGTTTGATACGGAAAACTCGCACCATCCCTTCTCAAACGCCATGTCGGATCGCCAACGGGCTGTCGGTGTTACCTGCCTTCCAACAGCGTCGTCTTTGCTTGACTCGGTCGACGGCTTCATCTGATACTAGATCTAATACTAGCTCGGAATTGGTAGCCGCTTTCCAAAGTGCGATGCGTCATGACCATTTCGTGTTTACAGCTAGTTAGTATTACAGTACGAATATTGACACTCCTGAACTGCCGGGTTTGGTCATGTCACGCTCCCTGTACTGTGTACGCCTCGACGAGTAGTCGATAATCGCGTTCAAACTCGGGCTAATTATGAATGCTAAATCAACATTATCAGCGCGAAATTCGTGGCAGCGGCTCATGGTGCTACATCTCAAAAGCAGCAAGCGTGACGACCTACCAGTCCAAGAATACTTAATGAGCTCTGGGCAGATTAAGTCGCCGCGGCTGGGCGGCGTCTTGGCCGGGGCGGTAATACCTGCACAGCTCTAGTTACAATACCAAGGAACTAGTTGGACATCTTGACTGTTTACAGTTTTGTTGGGATATCATTCATATCACCAAGGTCACTGAAGCGGCGAGAACTTGGCCAAGCTTTTGGCAAGACTTTGATCTACGCGGAGAGAAGAGGGAGCAGCCCAGCCTCTCTTGGCCACCAAGGGTGCTTGCTGCACAGCCCAGCCACGAAACAAAGGGCACTTTTTTCCCGAGGATATCGACAAGTGATTAAGGCAGCCGCAAGCTTTCCTTGCACCAAAGTGCTCAAGGTTCTTGCCAACGAATCTCAGCTGATGCGCAGGACAAAATAGCAATGTAATAGTCTGCAAACGTCCCGTGCCCGCGCCGATGCACCCATAAATCCAACCCCCAATCCTCCCCGTGTGCTGATGACAGAAGTATAAACGACGAATGCGTTCTATCCACTTTCAATATGAATGTCGTTTTCTCTAGCATGTAATTTGTGGATGCTTCTTTGGATATTTCGTCGGCGCAGCCTTCGCTCGGAAGAATTAAGCACCGAAGGCTTTGCAGTACAGAGATCCAAGGACAACCAGTATTACATCATCCCAGAGGTCGTGAGTCCAAATATTAATCTTCTTCCAATATCCATCACATTGCTGCTGTCCAGCTCTGTTCTGAAAAGCCAACCAGCCAGCCTCGCGCCAACATCATATCTCCATGACGTAATGAATTATTATGGCCTTGCTCTGAAGTGCTAGAGATGTTTTGCCACATTTGCTGCAAGTGACGACCCCAGCCGCCTGGCAGTGCTTGAGAGCCCAACTGAAGCTTGCGACCCAACCCATAAGTACTATATCTTTTACCTAGTTAAAATCATGTTCATTCTGCTGCCTGGAATGTTTGTGTGCCCTAAAACGTGCATATGGCGTGTGCTTCGGATGCTTTATGGAGCATGCGCTAGGCATCAGTGTTCTGGAAGGTGGGTGGCGACGAATATCAAGTGCGCATTCGCCTCATTAGAGAAACATACCTAACTTCTACAAACACAATACACCTCCTAACTACAGGACCTATTGGACATTCGTTACATGCGATTTTTCGTTGGCAACAGCTCATGCCTGATACGACATCTACACCTCCATCTCAAACCAGAGCCTGGACTCTTCCGTTCGGCACCATGATGCAGGCCTGTCTCGCCTGGTACAGGCGCCACAGAGGTCGGCCAGAAAAGGCGAACTCAAGACCGAACAGCGATTCGACGCTGGTACCAAACACCGAGATTGATGATTTTAGCGTGAAGATGGGCTCTATACCAGTCGACAGCCCTGGTCTCAACAAATGGTCGCGCAAGCCGCTGCAGCCGGCTGTCCCAGCAAGCCACACCACCGAACCACAAAGATGTTGCAAATACAGTTCCGAGCTCGATAGGCGGAAATGGGGAGAGCTACAGCCACAAGTCGTCCCTTCTGATATGGTGTTGGAACGGATAAAACTGTCGGACTCGGACCGTTCGCCATTACGCGGTAACCGTATTGTCACAGCACATGGTTGATGGCCGCTACGACACTTTGCACCATGTCCATTACACACAAGCTCTTTCTAGAGCAATATACCCTTCCATTCATGATTTGGACATGGATTAATTGGCGTTTGGAAATGAGCCGGTGTTGAGTAGTTTTTTACGGGATAGATACAGGGTACCCGTGGTCCCTCAATGTGCTCCGTCAGCCGAAGACGAACATGCGTCAATGACGTCGAACAAGTCAGATGAGAAGGGTCGTTGAGGATTTCTCATGGGTAGAAGAATGAGGAGATACAGGCAACGGAGAAGTCAAAGTTGTACGATAAATTGCAAGACAGCGAAACTGGTTGTTTGTGCGCGAGAGTGTCGTAATAAATAGGTCAACATGTCTGTTGACTGTCGCAGGTTGACAAATTGGTGTGTACTAGATACAAGAAATACAAAGTCGGACAGTGCGCTAGCCGGGTACACAGAAGTATCCGATACCAGTGTAAAGCTTGTTGCCTGACTGGCTCGGATGCACCATGACCACTCAGAGCGTGGCTTATCAGCAGCCAGACAACCAAAAATTTGAGGGGCGCCCCACCAAAAAAGAAAAATCACCCCGCCTAGGTATGAATCAAGCAAAATTTCAGCAGCCACGAAATTTATCTTGCGGCTTTCTCCTCCTCTAGCATCCCACCATCATCACCTGGATTCTTTGCCGAAAATCAGGTGTCTCTTCTTTCCCTCCGGCGTGACGATATAACCGAAGCTCGAAAATTTCATTATTTCTCGAGTCCGATTTTGCAAAGTTGTGTAAAATCCTTGCCGCCGCCACCATCACACCCCACCAAATAAAAACCCCGCCATACACACCCGTCTCACCACCACCGAAACAACAACAATAACCGCCAACATGCCTCCTTCCGCTGCCAAGGAGAAGAGACTTGCCAAAAAGGCCGCCGACGGCAAGCTCAAGAACAAGTCGGGCACCAGCACGCCCAAGGGCCCCGAGCTTGATGCCAACGGCAAACCCATCCAGAGCGACGGCCCCGCCACCACCGACTTGGACGAGGTCAGACGTCTGACGGACCAGATGGACAAGCACGGCATCTCGGACCGCGTAACCACCGGTGTCCTCTCCTCTACTGCCACCAGCAAGGACGTCAAGATCACCTCGACCAGCTTGGTCTTCCACGGCCGCGTCCTCATCACCGACTCGACGCTCGAACTTTCATTTGGTCGCCGCTACGGTCTCCTCGGCGAGAACGGTTGCGGTAAATCCACCCTGCTCCGGTCCATCGCCGCCCGCGAGTTTCCCATTCCCAACCATCTTGATATCTACCTGCTCAACGAGGGTGCCCCCCCTTCTGAGCATGGCGCTCTTGAGTGGGTCGTCAAGGAGGCTGAGGCCGAGATGGACCGTCTCGACAAGTTGGCCGAGAAGCTACTCGAGGAAGAGGGTCCCGAGAGCCCTGTCCTCATTGATCTCTACGACGTAAGATCTTCGAAATTCGTACAAGTTTCAATATGAATGCTAACGTTTTGTAGCACATGGACCGCATGGACCCCTCCACCTTCTCTACCCGTGCCTCCCTTATTCTCACCGGTCTTGGCTTCAACAAGAAGACCATCCACAAGAAGACCAAGGACATGTCTGGTGGTTGGAGAATGCGTGTCGCCTTGGCAAAGGCCTTGTTTGTCAAGCCCTCGGTCCTGCTGCTGGACGACCCTACTGCGCATTTGGACCTCGAGGCCTGTGTGTGGCTGGAAGAGTACCTTAAGAAGTGGGAGCGCACCCTCGTCCTGGTCTCCCACTCGATGGACTTTCTCAACGGTGTCTGCACCAGCATGATTGACATGCGCGGAACTAAGCTCATGTACTATGGTGGTAGCTACGACTCCTACGCCAAGACCCGTGCCGAAAACGAAACGAACCAGATGAAGGCCTACCACAAGCAGCAGGAAGAAATTGTTCACATCAAGAAGTTTATTGCCAGTGCCGGTACCTATGCCAACCTGGTGCGTCAGGCCAAGTCGCGCCAGAAGATTCTCGACAAGATGGAGTCCGACGGTTTCATCCAGCCCGTCGCGGCCGACCGTGTTTTTACTTTCCGCTTCGCTGACGTGGATAAGCTGCCACCGCCCGTTCTGTCGTTTGACGACGTCACTTTCTCATACTCTGGAAACCCAGAGGATGATCTGTACCGCAATCTCGACCTCGGTTTCGACATGGACTCGCGTACTGCCCTGGTCGGCCCCAACGGTGTCGGCAAGTCGACTCTGCTGCGCCTCATGACTGGCAAACTGTCCCCCACCGGCGGCTCCGTGACTCGCCACACCCACTTGAAGCTGGGCCTCTACTCGCAACACAGCGCCGAGCAGCTGGACCTGACCAAGTCCGCTCTCGATTTTGTCCGTGACAAGTACAGCGAAAAATCGCAGGACTACCAGTTCTGGCGCCAGCAGCTTGGCCGCTACGGTCTGACTGGCGAGTCGCAGACTGCCCTCATGGGCACCCTGTCTGAGGGTCAGCGCAGCCGTGTCGTGTTTGCCCTTTTGGCCATTGAGTCGCCCAACATGCTCCTGCTGGACGAGCCTACCAACGGTCTCGATATCCCTACTATTGACAGTCTGGCGGATGCCATCGATGCTTATAGCGGAGGTGTTGTTGTTGTCTCGCACGACTTCCGACTTCTCGACAAGATTGCCAAGCAGATTCTGGTGTGCGAGAACAGATCGATCCAGACCTGGGATGGCAGCATCGGCGAGTACAAGAATTACCTCCGCAAGAAGATGATTTCTGCGGGTGCCGTCTAGGACTGAGACGAAAAGTTTCGGGCTGTTTTGACTGTTCAATTTCTTGCTACTGGATACACACTATAAAGGGTTTATGACATGCATGACTGGGCTGGGCTACATATAGAATCGCGGGAACGGATTTTACCCGCACAAATTGGCAAAGGATTGGAAAGAGGAAGACTCAGGTTACAGGGGACAACAGGAGCGGCTCGCCGACGAGGAACATGGCCTTTTCTAATGATCTAGGGGCCAGGGCAAGACCGTCGATGCCCTCAAGAGGCGGAAGAGAACCTGCATGCATGACACGGGCCTTTTATTTGTTGGTTCATGGGATAGACTTTAGTTCCATATATTGTTTGTTATTCTCGACGAAAATTTGACTGAAGATGAAATTAGAACATACTTTTGAAAGTCGGCCATCCGACGGCGTGAGTCAGAACTCGTTACTATGTACCTACCTAGTGTTGCCCGGCTGGTGGAGAAATCTCGTTTGTCGGGTCTTGAAGACCTCTCTACTTGAGCTAGTATAACAACGTGACGATTACCGAGTCTTGTTTAAACTGCAGCAATCTGCGCGCTCTGCGCGGATTTCCATCGTCCATATACTTTCTACATTGCGTGTCTATTTATTGACAAATGGCAGAGACGGCAGCCGCCGACGTGATGCCGCCGGCCAACGTCACCATCCGGCCTGGCACACCCGCGGACGCCGAGGCCATCAGCCAGGCGCACTACGAGGCGCTGGACCAGTTCCACGCCTTTTACGGGACGTTTTTCAAAAAGCACCCGCGCGATCTGATACCGGCGCTGACGGAGCGGGCGTTTGCCAAGACGCAGCCGGCGCAGGTGTTTTACGTGGCGGAGGAGGCGGGGGATGTGGTTGGATTTGTGCGGTACAGCATCGAAGAGGCCAAGGAGAAGGGTCGTAGGGAAGAGGCGGTGTCCAAGGCAGAGGGAGAGCCGGAGGAGTCGCCGTTTGCATGCAAAGAGGCGCTGCGGGGGGTGTGGAAGGCGTTTAGCGAGGCGCAGGCGGATAGAGATGCAATGGTGGAGGATGCGCCCAAGGGGCAGCGACACATGTGTAAGGCCCCCTTTTTGGTCTGCTGGTGAGAGTTAAAAAGCAGCGGTTCCTGACTGATTCATCCAAATTCTAGGGATCCAGCATCTCATGATCCGGCCGTCGCACCAGCGCCGGGGCATCGGCCGGGCGCTGCTCTCGACGGCGCTGCGGCGCGGGGCCGATGCGGAGGGCATTCCGGCGGTGATTGTGTCGTCGGCCGAGTCGGTGGGCTTGTACCGAGCGCTTGGGTTCGTGTCGCTGGGTAGTTTCCGGCTGGATAATGGGTACTGGGCGCGGGAGGCGGCGCGGGTGCTGCCACGGGGGGAGGGCGCGATGCTGGTGGAGAGGTATGACGGGGTGTTTGAGGTGGAGGACGTAATGGTGCGGGATGTGTGTGGCAAGTAGGGGATATTGGTATATCTGTATGTAATTATATTTCAGTGTTGTATGTGCATGCTGCATCCCGATCAGAGTGACTGTTGGGTGGTGACGGCCCATCATTGACTAGGATGCTAATGCAAACACCAGTTCGTCAATATACGCCGTCATGTGGCAATGTGTCCGAAGAGTAAAACGAACGGGATGCGTAGTAGAAGCGCGGGCGCGAAACAGGAGTCTCGTTGCAAGGGGGCATGGAATGTCGATGTAGTTACTTTCTTCTTGCTACGTAGTGCGACGGCCGCAGCTGAAGCACGACACAGCGCTACAAGGCAAACATGGGATTTCACTTGGGACAAAAAAGGGAAAAAACTCGGGCAAGTTGATTTGAGAGCGGAGACGAGGGGCAGGAAGGAATATCCGCTTAGATAGGCGGCACGGAATTTTGGTGAGCTTGTGAGGCCAGATAGGCGGCATCATCAGTGGGGTGGGAAGTGAGGCTATTTTGGGCAGCATTTCGTGTGGGGAGGGGGGAGGGCCGCGTAGTTAGCTACAAAGAGGAAGATGGCGCAGTTTCGGTTCGGTCGACTAAAACAAAGGAATCGTTCTGTTGCAATTGGCATTGCTTTGTGATGGTGCAGTTGCATAATGTTGACTGGTATGGCAGAGACCGGGGGGGAGAAGGTGGTTTGGTGGCACGAGGTCTTCGATTGGGGGGGTTTCACGGGGTGGGACGGGCGCGGGAGGGGAGTTGGAGATGTTGTTTCCGACTGGAGTATGCAGGGGAAGGGTTGGGCTAAATCACTAGTTACATAAAATCACGCCAAAAAAAAAAAGTCGAGCTTGCTGGTAGGAAAAAGCAAGAGGGAAATTGGATTGACAAACAAGTTGAGCGAGAGAGGAGAGGGGATGGATGGGATGGTCTCGGGTAATGCGAGCTTGCAGGATGAGGGGCGCGGATGTGTTATTTTTAGGTGGGCTGCGGTGACGAGTTATGAGTGTGAATAGAGGAAATGGGGTTGAAGAGATGCTGCCAGTTGGCTGTGTTGGAGGAAGAGGATATAGTTATTTGTTCGTACATATATGCTTTCTGTACTGGTCCGGGGAGGCTGGGCAGGATCCGCCATACCCGTCTAGGTAGGTACTAGGTTTAGTAGGTACCTACTGAGTGAGGCCCAAGCCATTCCATCCATCCAGAGTGAGAGTGAGCCTCGCGAGGTCAATCCATCAGGGCGAATCTGGTGCTACCTCCCGCAAGAGCCAGGGGATGCTGCCGTGGCTTTATTGTGTTTCCTCATCTTGCCTATATTCCTGATCGCAGAGTCCAAGTTTCTCTTTTCTTTCAACACCCAACGAGCATGTCAATGGCATCACCAAACCTGCAAACCAAACGGTGGCTTCCACACCACCACACCACCACCAAGTTGACAGCCGCTAAAGCCCGCTACCTAGTATCCATCGATCGTTATATGGACGTAATTTGTACTTGATGAACCAACCCAAGCCTTTGTACAAGGTACCTTGCGCCCGCTGCCAAGCCCTATACGCTGTAGCCAAAACCCTTTTCGTCGGCCGACCGAGATGTATTCGTAGGCTTCCCAAGCTCCCCAGGCCGTCCCCAGAAAGGCGTCTTGTCGTCGTGACTGCTTTCCGCTTCCTCCACACTCTACATCAGCCTCCCACACCTATTCTCGTCTTGCCTTCTTTTCTTGACTTGAGCCTGTCGCCTGCCTCTCGCCTTGTCCCCTTTCCCTCTGGTTTCTCTTTTGCCTTTTCCCCCCTTACACTGGCCACGCCAAACGGTTACAAACACGCCCAGCCGCCACCTGTCGCGAGCATCACCACCTTTGCGCCGCGCGACCTCACTACGAACTAGCAACCCGTTTTTTTCTTCCCACGGTACAAACGCAAACAAACACTGCCCTCGTCGCCGACACGGCATACATTGTTCGATTTAGAGCCCATGGATTCTGCCTGATTTTTCAATATTCGTTTCTGGCTTCCATTTTTGCCGCGCCTTTTTCCTGTCACTCATACTAGTTCCCTTGTCCCCTTGGCACGATTCCTAGGTCAAGACCATCTCGGGGTTAAGAATAGCACCACAGACACGACGCGCCTCGGGCCAATTCCCTCGCCTCACGGGTCTGTCAGAGTTTTCCCATGTTGGCGTCGCTGCCGCTGCTGCCGCCTCACCACCAAACCCATCTCCTCACCACCAAAACATGAGTGACCAGTTGCGCTCTTCCCACGGGCGACCCCGGCTTCACCCTGATGATGAAGCAAATGGTCGCGACGTGATGGATCAAGGGAGCGCCAGCGCTGCGACATCTTCCACTCATCCTGCCGGCTCCAGCTCCAGCACAACCACAACCACCACGCCGCACCGACACTCCACCTTCAGCCTTCGCTCGCCCACTCGCGCCCCAGCCCAACACCATCCTGCTGCTGCTCCTGGTCCTGCTCCTCCTTCTTTGCTTTCTGACTCTGTGGCCGCTTCTGCCTCCTCCTCCTCCACAGCCAACCATCATCATCATCACCACCATCGCCGCCATCATCACCATCATCCCGACGCGACCCCCGGCTCGACCCCATCGTCCCATCACCACCACCACGCGCAGCCCTCGTCCGCTACATCCACATCGCGACAGCATCACCACCACCATCACCACCATCACCATAATAACCTCCCCGCCCCTTTTGCTGCCGCGCCTGCGCACTCCTCCTCTGCTGCTGCGGCAGCCACGCCCGCCTCGACTTCTGCTGCAATGACTGGCGGCTCTGCTCCCGGTGGCCTGCCGCCTCTCGGCCCCGGTGCTTCATCGCCAAACGCGAACCATCACCAACACCATCCGCATCACCAGTCTGCCCCGGCGCGCCCTCGCTCTCCGCTGCGTCCCTCGTCGGGCTACTACCCGCCTGCTGGCGAAGCTCATCATCCGCCGCGCGACTCCAAGCCACCTGGCAGCTTTTACGATCCCCTTACCGATACCACAATGAAGGACCGCAGTAGAGTCTCTGATTCCTGGCACAATGCCCCCCCTTCAGCTTCACCCAAGGTAAGAGTTTTTTTGCCATCTATTTGTTGCGCAAACCACCATCAATTCATCCCACTGCATGTCTTTTTTGCTTCCACGATGCCTTGATACGCCCTTTTCCCTCGTCGATTGCTTTTTTCATTTTCCCTTGCGCGCGCGCTGCTTTCCATGTCGCGCCCACAAAAATCCCCATTCATCTCAATTGTCTGTCTTTTTGCTCCCTAGTGCCTGTGCACCAGGCCAGCAAAGCAAGAAAGAACCATCCCGTCCTACAATTTGCATCCGTACCACCGCCACAATTTTCTGGCTCTCCAATTCTTCATCACCACCATCATCTCCTCTCCATCATCCATCACCACCCTCACCCTCACCTCCAACTTGCACAACGACACCACGCAACTGGCCCTGATTGCACCATATACTAATCCTCTCGGCAGAGTCGCGAGGCCTATCCCTATCATCCACCATCTTCCGCCGAAGCTCATCAACCCGCCTACTACAACGGCCATTACACCGCTTCCAGAGACTCGCGTCCGTCGCCATCATATAATCGGCCCCGAAGCCCGCCGACGCACTCCCATCCCAGTCTGCCTGTTGGCTCCCGCAGCCCGCCTACTAGGCAACCACACATGGCGTCTCCCACCCATCACCGTGCTCCCCTCAGCTCGACCCCCAATGGCTCAGCTTCCCTGCTCAGCAAGTCGGATTTGAGGGCCGTCTCACCCCTAAGACCTGCTGCTCCCGCGCTGTCAAGTGTAAGTCTCTACCATACATGACCTCGGCGCGTGACATCGACTCCCTGCTAACTCTCTTCAGACACCAAGTCGTGCCGACCCCATGTCCTTTTCCAATATTCTCTCAAGTGCCGAGCCGGCGAGGCCCAGGTCGCCACCACCTGCCATCGCCCCTGCCCCTGCTTTCGAGCTGCGTGTTAGGGAACATAACGATGATACAGAGGTCGAAAAGGATATTGAGACTGAAACGGAGCATCCCAGTGTCAAGGGTGTCGACGCTGCTGCTGTTAAGAAAAAGTCCGCTCGTCGCTCGACTAAAGGTAGAGCCTCTGACATCCGAGATGCCGCTGCCCCCAAGAGCCGTCGCGCTTCTTCGAGAAAAGAGACCACCCCTCGTGGTGCTGCCAAGCGCCAAGCTGATGGACAGCCCAAACCCAAGACTTGGTCTCCAGAGATGGAAAAGAAAATTTCCAACTATGAGGAAAAGATTGACAACGAAACCGCCCAACTCGACCCCAATGAGTTTGACGAGACTGAGTACAAGCAGCACGCCCAGAAGCGCCGTCGACTAATGGACGACGTCGACACCCGTCAGCAGCGTATGCGTCGCGATGACTTTTCCGACCAGCAGAGCAAGCGCCTCCTCGGGCACGCCGAGCTCGGCAAGAGACGCTATGACGACATGTACTACGATACCGCCCTCCAGGAGGTCCGCGAACAAGAAGTATTTGCTGAAAAGGAGCGCAAAAAGGACATGCAGCGCAAGCGACGTCGCGAAAAGTCCATGGCCGTCACAATGGAACTTAAGGAAGCTGCCCTTGCGCGCGCTGAGGCCGCCGAAGACGATGAGGAGCGCCAAAAACACCTCCGCGATGCGGAACGGGCAAGTAAAAAGGCGCAGCAAACCAAGCTCATCTTGCAAAAGGGTATCAAGGGTCCGGCTCGAAACCTTGAAATGAGCTTCGATGGCTCCATGTCTAGCTTTGTCGCCTCCGACGCTGAATCTGGCCCCAAGAAGAAGGGCCGTGGTGGCTCACGACCCAAAAAGTCAAAGGAGCAGAAGCAGGCCGAAAAGGACTCTGCTGTTGCTGCTCAGGCTGCCTTGGATGCTGGTGAGGAGCTTCCCGCCAAGGAAGAGGGCAAAGTCCGCATCAAGATCAAGGGCCGCTCCAAGAAGGATGGCGGCAAGGAGAAGGAAAAGATTGAGGGCAAGGAAAGGGTCGACGATGTCCCCGAAGCCGACAAGAAATTTATTTCCAAGGGCTACAACCAAATTTACGACCAGATTTGGCGCGACATGGCCCGCAAAGATGTCAACAAGACTTTCAAGCTTGCTGTCGACTCGTATGCTACCAAGAGCTCCAATCTCAAAAAGACTGCCATTCTTGCCTCCAAGGAAGCCAAACGCTGGCAGCTGCGCACCAACAAGGGTACCAAGGATCTGCAGGCCCGCGCCAAGCGTGTCATGCGTGACATGATGGGCTTCTGGAAGCGCAACGAACGAGAGGAGCGCGACTTGCGTAAGGCTGCTGAGAAACAAGAGCTCGAAAACGCCAGAAAGGAGGATGCGGAGAGAGAATCGGCCCGCCAAAAGAGGAAGCTCAACTTCCTTATCTCGCAGACCGAACTGTACTCTCACTTTATCGGCAAGAAAATCAAGACGGACGAGGTCGAGCGCAGCACAGACAACCCCGAGATTGCTCCAGATGGCGCGTCCATTCCTGAAAGCAAGATGAATATTGCAGAGTCTACAGGGCCCGTTGCTGGCAAGGTCACCAACTTTGAGGACCTTGACTTTGATGCCGAGGACGAGTCGACTCTGCAAGCTGCAGCCGTGGCCAATGCACAGAATGCGATTGCCGAGGCCCAACAAAAGGCCCGCGCGTTCAACCAGCAAGGCCTAGATATGGACGACGAGGGTGAAATGAACTTTCAGAACCCCACCGGCCTCGACGGCGAAGTCGAGATTGCGCAGCCCAAGCTCCTCAATGCCCAGCTCAAAGAGTACCAGCTCAAGGGTCTCAACTGGCTCGTCAACTTGTACGAACAGGGTATCAACGGCATTCTTGCCGACGAAATGGGTCTCGGAAAGACGGTTCAGTCCATTTCGGTCATGGCCTACCTGGCCGAGAAGCACGATATTTGGGGCCCCTTTCTTGTCGTCGCCCCTGCTTCCACCTTGCACAATTGGCAGCAGGAGATTGTCAAGTTTTTGCCCGACTTCAAGATTCTCCCGTACTGGGGTAGTGCTGCAGACCGAAAGGTTCTCCGCAAATTTTGGGATCGCAAGCACTCGACGTATCGCAAGGACGCAGCTTTTCACGTCTGTGTTACCTCGTACCAGCTAGTCGTGTCTGATGTGGCTTACTTCCAGAAGATGAGATGGCAGTACATGATTCTTGATGAGGCCCAGGCCATCAAGAGTTCGCAGAGTTCCCGTTGGAAGTCGCTCCTCGGCTTCCACTGCCGTAACCGTCTGCTGCTGACAGGAACCCCCATCCAGAACAACATGCAAGAACTGTGGGCCCTGCTTCATTTCATCATGCCCTCACTCTTTGACTCCCACGACGAGTTTAGCGAGTGGTTCTCCAAGGACATCGAGTCTCATGCTCAGAGTAATACCAAGCTTAATGAGGACCAGCTCAAGCGCCTGCACATGATTCTGAAGCCCTTTATGCTTCGTCGTGTCAAGAAGCACGTGCAAAAGGAACTTGGTGACAAGATTGAACTTGATGTCTTCTGCGACCTTACCTACAGACAGCGCGCCATCTACGCCAACCTGCGCAACCAGATCAACATTATGGATCTCATGGAAAAGGCGACTTTGGGCGATGACCAGGATTCTAGTACGCTAATGAACTTGGTCATGCAGTTCAGAAAGGTCTGCAACCATCCCGACCTGTTTGAGCGCGCCGATGTCACTTCGCCCTACTCGTTTGGCTACTTTGCCGAAACTGCCTCTTTTCTCCGCGAAGGTAACAAGGTGACAGTTGGCTACTCATCGCGTAGCTTGATTGACTATAAGCTCCCCTCTTTGGTGTGGAATGAGGGCGGCCGCCTCTACAAGGCCGGCAACGACAACCGCAAGGCCGGCTGGAGAAACAAGGCGCTCAATCACATGATGAACATTTGGACGCCTAACAATATCCAGGAGAATGCCAACGAGAATAAGGCCTTTTCCTGGCTGCGTTTTGCAGATGCTAGCGCTGGTGAAGTCTACAAGACCGTGCACAAGGGCGTGTTTGACCGTGCTGCCGACGAACTGGCGAAGAGCGACCGCCTGAGCCAGTTTGCCATTGCGTATGATGAAGAAGAAGAAACCTTTTCGCCTGGCCACGCTCTGTTCAAGATTGCGGAGCGCAACAATCGAAAGCCTTCGGCAGACATTACCAAGGAGGGCATACTGTCGCGTCTGATGAATATCTCTGGACAATCCTATGATGACAGCGGTATGGGTCGCCTGGACCTTGCTGGAAGACCTCGAGTCTCGGCGCCTCCGTTGGTCGCCAGTTCCAACAGTGTCCACTCTGAAAGAGAGGCTCAAGACGTCTTGTTCAACGTGCCTATTCGCAAGAAGCTTTACGGCACGACACCCAACGAGGAGCAGGCGCTCGTCCAAAACCGGGTGCCTTTTCATCTGTATCCCCAGCCCAAGGTTCTGCCGGAGCCGGACAACGAGAAGAGACGCTTCACTAACATTGACGTTCCTTCCATGCGCCGCTTCGTCACCGACAGTGGTAAGCTCGCCAAACTGGACGAGCTGTTGTTCAAGCTCAAAAACGAGAACCACCGTGTTCTGCTGTACTTCCAGATGACTCGCATGATTGACATGATGGAGGAGTATCTGACCTACCGCAACTACAAGTACTGCCGTCTCGATGGTTCCACCAAGCTTGAGGACAGACGTGATACGGTGGCCGATTTCCAGACGCGGCCGGACATCTTCATCTTCCTGCTCTCGACTCGTGCTGGTGGTCTCGGTATCAACCTGACGGCTGCCGACACTGTCATCTTCTACGACTCTGACTGGAACCCGACGATTGATTCGCAGGCCATGGACAGAGCGCATCGTCTGGGCCAGACGAGACAGGTCACTGTGTATCGTCTGATTACTCGCGGCACAATTGAGGAGCGCATCCGCAAGCGTGCTATGCAAAAGGAGGAGGTGCAGCGCGTCGTCATCCAGGGTGGCGGCGCCAGCGTCGACTTCTCTGGCCGTCGCGCTCCCGAAAACCGCAACCGCGACATTGCCATGTGGCTGGCGGATGATGAGCAGGCGGAGATGATTGAGCGTCGCGAGAAGGAGCTCATAGAGTCGGGCGAGCTGGATGCGAAGAAGAAGAAGAGTAGTCGCAAGAAGAAGGCCGAGGCGTCGGCTAGCCTCGATGACATGTATCACGAGGGTAAGTCAGGTTCCAAAGATATTACTAGCAAGGCATACTAACACATTCTAGGCGAGGGCCACTTTGACGATGGCAGCCGTGCTGGTGCTTCGGGTACTGCCACCCCGGCGGAAAGCGAACCTAAGAAGCGAGGCCGAAAACCGGGCGGCAAAAAGGCCAAGACGGCCAAGCAAAGATTAGCCATGGCCGACGGCATGGTTGACGGCTAATACAGGATGGAGCCGATGAGGCGCAATTTTGTATCAACATAATACGGGGGTCAAGGGTGGGGTTTGCGTGTTTCTTGCTCTACGGAGTAAAAGTCTTTGCTATGTTTTGATTGGATTTTCCCAGCCGCTGTTTATTCATTCCTTATCGCTTGCTTTCTACGACCTTTGTTGGTTTCGAGGACCACATGGCAGATGCCTCTTTTGGATGCATGTATTAGTATTAGAACGGGGGAAGAAGAAGGAAATGATTGCATTTGATATGGACTTGCCGAATACAATACCTTGATATTTGTTGCCTATTTTTAGGGCTGATTTTGTGTGTGTGAGCGAGGAGTGGGATCTGAATGCTGATGTGGTGAGTGAATGAATGGCCAAGTGAGATGGTGGTGAACTGGGCCGTGAATCGGAGCGTGGATTGTGACGGCCTCGACTTGAAGCAACTGCTGAAGCTCTTGACCTTGACATCGCTTTTTTGTAGGCAGCATCCTCTTATTCGCCCTGCAGTTATTTGTTCCTGTCATGTTGGAATCAAGAATGGTGTCGGATGTTACATGGGAACCGCTAGCACCCCTAGCAGCGACGACCACGACTGCCGATGATGCCCCAATTCAAGATGGCGACGACAACAGCGACGCCGACACACGCGGGCCTAGGTCTTATAGCCTAGAGGACTACTTGGACCTTCGCATCGACAACTTCACTGGTGACATGCGCGACACCTTCACCTGCCCGCGCGGCGACACACAATGCGACGGCCACACATTCTCGTCGATCCAGGAGTGCGTAGCACACGAGCAGGACTGGCATGCTGGCCCATACAAGTGTTATATCTGTGGGCGGGCGTTTGCGTCGGGGCCGCGGTTGCGGCGCCACGACCACTACGTGGACTCGGAGGCACGCCGGGTGGACGTGGACGAGGCGGAGATGCGCAGGGGCGGCGTGTGCGTTACGGTCTACCATGGCAATTTGCTGCAGAGGCGGCGGGCCAAACAGTTTGCGAAGCTGGTGAAGCTCGACGACGCAAGTCGAGAGAAAGAAAGGGCTAGGGAGGAGAAGAAGCGGACAACGAAAATGTTGGCCGCGATTAAGCGTGAGGAGGTTAGAAAGAGAAACAAGGACGGACAGTTGGTCGTGATTGGCGCAGAAGATGGTGCCGCGATAGGGCCCGTGGAGGACAAGGACAACATGGAGATCTGTCACGAGCCGTGCTGTCCATTGTTTGAGAGGCGATTTACCAATAATGGGTCGTATGCGCGACATATTGCTGCGCAGAGCCACGCCATCGCCGTTCGCATGGGCAGGGCTCTTGTCCAGCAACTCACCGTCATGGCCACGAGCCGGGGGTTTCTGGCCGACACCTCTCCTCCCCACGATGCTGAAATGGCGGGCCATGGGCGAGCGAGCACGCCGCCACCTCGACCGCGCGATGCCCATACGCAGCTACTCTCTCCGCCCCCAACACCGCACACGAGCGACGACAACGACCATGACTGGGATGGCATGGAGAAGATGCCCATGATGCTGACGCTACGACTGGCCAAGACACAGCGAGCGCTGCGCGAGCTGCGCTGCAACGCCCCCGGGTGCAGCATGTACGGACAGGGAATGGCGAGCAGCCAGTCCTACTGGGCGCATCTGGCGTCGCAAGGCCATGTGGCTGCGTTGAAGGCGTGGACTGGACGAGGTGGAGAGGCGGTTTACGTACCTTTTTGATGCAAGTTGTGCTGTCAAAGATTGCCTCCATGTTGTTTTTGCTTTTCAATGTCTCTGTCAAAAAGGGGGACATTTCGAGCCCTTGTACTTACAAATGACTGCATACGGAGATGGGCAAGATGGATTTGTTCAAGGAAAGAGGTTGACTTTGCTAACGAGAGCCGCTACGAGTAGGATGAGACAGACGTGCTGGTGTGAGGCTGACCGACGGAGATGTACTACAAAGTATGTACAGCGATGAAGATGGGGAATTTTGCTCAGAGTATGTAGGATAAACGATGCATATCCAATTGTCTGTCCTTTTTTGCCGCCGAGACTAGAGAAATTCCAGATGTATACATGAGAATGCAATGGGTGATGGGGGCAAGGACTGAAAAAGGATGCCTTAAGTTTACTCCCTTTTTTATACTCTTTGCCAACTTTGATCCTGTTTCTCTACTCTACGGAGATTCTTGCCATGGCATACCCATACGCACACCGCACCGAGCGGAACTTTTGGCGCTCGACTTGTACATTTTCCCGCCCCTGCGCCCACCTCCAAACCACGTGTAGAGCTGAAAGGAGCCGGCTTAATTTAGCGGAGAAGTGCTGGTAATATGAATAACTAGGGCGAGTAGAGAACTCAAGCGAGCCAAAATAAAGTGCAAGTTTTTGCTTTTATACTACTTTATTAGGCTCATGAGAGCTCAACCAATAACATCTATATATCCATCCGTACTAACAAGGTTGTTTCCCGTGCTAGTAGATTGTAGTTGAAGTCGACAGTGCGAACCAGCTGAAGCAGTTTATTACTGCTTGCATTTCATAAATAAATATAATGTTATTGTCCAGACTCACAGTGCAACATACCTGGGAAGGTACACACTTTGGCATTGGTGCTGTCACGTGCTTCAAGATTACCTGACCAAGTGACAAGTGAACCAGACCAGCGGCGAGTAAGCTGCGCGCGCCTTCCCCCCGACAGCCACGCATCACGCATCTTCTTATCTCATGGAAATACAAAATATTACCCGAACACTTCAGAGTAGCATTGGGAAACTTTTTTTTACGAACAATCGGACAACATGTCAAACCCCCTAGACTATACAGTCGCTTGGATATGTACTCTCGAGATGGATCACGCCGCCGCTCTGGCTCTCCTTGACGAGACCTATCCGCTCCCCAACGTCATCCACCGCGCACCACGCGACACCAATCTGTACACTCTGGGCAATGTCAGCACGCACAATGTCGTTATAGCCACTGCCCCAGTCAGAGACGGTGGTGCGGTATCAGTCGCTACCGTTTGGAGAGACATGCTGCACAGCTTCCCGAATCTTCGAGTTGCCTTGGTACTCAGTGTCGCGCCAGACCAGAAGCACGATATGCGCCCCGGTGACCTCTTAGTTGGTAGCCTACCGAATCCGCATATCAGTTTATCTCAGCACGACAACGCTATACAAAAGTCGCCTCTCCTCGAGACAGGGCTAGGCCAGCCTTTTGCATCCCTGCGAGCGGCCGTCTGTGAGCTCCAAAACAAGCACAAGCTCAATAGCCATCAACTCGAAAGAAGCATCCAACAGACTTTGCAAAATTGGCCTCAAATGCACAAGGGGTATTCTCGCCCACCTGCGAGCCACCTTCAGAAGGCACGTTCGGATAGCGATGGCAATACACTACACATTGACAACCCTTCTCGGCTGGTTTCACGACACACACAAGAAGACGAGTCCGATAATTTAACAATTCACTATCGTTTCAGCGCGCCTGCCAACCAACCGATCGAGGATGTCCAGCCAGGTGGGGAAGCAGCGACAAAGAGCGCTGACTTATGTTTCGAGATGGAGGCGGCTGAGCGGACAGACAATTTCCCTTGTCTCTTGGTGCGCGGCATTTGCGATGCCGCCGACTCACACAAGAATGGAGCGTGGCAGGGTTTCGCCGCTATGGCTGCTGCTGCATACGCAAAGGACTTGCTGTGTCAACTTCCACCTGACAAGATAGAATCGCAGCCGCAGGTCGATTTACAACGACTTGCAGTTCCGGGGTTTGGCTCGAAACCTGACCTTCACCAATCAGAACCCAAATGCATGCCATGCGAGTCTTTGGAAAGACACCAGGGCTCACACGTGCATGTCACTGACGGGAAGCTTGAAACCTCTCACGAGACAAGCGAGAGCATCAGCTGTTCTACTGCATCTGAATACTGCGCCTCTGGCAGCTGCAGCGGAACTTGCGAGAGCGATCCTGCGTCGGTATCCCAAACTAAACACCAGTCTTCGAAGAATGACTGTTACTACGACGCTGCTACACAAGTGGCAGCACCGGATACCGTCCCAATCGCAGCACGGCCCGTTGTCCATTGCCAGCGATTGCATGTGGATGATACTGCCACATCTAGTTTCGAGTCTCGTGATGCCGATGTGATTACTTCACAACCCAACCTCGCAACCTATGGTACTTCCAGACTGGAGCGAGAGAGACACCGAGATGCGTACATCAACGCAATCCGCAAAGACGACGTCTTCAAACTTGCATCTAGCCACAACCACGACAAAGAGTGCACCGAATTTCGAGAGCGTGAAAACGGGAGCTTTCACGTCTGTTTTTTTGTTGAATTCCCCTCTGATGGCCAAAAATGGGTTGTGAGATTTCCCATCTGTCCGGTCCTTTATGAACCATGGCAGAAGCTACGGAGCGAAGTTGCTACCATGGAGTATGTTGTATAGCACCAGTCCCAAACTCTTCCTGCTGACTGCATCATAGATATATCCAAACCAACACGACGATTCCCATACCCCGTGTGTATGGTTATGGGCCAGGTGGTGATTTAGACATGAATAATGCCACCGGCCTCCCTTATATTATCCTTGAATACATTGTTGGCCAGCCCTTTGATCCTAAACGGCTGTTGAAGGCATCCGATGATGTTGTACAAAAGTTCTATACGCAGCTCGGCGACGCCCTATCACAACTTCGGGCTCAAGAGTTTGAATACGCCGGATCCGTGACGAAGGACGCACGAGGCTTCGTTATAGGCTCGCCTCGCTCCGTGGATTTAAACAGCATCCAGTTACAGGGCAGACGAGGGAGCGTTACTCCGCAAACAACAGCGTTTGACTTTGCCATGTGCAACTACGATACCCTCGCGCAGCGATTAAGCCTCCCAACAGAGGAAATGGGGGAAGACGACGCCCGACACGAGATTTTTGCACTTGAAGATTTCAAGATAAGGCTCTTCCAGCTTATAGACCCTTCCTTAAACTTCGAACCCTTTGTGCTTACACACGGGGACCTACGGCCGTCGAATATTATCGTAAGTGAAGATTTTACTATAAAAGGCATCATTGACTGGGAATGGAGCACTACTATCCCTCGCCAGTTCTTCATGCCGCCACTATGGTTTAGTGGATATGAAGTGGCTAGTCCTAGGGACGCGCGATATCAATTCCAGTATTCTATCTTTTACCAGGCGCTTTTGCGTGCCGGTGCGGCATCGGACGCATGCCGCACACTCGCATTGGAATGGGGGCCAGATCTTGGATCCAGCTACCGCCTCTTCCTACCCGAAGCGCTACTACACCACCATGCTCTTCTGCATGTATACTACCTGGCTCTGTTCCCCGAGTTCTTCAAGGGCATGAGGCGGCAAGATAAGCTCGAGGCGTTTTACAGATCCTCAAGGGTATTCCGCGAAGCAGTGCGGGTCAAGGTGGAGGAATCAAGGAAATACAAGGAACATCTTATTGCAGATGGGCTACTCAATCCAGATATTAAAAGGGCTCAAGACTTGGAACTTGAGGCGCTGCGCCTCAAGGCTGCGAAACTATTCGGTAGTGGCACGGCGGCGCCTTAGATTGCCGTGTGCCCATGTTTCTTCTCCCATTCTCGCTTCTGCTCCTCGAACTGAGAAATCTCATTTTCAAGCTTTGTAATGGCTTCTTGATACGCCCTGATTTGCCCCTGGTATTGTTGCAACGACTCTTCCAAATCCAGCGTCATCACCGTTCGCCGCGCTTGTGCCGTTGAGGCGGAGTCGCTAAGGAGGGCCATGGCGCTCTTCTCCAAGTTTTCGACGAGCTTTACGTGTTCTTGGACCTTATTTTGAGTCTTGCGCAATTCTTGTACTTTGTCATCAATGTTCTGCTGAAGCCTAGCTATGAGTAAAGCCATTGTCGTAATCTGCACATGATATTTTGGTCAGCAGGAACCTGGAACTAGAATACCTGGTGCAAGAGGAAACTTACAAGGAATGCCAAATGATGACGATAAATATGAGAGCAGCAACAGCCACGGCGGTAGAGTATCTTGAATAGAAGGGAATATTGTCGACAGGCTACACGTAAAGCAAGCATCTACTCGTAGAACTATGAACGATCCTGCGTGAATAGGCAGCATCTTCCCCGCACCGCAGCCTGTTAGGCGCCTCGTCCTTCTGACTGGCCAAGAGCAGATCACATGAACTTATCATTACTAAGTGCGCGCCTCTCATGACTTTGTACCATGTGGATCCTATTCTTGCTGACTTTGAATGGTTTTAGAGATTACTGGCGAGGAGCGGCGCAGGTGCTGAGGGTTTGCGATACGCTGCTCTAGGTCGGACGGGAAGTTTCCAAGCAGTCTCTTTCGTGTCATTGCACCCAGATTCCAGTTTGAATGGCGCGTCATCTTTTAATTCCTGTCCGCCGTTCACTGCCATGCATGGTCGTTGTCACTGTCGTGGTCGTGGTCGTAGTTCTTGCTGTAGCAATAGTTACAGTAGGTATCACAGATTGACTATGGGTGCGCTGTCAGCGTCGCATTGGCTGATGAAACCCTGCATCGCCAGCTGCAGGAGCCGTTGTGGTGTGGAAAAACGCTTGCTGCATCTCATGTCTTGGTGACAACGAATACGACTGCAATGTTACGGCGTTTTATCACATATTCAGCCAGCCACGGGAATTCTGCTGCATGGACAGCAGGACGAAATCAGGATCCGATATGTCGTTGCGACGTGCAGCAAGACGGCACCGCCGATAGCCTTGAGTGAAAGCGGAGAAATGGGAAATGGCTATGCATGAACGTATCCGAAAATGTATTTCCATTATTCAATATGATCGATGTTCCGATAGCGTAACGCTCCCGGCGGCGCATAGCACCTTGACAGCGGACAGCGGACTAGGCCCGGATCTGTCTCGGCCGGTCCGTGCCGCCCCGCTGGTACAGTTATCAAGGTATATTCTCAGGCAGGTAGCCCCTATTGGCCCTGTATAAACGAACAGATCATTGTCTGATCAAAACGTCACTTTCGTGCTCAAGGTATGGAAAGACGGCTCCAAGATAGTTACAGTTAAGGCACTAGTCACCAGGCTATAATTCATGCTCATTTCTAGTCAATGGATATTATTTTTGGCGTTATTGCCGCCAGTCGCAAAGTCACCGTCGCTCGGCTTGGGCTTATCCATGAGAAGCGTATGGTGATGAAGTGCAAGTCGTACTCTACTTCAATCATGCAGCACTAACTTATGCAACTCGTGTTGATCCAATCTTGGCGAAATCCAATGCTGCCTGACCACGTCGTGCATATGCAATATATTGCGGTGTAAGTGGAAGTGATGGGCCGGCCTAGGCCTGCCCGGACAAGTCCCGTAGGTAAACAATGCAGCCGGCGTTGGATAGATGCATCAATCTTCTTCCGTTGAGCATGTCAGCTACAAGATGAAAAAAGGGTACTTCGTATTCCGTACTCTCTCCTGGGTCCTGCCGTCCGGGTGTAGGTAGAGTATCTGTGCTGTTCTGGAATATAAGTAGCCAACTCCGTCCCCAATTCGCTTCTCATCTCCCTCCTTCTATCCAGCATCACATTCTGAAAAAGACTCTTCTCAAAACTCAGTTGCACAACCTCGAAACAAACCATGTCGCCATTCATCATGAAACTCGCGTCTGTCTTGGCTGGAGTTGGCGCAGCAATGGCAGCTCCCCCATTGGCGGAGTCGGGCACCATCTTGGCCGTCATGGGCCCAGATGCCCTCAATGAGAAAAGCTACTCCGTCTTCGCCAACTGCGTGCAAGGTCTGGACTCGGGCTACAAAGCATACGCAGACGGGGGTGTTCTGGTAGTCATCCCATCCACCAGTCGTGCGATTGACATCAACGCCGCGGACAAGGAGCTGTGGAAGTGCATCGAATCCTCCTCAGGCACCATCTCTCTCGCGGCTGAATCGAGCGAATTCCACGACAAGGCCCACGAAGCAAGCACCGACGTCAGGTCCATTCAGCACACGGATGCTGTGAGCATGGGGGTCACCGGACAGAAAGTGGTTGATCATGTTGCTGCCAAATCGAACGCATTGAACACGCGCGCCACTGCTACCATCTATGCCGTCCATCGTTCCGATGAACGTACCTGCAGGGGTGACTTTAACCAACATTACGTCAGAAACTGCATCAGCTTCATGAGTGCGTATACCTCCACACAGGCGGACAACCTGGACGCGGCCAAGCAGTTGCGGTATACCGTTTGGCCGCACCACGATTGCCAGAAAGGAAACCAGAGAATCATGAATATCAGACCGCGTTCGTCCTCCGAGTGCCTGGCCAGGACCACTTATTCATGGACCGGAGTCTATGTTTAGCTGTCTGTGGACGTAGCTTGAGGTTGCGGAATATGTGGTTATCAGGCGAGAGTTTGTCTAGTCCAAATCTGTTATTTCAGTGATTCTCGTAAAATTCCGATACTTTGTGTCAGATGTGAGAAGAGAATGATCAGAGAAGATGCACAAGAGAGGACAGGGATGAGGAGAGCAAACGAGGTGGATTGAGGCACACAGGAAGAATATGGCACTTGTTACCTACCTAGGTACCTAGGTAGGCATCAGACTGAGCATAGCATGAATCAACGCGTACAAACTACCTGGCTCATATCAGGCTTTTGTTCAAGTCGTCGGGGTTACATCCTTGGTCATAATGTGTAATGTCCCTTGTTTGACAGCGGGCGCTACCCCGCCTCTTTCACTTTACTTTGTGCACCCTGAGTGGTCACCTGATAGTGACATGCAGACAAAAGTTCAACCCTCACTTCCACCTCTTCCACCTTGCGCCTGCTCTACTACAAGCTGCATACCTCGGTGAAAAAAGTGCTGGCAGAAAGATCAGCGCCATGGCGGAAGAGTACATGGACTTTGACCGGTTCATCGAAACCTTTGAACTGAAGCTCGACAAAGAGTTTGATTGCGACGACGTGGCAGCATCATGGGCTCCCTCAGCCAACGGCGGCCCTCAACTTTGGGGAGACGAGCGTGATGCATTCGAGCTGAGTAAAGACGACCCCATGTCAGAACAGGCTGAGAAGTCGAGCGCCGAGCTGGCAATGAGTCCAGAGGGCAAGTTCATCGCAGTGGCGACCAACGCCGTCATTCGAATCTACGCTGTCGAGTCAAAAGTATTGACGGCCGAGTTTCGCGGACACGAAGAGACGGTCCAAGCCATCCACTTTTGGAAAATGCCCGGCGACGACGCCAAAGACGCCCACTACGTGGTTCTTTCTCAAGACTCCGAGGTTGTCGGCGCTGATGGCGTCATCATTGCGTGGTACCTCGATGGGGATGGAAAACGGGTTGGTGATGCAGAAAGTAAGATTCAGTTCGAAGGTAGGTTCCTCTCGGGAACCGCACACGCTCTGCGCTGCGACGGGGCTCAGTTCGTGCATTCGGATCGAAGCGTAACAACGCAGGGCTGGTCACGACCAAGTGACTGGCTCCCGCAGCTCGTCATTCGCTCGCTCTCCGATCCTCTCACCGAAGTCTGCCGACTCAAAGGCCACCAAGACTCCATCAAATGGGCTGCGTGGTCACCCACCGACCCCAACGTCATTGCATCGGCATCGTGGGATGCGAGCTGTCGAATCTGGAACGCTGCGACGGGAGAATGCATCCACAACGTGCAGGGCGCCGACGGACAGAACTGGACGGGTGACTTTTCCCCCAACGGAGAACAGATTGTGTTTGCCGGCAGCAACCGAAGCGGCGCGCCACACATTGCAGTCTACAGCGTTGCGACCGGCCACATCATTCTGCAAGCTGAGATGCCCGGTCTCGGGGGCCTGCCTACACCACTCACATGGTCTCCCAACGGCGACGTGATTGCCCTCGTGGTCAATCGCTCTGTCCTCCTGTGGGATGTTGCCACGAACAAGACCACAGAAGTCGTCAAGGTGCACAGCGACGGCAGTCTGCGCGATGATTTTTGCGACATTACGAGCCTCAGGTGGCTTGATCGACAGGGCAGCAGGCTTCTTGCCCGCCTCACTGACCATACCGTGCTTGTCTGGGACCGGCAGCGCAACTGCAAGTGGAGGCTCCGGCGGCCACCGGGACTGCAGCAGTTGGCGACGCTGTCGAGTGCAGAGGCCTTTGTGGAAGAGAAGAACGAGCTGCTTTGTCTCGACGGAGACTGGCGGCTGCGCACTTGGGGACTGGAATGAGAGTAGCTCGTATGGTGCGCGTAGGCGGGCAGCACAAATCACCTCGTTCGGCAGCATCAGCGTGGCTTTTTTTTTTGCATTTACAGAGCAGCATCAGATCTCAAATAGTATACAATGAATTGCAATGATATCACAAGTTTTCGCCATGTCAGTAGTGTGTCTTGGCTCACACTCCTGCCGTCTTCGTGTAGACATACAAGCCCAGTCTATACAGCAATCGCTGCTGTCTGGGAGCTCCCGTTGTTCGTCACCGGACCCTGCGAATGCACGTCATCGCCACCATGCCAGCCGTACGTCCGTCTTCCTGTCGCGCGGGCGGCCCCCGACGCGGCTGCCGGCTCCTCCTCGGGCAGCCAGCTCTTCCTCGGCACACCCCAGCCCGCGGTCCGCGCAATGGTCTCGGCGACATGCTCGGCCTCGCCGTCGGCATCGTACGAAAAGGGGGATCCCGGACGGAGCGGGATGTGGTTGTAGCGCCAGTCCCAGACGGCGGCGTACGCGCAGCGGTACGACGCCAGGGCCATGGCGCTCCCGATGACGGCGCCGGCGGCGACGTCGTACCAGTTGTGCGCGGCGTCGACGGTGAGCGCGCACGCCATGGTGGCGGCGGCGAGCAGCGGCAGCAGCGTGAGGGCGAGCTTCCAGCACGCGGGGCGGTGGTCGGCCCAGACCTTGAGCTTGGCGTTGGTCCAGAGGAAGAGGAAGCCGAAGCCGGCGCAGGCGGCCGTGGCGTGGCCGCTGGGGAAGGCGGTGACGGCGTCCCGGAGCAGCCGCGCGTCGGGCTGCGCGCAAATGTCCGTCGTGTACATGAGGCGGCGGAAGCCGACGCCGTCGAGGCCGGTGCGGTTGCCGCCGGGCTGCGCGGCGCGGGACGGGTCCGGCATGCAGACGGCGAGGAAGGAGGGCCGGAAGCCCCCGACGAGCTGCTTCAAGACGACTTGGATGAGGGCGCCGAGCAGCGCGGCCCAGGCGGTGCCGAGCACGGCGTTGCTGGCGTCCCAGAGGGAGCGCAGGCGCAGCGCGGCGCCGAGGTAGACGAGCAGCGGCACGCCCAGGGACAGCGCGCCGGCCTGGTGCGCCGGCATCAGCCAGCCGCGGTAGGGGTACGCCCACTCCGGATAGACGACGTCGCCGGAGCCGTCAAAGGTGACGGGAAAGGTGCGGAGGGATGGGAAGGGCGCGTGGTAGATCTGTTTGGGGGGGGGAGTTCAGGTGTGTTAGCTCAGCAGGAAAGCTTGGCGCGGCTCGGGGACATGGGGTTGCTGTACAGCGAGAGCCAAGCCTCCGACAATGGCCATGGTGATGAGATCAGGCCACACGGCCTGGAACCAGTGGCGGAGGAGAACAGCCGCGGCGGGCGGCGTTCGTGGTGAGGGCATCACGACGGATGCGGAGGGAGTTGTGCACCGGTAGATTCTTCGTGAGCAGCGCAAGAAAATGGATAAGTTATCGAATGGTTAGTAGGGACTCTGCGGCATGTGTTGATAACGAGCGCGAGCAAGGCGTTTTTCGTCGTGGCAAGTCGCTTGCCAGGAGGGGTGTCGCGTGCTCGCTTGCTCGCTTCAGCAAACAAGTTGACGGCCGAGGGTTGGGACTTGGTTGACGTCATGTAGCGCAACATTTCCGCCGCCTGCACCTTCCGCTGGTACAGTGGATAACGTTTTCCCATTGTTCAATCTGGATGGGTAAGAAATGGGGTTTTTGTAAAGACGGGATTTTGGGACGATTTGGATACTGACTTGGCCCGGCTGCGCGTGGTGTATTACTGTTCGCTCGCCGTTGTCTACCCTGTTTTATAAGGTAAGCTACCTAGGTAGGCAGGAATATGGCCGTTTACAGGTGTCGCTCTCCGACTTTCACAGAACCGAGAAAACTACTCGGTCACAGGTTAATAACTATTTGCTTCTGTGACTTTCCGTTTCTAGAGAGTGACGGAACAACTCCGACTGGCACCTGTCGCAGCAACCCTCATTCGGCTTCCTCATTCCGGGTAGCCCAAGGACAGCCCACCTTGACTTCTTGGGCCGTGTCGGGCGTTGATGCCCATTATTAATAAGAAAAAAAGAAAAAAAAAAAGCCGCCCTCCGTCTCACCCATTAACCAATCTCTTCATCTCGAGGTAATACCAGAGTGACACGCCAGACGCTGGGCGCGCCCGGTGAGGCGCAGTACACAGGTAACCCACGTCAGCAGGCCAGAGTGAGGCTTTCACCTACCAACCTAGGTAGCAAGGTAGGTAGGTAGTCTTAATTACCTACCAACCACTGGCAAGTGAACTCTTACACAAGTCGCCCAAAAATAGCCCATCCCGTCCCACTCGCCGGCCCAGCCCATCTACATTTCCCCCCTCCGCCACCATTCAACTCTTGTTTCTTTTCCCCGTGTCTTTTATTCCCCAAACATTATCTTCCCATCATCGTCGACTTTACATCAGCCATATTCTTCTTCTTCTTCTTCTTCATTTCCCCCTTCCTGGCATTATCCCCAACGCCCGTCTCTCATCACCCACCCCCACCACCCGAACAAAAAACAACCAACCAACCCACCCCGCGAGCGAAATACACACAACGACCCCCCTCCCCCTCCCGCGCGAAAAGAAGAAAAAAAGGATCATGACCACCAGCAGAGACCGCCGCGTCGCCAAGGAGCTCGCCGACATCCATGCCGACCAGGACAGCTCCGGCGTCTTCGCCGCACCCGCCGACGGCGTCTCCCTGCGCTCCCTCGTCGGCATCTTCCCCGCGCCCCCGGACACGCCCTACGCCGGCGGCACCTACGAGGTCGAAGTCGACATCCCCGACAGCTACCCCTTCAAGCCCCCTAAGATGCGCTTCAAGACCAAAATCTGGCATCCCAACGTCTCCTCCCAAACCGTACGCCCCCCTCTTTCCCTGCTTCTCTCTTTTTTCCTCGCTTCGCTCGACGTCAGCCTCGTCAACGCAACTCTGGCTTTGCATGATGGATGTGTGCTGACCGTATCATGATTATATAGGGCGCAATCTGCCTCGATACACTCACCACCGGCTGGTCCCCCGTCCAGACTATCAAGACGGCCCTCCTCTCCCTGCGCATGCTCCTCGAATTCCCAAACTCAAAGGACCCCCAGGACGCCGAGGTCGCCAAGATGATGAACGAGCATCCCGAGAGCTTCGCCCTCTTCGCCCACGAATGGGCCGTCAAGTACGCCGGCGCCCCCCGCCGTACCATTGACACGAGCCAGTTTGCCCAACCGTCCGCCGCCGCCCCCGTAGACGATGCTCAGAGGTGTGTACCCCCCAAATGCCCTCTCCTCTTGGGGTGCGCCCAAAAGCTAACGAGGTGGCAGATACAACGGGTACAACAAACGCATGGTCGACAAGTTTACTTCCATGGGGTTTGACGTAGAGGCCGTCGTCGACGCCTTTCGGCTTGTGGGCATCGATCGTAACAACGGCCACTATTACGAGCTTGAGGAGGCTTACATGGGCGAGATTACCGCCCGTCTGCTAGGCGAGCAATAATAGGATTGGCCGAGGTGACGACTGAAATACCCACGCTTCGTTTTTCTTCCTCACGCATTGAGTTGGAGTTTTTTGTTTTTTGTTTATTGCTTTTATGCATGTATACATACCACTGGGAACTGAGTTTAAAATGCAACAAAGAGCCTTGATTGGGGCATACTTCCATGTCCAACTATTCATTTTTCCAACGCTAAAAGACATGCACATGTCGACGCGAGAATACCGCAAGCCAGTCTTCTAGAGCAAAAAGTTACAAGCCACTGTTCTAGAGCACACCGGCTGTCCCGTTTTATATTGTTCCATATCTATCACATAGTAATGACACTGGCTGACAGGCAACTGGACGGAGCTTTCCACCCAGAAACAGGCCGCCACGGAAAACCATTGGTTTTCCTTTGAAATATTAAAGCAAGGAACGCAAAGTCACAGCTTTCGTGTCCTAGAGAAAAAAGCCCTAAAAAATAAACTGCACATTTCCCTCTCCATTCCTCTTGGCACACAGACAACTCTCCCAGGCACCTTGTCGTCAACGAGCAGGTTGGTAAAATTTACAAAAGATCGCGGCGAACAAACTCGTCATAGAGAGCCTTGCCGAGACCGGCGGGGGAGCGCTCGACAATGACACCGGCGCCCTCGAGGGCGGCAATCTTGGAGTCGGCGCCGCCCTTGCCGCCCGAGACAATGGCACCGGCGTGACCCATGCGGCGGCCGGGCGGGGCGGAGATGCCGGCGATGAAGGAGACGACGGGCTTGCCGCCGTTGACCGTGTTGTACTGCTTGAGGAACTCGGCCGCGTCCTCCTCGGCGGAGCCACCGATTTCACCAATCATGATGATGCCGTCGGTGCTCTCGTCCTTGAGGAAGACCTCGAGGCAGTCGATAAAGTTGGTGCCGGAGAAAGGGTCACCGCCGATGCCGATGACGAGCGACTGGCCGAGACCGGCCTGCGTGGTCTGGTTGACGGCCTCGTACGTGAGCGTACCGGAGCGCGAGACGATTCCGATGCGGCCGCGCTTGTGGATGAAGCCGGGCATGATGCCAATCTTGCACTGGCCGGGAGCGATGATGCCGGGGCAGTTGGGGCCGACGAGGCGCGTCTTGCTCTGCGTCTTGAGCATGTCGGTGATGCGGACCATGTCTGTATGGGGCCGAGTCGCTGGTTAGCTGTCCGAGTTCGAGGCTTTTTTTATCGCAGTCGGGGTTGTAGTAGCGGGGATAGTTTACCATGTTGAGGAATACCCTCGGTGATGCAGACGGCCAGAGGAATCTCGGCCAGGAGAGCCTCCTCGATACCGGCGGCGGCCAGAGGGGGGCTTGCGTTTGGTCAGCTATACAGCGAGCAATGGGAGCACGATTTGGGCGCTTACGGAACAAAGAGGGCAGTGGCAGTGGCGCCAGTCGCCTTTACACCCTCGGAGACGTTCTTGAAGACGGGGAGGTCGAGGTGAGTCTGGCCGGCCTTTTTGGGGTTGGTGCCACCAACAACCTTGGTGCCTGCAGAGGGCATGGTCAGTACATGGTCGGCTTGTAATTGATGCGCCTGTGCAGCGTCGCGGTGATTGCATCGGGGCTTGTACCATATTCGATGGCCTGCTGGGCGTGGAAGCTATTCACAAGGGCACGTTAGCGTTTCGTTCCGGGGGAGCCGTGGGGGGAAGCGCGCATTAGGCAATGCCGTTCCGCTGCTGTCACGCCCCAATGGAATGCGGAATGGCACGTACGTTCCCTGCTTGCCGGTGAAGCCCTGGAAGAGGACCTTGGTGTCGGCGTTGATGCGCAGGTTCTCGACCGTCTTGGAGTAGGGGGACGACGAGGAGCTGTATGAGCGGCTCGAGACCTGGCGGAGGGCCGAGCGAGCGGCGGATCTGTGAACGGCCTGCATTGTGGCCGGGACGATTGGGAGAGAGAGGAGGGAGAGGGAGGGGATGCGAAAGGAAGAGGGAGGAAGAAAGAAGAGAGGCAAAAAAAAGAGGATGCAGTCGACGGTAACCGCAGAGAGGTGTGTGGTTGTGTTGTCGTGGCCGGGAACAAAAGGGAGCTTTTTGGGTGGAGGTTTTTTTTCCTTGGGGAGAGCTTGTCTGGTTGGCTGGACTGGGGGTCAGTTTTGGTAACAGAGTTGGGACAGTGGACGTCTCTGCTTGGGCCTGGGCGCTCTTTGTTGGTGAGCGTTATTAACGTTCAGCGAGTCGTGGCTCGGGTGCTACCGGCCCCAACAGCACCAAACGGCGAATCATTTTTTCCGACTCTTTTCGTGCGTGGGCCATTGGCGGCCCTGTATTTGCTGCCACTGACCCATGTTTCAGAGGGGCCTAAGCCTCCTAATCCCACTGGTCAAATCCCCTGGTGACCCCTGGCTTGGGACCTATTACATACAACGAACAACGACCGCGACAAATAATGCCGGCGCTATCGGCAATCACTTGCGGCTTTGCGTCTGCTGTAAAGGATTCGATTGAATTGATAACCCCCTCTAAAATGTCTATATGATGTCGTCACTAACTAGGTTGGGGCCCTTCTACTGCCTCTGAAAATGGTGGTGTAGACCCAACAGGCTGCACGGCTTCCTTTCTGAATAATCAGCAATCGAAGCCTCATATCATGACACAATCAGTGACATTCACTCAGCTTCCGGCTCCGACCTCATCGCCTCGTCTTGTTCCGCCCCGCCATCATCGCTATCATCGCCACCCACATTCAGATGGGCATAGCTCGCCACCAGCCTCCCCAGCACCTTGGACTCGAGGTCCTCCTTCTTCTTGACCACGCTCACCGGCCAGTGGCTGCGCACTGTCTGCGCCAGCTCCTGCGGCTCCTGCTCCTGGTCGCCGCCGCCCCCCTGGTGCAGCGCCCCCCGCAGCAGCGCCAGCTCCGCGCGCCGCATCTTGCCGCGCAGCACCCGCCACAGCGCCTCGGCCAAGTAGTGATTGTGCCGCTGGTCGTGCAGGCCCTTGGCGATGAGCATCACCGTCGCCCGCAGCTCCTCGAGCGCAACCGAGCTGCTGTCCTTCTCCTCAGACCGGGCAATGAGCTCTAGGCAGTCGTCCGCGACAACCATGAGTGGCACCACGATGAACAGGTCCATGGCCTCGTACCCGTGCCGCAAAAAGTAGATGCGTATCAGCGTGTGCATGTACCTGCGCGACGATGCCACCATGTCGGCCGGCGTGTGCTGGTACGGCGCAACTGCATCCAGCAGGGGTTCGTATATGCTCAACAGCAGGTGGTAGTAGTACATGCTGCGGCCAGTCAGTGAGGTGCTCTAGCGTGACTTCCATTTCTTGCTGGTACAAACTTACTGCAGCTGTAGTTGCGCCGGGAGCACGATATTCTTGGGTTTCAGCGATTCGGGCAGATGCTCGAACCAATGCTCCAGCTTCCGCCGTAGCCCTTCTGCCTTGAAACTATTCACGCCCAACGTGGTGCCGTATGCCTCTTGGCAAAACTCATTCATAATGATGCGAAACTGCGTCTTCTTCTCAAACATCTGCCCAAAGTGCATTGAGACGAGCGTCGAGCTCGCGGGGTACTTGACCCATAGCTGGCCATACCAGTCTGGGTCTTGCACCGCGTCAGGCAGCGGGCACTTGGGTACCTCCTTGACAAGCGGTGCGTGGAGAAACGAAAAGGCTATGAGGCTGTCCAACATATATTAGCACTTGTAAATATGGCGCGTGATGACGTTGGGCAGCAAAACATACGTTTCCCAGTTGTACAGCGTCCAGGCGGTAAAGGCCTTGCCGCGCTGCGTCCGTGGAGGCTCGTCCGCATTGGGCTCGTTCCAGAGGCCCAGCTCGTTGGCCAGCGCCACGGCGTGGATGCGGTACGCCTGTCCGACCTCGTCCAGCCCGGAGAGGTTGTAAAAGACGCTGAAAAGCATACCCGCCTGCACCGTGGTAATGTGCGGCTGGCGCGCGCCGAGGTCCCACAGCCGCCGGGCCTCGGCGAGGAAGCGGTACGCCAGCGTCTCGGGATTCCAATACTCGGCGCGTTTCGGCAGCTTGGGGTTGCACACCTAAAAAAAAACGTGTGAGACATGTCAATCTTGTGTGCATAGGGATCGGGGGTGGTGGCTACTCACCGACGCATACGCAAGCACGAGATTGACCAGCAGCGACGAGCAAAACTCGGACCGGCCTGCTGCGAGGTCCTCGAGAAAGTAGTCCTTGTGAAAGGCCGACGTGAACTGGTACTCGCAGCGGAAGAAGATGGCGAGCAGCTCGCGCATGAGCACCTCGTCGTCGCACACGCACGTCCACGCCGCCATGGACGCGGCCACGAGGCGCGGTTCCACGAGGTGCGCCGCGTGAAACGGCGCCTTGTACACGGCATCCTCGTCGTGCTCGGCGCCGGGACTCTCACCCGGCGAGCGCGTCGTCTGCCTCTCACGCACCAGAGCGCGTCGTCCGTTGCTTTCCTCCTCCCCCGAGGCGGCGGACGAGCCGACCGACACGCTCGGCGACAATGGCGGCGCATCGTAGATGAACGACCCGAGGTACGGATTGCCACCAGCACCCACACAGCTGGCGGGCATCTCGGCGCGGTATGGAAACACGTAGCGGAAGCGCGTCTCGGGCGTCACGGCCATTTGCAGCAGCGCGTCGCCGGCCGTGACGTGGTTGATGATGGCGGTTAGGGGCGTGCCGGCGCGGAGGCGGGCGAGCACGCCCTGGGCGTCCTGGTCGGGGAGCCGCCGCAGCAGGGCGACGACGTCCTCGTGCTCGGTCGCGCGCGCGCGCAGCGCCCGGTACCCGCGGCGGAGGGCCTGGGCCTCCGTCTCGCCCGGGCGCGCCGTGTAGTGGCACGCCATCTGCCGCTGGGCGCATCGTCGACACCTCGGTCTGTCACCGGAGCACTAACAAGTGGTGTTTCGGTAAGTTGCCATTTTTTTTGCAGAGACGAGTTTTGCCAACTGTCGAGATATTCGTTTTGTAGGGGGGGCCTATGGCATGGCCGAGGCATGGCCGAGCGTACCTTGGTCTTGTGTTTTCGACAGTTGTCGCAGGCCGCGGCCGTGTGAGGCGGCTTCGCCATCCGGGTCGGCTTCATCGGCCCCAGAGCCTCGCGCTTCTTGACCGCCGGTAACAGCGGGCGCAGAGGCCGGTCCTGCTGCGCCGCCGCTACTACTGCCGGCTGCTCCGTCATGATGTTTGCGGACACGAAAGTGATTTGCGTACTTGTTCAATCCTGCTCCGAGTGGCGCGCGACGAATCAAGTTGAGTGATGGAAGAAGATGAAAGGCGAGATGGGTAAAAGCTTTAAAAAAAAAAAAAACCACCATGTGTTGGCGACTATTGTGATCCAATTGCTCTGCCAGCTTATTCTCATACCATCACTAACGTCATTGTCCCTTTTCCTTTTGATGAGCATATATTTGGTGATATGAGAAAAGAAGGGGGCGAGAAAATGGCCGATGACGAGCTGCTGGGGAAAAAAGGACATTCTTGGTGCAAGCGCCGGTGGTGACTATCGGAGCCAGCTCCGGGGCTTTGCCAAGCCTCAAACGATGCGAAGAACAAAAGAGAGACTCGGCCATCGGGGTTTTCGCAAGGAATCGATCCCACCCCGCCTCGGCTGAGTCTTTCCCGAATTCGTTAGGCGTCTGGCAGCGGATAGCTTGGGGACACCGTTGCAAAGTTATGGAGAAGATGGAGAACAAGACGAACGGCGGCACATCAGCACTGGGGTCCGTGCAATGCAAGTCTATACCATCCGTAATTTGTGGAAACGCGAGCTTGCTTTAATAACTTACCTACTTTTAGCGCCGTCCTTATTACTTTGTAAACAACGTGTTATTGTCATCATGATTCCATCGTTTGTATCTTGCACATCTATTCCCAGCATCACACAACATCTCATTGACCCGTTTCAACGCAATCCCGAAAAAGACAAAAAGAAACAACAAGGAAAAAAAAAAAAAGTCAACACGCATCGCCATGAAATACCATAAATGCCGTACTATATACACAGGTAGACATGCAAGTCCACACCGAAACACCGAGCGCGAAACAAAAATTGGCCCACAATCAAAACCATCCCAGACCGTGACTGACACGAGGGCCGTTCAGGTTGGCCGTCAACGGTGGTAAATGGCCGCCGAGGATCCTCTTCAGAAGCTGCTCGATGGGGATGCCGAGAATCGGAATCCTGTACATGCTCTGCAAAATGTCGATCTCGTTGCCCAGGATGCAAAAGGCAGCTGGGTGCAGGTAGTAGCGCAGAATCACCGCCAAGGACATGAGGCCGGCCGCCGAGTGCGCGACGCCGGCGTCGGGGGTGAAGAAGAAGCCCATGGAGTAGACTTCCCGCGTCGCATAAGCAGCCGACTCCCACAGGTAGTGCTCCGTGGCGGACACGCCAGCTATCGAGGCTGTCGACGCAGACGAGGGCGAGTTGGCGTCGTCGTAGTCGTACGAGGTCGCCGTCGAGCTTGGCGTTCCGACAGCACCTCCCCCAAGGTACGTCGCGTACCACCCGGGCGGCCGTTCCGGTATCCGCTCCTCGCCCTGCCGTGAGCTGAGGAAGCTCTTGATGCACGCTATCATGCCGGATGTGAACCAATATATTGTCGTCATGTGGTGAAAGGCATATTCGGCGTCATTCTTGGGTGGCTCGAGCGGGCCAATATTCGCAAAGCAGTCGAAGCGCTGCAGTGAGTCGCCGCGGTCGGCAGCCCACGCGTCGAGGTCTGCACGCACTGTGTTGCAGCGGCTCATGATGAGCATCTCGAGATCTTGTCGTCGACGTTCATTTGTACAGACTTTAAATTCGTCAATATACTCAATAATTTCGGGAATATCTTGCATCAAGTCGATAAGGTCATCCTTGACCGCTTTCGGGTGCTTCTTCCACGGGATCTTATCCCATGCAGGGGTAGCAAAAGGGGAGCGTTTCCGTTGGCCGATGGATAGCATGACCTAAGATCGGTTAGCTGAAGAAAGTCGCACAGCGCAACTGTGAGTGATACCATGTTGATGCGGGCATCAGCGTATAACTGATGCGCTGGCCCTGAAGCGAATGCCGCAGGGCCTCGGGCCAAGAAGATGGCTTGCTGTCCTCGGTTATGGCCTCGCCAAACCAGAGGCTCGGGGGTGTCCTTTTCTCTGGAAATGAATAATAACTACACCCAGTTGTTAGTTGATGCATTGCCTCAGAAGCGGTCAAGGCCTACTTCAAAGGTGGCCATGATGCGGGCAGCTGTCAATAGCCCATCGCGCTTGTACCAGTCAGCCCTCCGCAATCCCTTGGTCATTTCCATCACGGAGCTATCATAGGCCTGTATTCCCTTGAGCTGCAGCTGCTTGTCGTTGTGCAGCGTGGCAATGATGGCGCTTGACGTGGCCATGGCGGCGAAGCGGACCGCCGGGTCCGTCTCGTAGAGCGGGCCAATGTGCTTGGTCCAGCCCATCGAGGCAAAGCTCATAGCCGCAGACGAGGGGATCGTCGTCCCCGCGGCAAGCAAGGTCGAGCCAAAGTAGCCCATGTAGAGCTGCTCGCGGGCCGAGCACGCCAGGTGTAGCGGCAGCAAGATGTCGGCGGGACGGGCCACGTCATTGGGGCTGCTGCTGCCTGGGCTAGACGAGTCATCGCGGAGGATGAGTTGCTGCTCCTGCGCGGAGGATGGATGCTGTCGCTGCTGCTGCTGTCGCTGCTGCTGCTGCTGCTGCTGCTGTTGCTGCCTTGACCGAATTTGCAGCTTGGGCCGATTGTCCACTGTCCGGTTGACCCAGACTAGGCCGTCGGTATACCCCTCACATTCTATGCCAGCCTTTTCGCATTTGAGGCACGTGGGCGTAGCTTTATCACACTGAATAGCGCGGAGAATTAGCAGACGCGCTATGCAACCTCAGAAAACCCTCCTGCAACTGGTTTGTCGGGACATTATCGTACCTTTTTCTTTCGGCGGCGGCAGGTGAGGCACGAGACTGATCTGGTGGGGATGCCAACCATCTTGGGGGTGTCTCGCTCGCCCGCCCCGAGGCATCAACAACGGCGCAGGCGGTTGCTAACGACAAAGAGAGTTGAAGAGTGAGACGCGCAGAGGCAGAATGAGATGGGCCGGCCGAGACTGTCTGCTTGGCGTCGACGTCAACGGCGTTGCGGAATAACGGAATGATGGGTACTACGACATTGGAGGAGTGAGATCCAGCCATTCGCGGTCAGATGGTGCCGCAATGGCGCCTGTTTTTTTTCTGTGCCTTGCAAGGTTGAACTGAGACACCCAGCTCAATTACCGAACATTGTTCGCTTCTGACCCCAAAGCCCCCGTCTCGTTTGCAACTGCCGTGGCTTTTCCCCCCTTTGCTGACCACCTACCTATTTCGACCCGTCGGGCATTACAAATAGTTAGGGAGGACGGTGGAAACGTTGTCCAGATAAAGCCCGGCATATGCCGCTTGCCCGCGATACGTTGACCCCTCACCCATCGGCTCTTTGCACGGGCAACGCAAATAGACGACAAATAATATTAGAGCATAAGCTATTATAAGATTGCGGGTTTTTCCCTCGTGGCTTTGTGGAGAAGCTGCCCTGCAGACGCTGCAGACGACTCCTTCAATCTACCTAGATGGGCACTAACTAGGTACCCAGGCACTGGGGCAGCTGTTCAGCTCGCCGTGAGTGGTTGGCCATTGAGGTACTACAGGTACAGAGGTGGTCGTATCTGGCCCTGACTGATACGACGGCCATAACAGAGTCGTGCCCGCGAGTTCTTTTCATTTGACTCGGATCGGCATGGCAGGCCAAGGCTGGACTGGACATTGTCGTCGGTGGACTCATCGTGCTCTTCTCTCTGTGCTGTGCTGTGATGCTTTATTAGGCTATTGTAGCTATTATTCGTAACTAGAAGCCCCGGAAGACGGCAACTGAGAACCGGATTTACAAAAAACGTACAACAACGGTTACATACGCTCGCTCCTCCACATGCGCCATTTGCATTTTGCTAATTCTCCTCATGGCAGAGTGCAACTAACTCGGCGTAAGCCGCCATCTGATCACGATCCGAGACACGGCTAGGTAGTTAGCGTGAGGCTATTCCAACTAACCAACTTCGTTGCTACACTACGCCACAGCTGACCAGGGGCACATTCCAGGCTTTGCCAAGTTGAACTTGAGTTGTTCGAGATACTCAATATATATTTATATAGCGGTCGGCACCCATTCAGTATCGCGCCAAGGTACACCCCGAGATTCTCGCGCTAGATCTGTACATGTTTGCCAGTTTACTCGCAAGTCATCGCGCTCGAATAAGTAGTTATGGTTGCCCATACCCTCAGCTGAATGGTCAATTTTGCCCTGGCCCATCAAAAACCGCAGATATCTTTCCGGTGTAGGCGTCGGCTTGGCCATGACCTCTTTCCTGTACGGCTCGAGTGGCAGGCTTGTAATCTTGATGGGGTCTGCGCCGCTTTCCTCCATGATGCGCGCTATCTCGGTCATGGATTTGTTATCGCCGCTAAGCTGAACTTCAGATGGAATCTCAGAGTATTCCGATGAGGCGAGAATGGCAAGCGCTCGGCCCACGTCATACATGCTTGTGTATGAGGTTCGCTGTGTGGCATCGCCGATGGCCTGGTACGACGACTCCCGAGTAAAGAAACCAAACCATGGCCCAATCGAGTCTTCCAGAAACAACCCGGCAAAGACCCTGCAAACTTGAACCTTGAGGTCCATCTCTCTGACCATGCGCATGTGAGCCTTTTTAGCATCCCACTCCTCGTGCTCAAAATCGTGCACGTAGTGGTTGACACCAAACTCGGAGGGAAAATAGAGCTTGACAGAACTGTTGGGGAGGCTTTGCAACAGCTTGGCCTTGAATTTGTGACCAGCTGGCCCGATTCTACAAGCCATGTTAGAGGAGGTGTCTTTTCTGGCGGCTTGTAGGAGATTTCCTAGCCGGCATTGGCTGCTGCACTTACGTGTTGATCAAAACGTCGACATGTTTCAGGGCGTCTTCAAGGTTGTCGTCGGAATATTGTCGAACGACGGCACCCAAGGAAGCCAGCCTTTTGACTTCGGTAGAAGAGGATCGTGCTAGAATCACGACTTGTGCAAAGCGTTGGCGAAACGGAGGCTGCAACAACATCTCGGTGATTTTAGCCCCGAGGTTGCCTGAAGCGCCAGCTACAGCCACAACTCGTGAAGTCGACATTTCGCAATTCTGAACAGGCAACACAAACGATGTTTGGATAAACGAAATTCCGTGATAATCCAGGGAAGGTTGATAAAGACATCTTTCCAGATATAAATACCTCAGCTTGCCACGTGACTGAATACTAATTGAGACTGGAAAGTTAAACTCGGTACTTGAAGCTCAAGACAAATATGTGGGATGCCCGACGCCGTGGCTGAATCCGGCGGCGCGTCCGGCTCACTAATGCTATGACATCTGTATCACGAGCAGCCTAGCACTGCCGTCGATGGATTGATAAAAAGGTAACTAGTGGAGTAGTGCGGAAGCCTGCCTAGATATTGTCAACTTAAAATAAATAAGTGGTAGATGACAAACAATGATTTGCTTGACTAACTAGGAGGTGTAGCCGTCAAACGCGCGACGATGGAGGTGCAGCCTGGCCACAACCTTAGCCACACACAACCTCAGCCACCAACTAACTCCCGCTGAAAGCCACAGTAATTATTCTCCACCAATAATCCAACAGAGCATTTTTTGCTCCGTCGAGCAATGTGCTGTTGGGTACTCGAACTTGCTGGCAACGGGCGGCTGTTGCTAAGCCGCTACGACATAGTCCTGTAGCCCTTTTCGCCTTTTCTTCCGGTATTTGAAACTGCCTCGTAACAATTGCCCTTATTCACTTGGAATGTAGCCACGTTATGTCAGCAAACAGTTTGAAATGCCTTGTGATAAGTACCTAGGTAAAGATTAAAGGGCATCCTGCTGACACAGCAACCCCACGTTACTGGCCATCAGTGCCCCACCGCGAACATGCCGCATCTCAAGCCCGTCATGGCAAAAAAAGATTCAGACAGCCAAAAATCTGGCCAACAACATTCTGGCCGCGACCAACACCGCGCACACCCATCATGGCTACCGCGACAGTCACTATAACGGCCGCCGCCTCGGCCAAGAAGAAAAGCGCCGATCTAGCCCCCGAGAGCGAGCGCTACCTGCGCTGCTGCGCAGACGTCGCCAATGCTCTGATAGAGGACCACGAGGCCACCAAGAATGGCCGCCCCAGTCGCGACATCAACCTTAACAGCTTGCGCAACAAACTGTCCAAGAAGCACAAGCTCACCAACATTCCGCCTCTGACCGCCATCATCGCTGCCATCCCCGAACACTACAAGAAATACATCCTCCACAAGCTCATCGCCAAGCCTATCCGTATGTCGCACGTCAACGCCCGCGGCTGACCATGGAATAACTAACGCTCCCAGGTACTTCGTCTGGTATTGCCGTCGTTGCCGTCATGTGCAAGCCTCACCGTTGTCCTCACATTGCATATACGGGCAACATCTGCGTCTACTGCCCCGGTGGCCCCGACTCCGACTTTGAATACAGCACGCAGTCGTATACCGGCTACGAGCCCACCTCGATGCGCGCCATCCGTGCGCGGTACGACCCGTTCGAGCAGGCTCGCGGCCGCGTAGACCAGCTCAAGTCTCTCGGACACTCGGTCGACAAGGTCGAATACATCATCATGGGCGGCACCTTCATGTCGCTGCCCGTGCCGTACCGCGAGGACTTCATCGCGCAGCTGCACAACGCCCTCAGCGGCTACCAGACGTCCGACGTCGACGAGGCCGTCGAGGCCGCCGAGATGAGCAACGTCAAGTGTGTCGGCATCACCATCGAGACACGCCCAGATTACTGCCTGCAGCCGCACTTGTCCGATATGCTGCGCTATGGCTGCACCCGTCTCGAGGTGGGCGTGCAGTCGCTCTACGAGGACGTTGCCCGCGATACCAATCGTGGCCACACTGTTGCTGCCGTGGCCGAGACCTTTTGTCTGTCCAAGGACGCGGGATTCAAGGTGGTTAGCCACATGATGCCTGATTTGCCGAACGTGGGCATGGAGCGCGATCTCGACCAGTTTCGAGAGTACTTTGAAAGCCCCGCATTCCGAACTGATGGCCTTAAAATATACCCGACCCTCGTCATTCGTGGCACCGGTCTCTATGAGCTGTGGCGGACCGGCCGCTACCAAAACTACACACCAAACGGCCTCATCGACCTGGTCGCCCGCATCCTGGCGCTGATCCCGCCCTGGACGCGCATCTACCGCGTGCAGCGCGACATTCCCATGCCCCTCGTGACATCTGGCGTCGAGAACGGCAACTTGCGCGAGCTAGCCCTCGCCCGTATGAAGGATTTCGGCACCACCTGCCGCGACGTCCGTACGCGCGAGGTTGGTGTCAACGAAGTCAAGCACAAAATCCGGCCCAACCAGATTGAGCTCGTGCGCCGCGACTATACCGCCAACGGCGGCTGGGAGACTTTTTTGGCGTACGAGGACCCCAAGCAGGACATCCTCGTCGGCCTACTGCGCCTCCGCAAGTGTACCGAAAAGTACACGTTCCGCCCCGAGCTGACAGGCCAGCCCACGAGCATGATTCGCGAGCTGCACGTCTACGGCACCGCCGTCCCCGTTCACGCTCGCGACCCCCGCAAGTTTCAGCACCAGGGCTTCGGCACCCTGCTCATGGAGGAGGCCGAGCGAATCGCGCGCGACGAGCACGGTAGCGATAAGATTAGCGTCATCTCTGGCGTTGGCGTCCGCAACTATTACAGGAAGCTGGGCTACTGGCTTGACGGGCCGTACATGAGCAAGTGGCTTGATGGGCGCCCTGGGCCGGTTGAAGAGTAGACATTGAGCTCTCAAAATTAGAATTCGGGTTTGGCGTTTGGGATCTAGGCTGGGGGCATCATCAAGGCTATACATGCATTTACGTTATGACACATACCAACATCGATCAAAATACATTTGTGCTTCATGTTTCATACGCCGCTTTCTTTTTCTCCTCTTATGTACTTGCACGTCTTAGCCCAGCCAAGAACACTCCGCGGACTTGCTACCCCGCGTGCGGGTACCGGCGCCGGTGCGGAGTCACCCGAACTTACATATATCCATCGGCCGCTAATCCTTGTGCTTCTTACAGGTACCAAATGCATCCCTCCGCTACTTTACTCTCAAATTGCTGTATTAAGCCTTGTTGAAACTGGTCAATTGAGTTGAAAAGCCAATGACGCGACGAATTCCCACCCGTGCAGCGCCTCCTGTTCAGCACCTCTCGCAGCCGGCGCTGCAACCGCCCTCTGCTCCGACGTCGCCGCCCATCCGTCCACACGGCGGCATCCCGGCTCACCTCGTTAAGCCCTGGGCTCTGCCCCCGCAAAAGACGTACATCCTCCACAACGCCAACGTCGTCGACACGGCTCACGCCCGCATCATCCCGCGGCAGACCGTCACCCTGCGCTCCGGCCTCATCGACTCAGTCCAACCCACGCACAGCGTCTCTCACCCCGTCCTCCCGGCCTCGGCTTCCGTTGTCGAGGTCGACCTCGACGGACGCTACCTCTGCCCGGGTCTCATCGACTGCCATGTGCACCTCACGGCCGTAGCTGGCTCCGCGTCGCTCGGCTTCGACGAGGCCGACCTGGCCGTGTCGTACTTTCGACAGCCATTTCTCTGCCAGCAGATGCTGAGCCGCGGCTTCACCTCGGTGCGCGACACGGGCGGCGCCACGCTCGCACTCAAAGAAGCCATCGCCGACGACGTGTTTCCCGGCCCGCGCGTGTTTCTCGCCAACAAGGCCATTTCGCAGACGGGCGGCCACGGCGACGTCCGCACGGCCCATGACAAAGCCGACGGTGACTGCTGCCAGTGCGGCACGCAGTCGTCAATCTCCGTTGTCGCCGATGGTGTATCGGCGTGTCTTGCCGTGGCGCGGGAGCAGCTCCGCCAGGGCGCGGATTTCATCAAAATCATGGTGGGCGGGGGCGTGGCCAGCCCGACGGACCGCATCGAGAACACACAGTTTACCGCCGCCGAGATCCGCGCCATTGCCGACGTCGCCGACAGCTACGGCACCTACGTCACGGCGCACGCGTACACGGCAAAAGCGATCCGCCACGCGGTGGACAATGGCGTGCGCGGCATCGAGCATGGCAACATGCTCGACGCAGACACGGCGCGGTACATGGCAGCGCGGGGCGTCTGGCTGACGCCGACGCTCATCACGTACAAGGCCATGGGCGAGGATCAATACAGCGCGTTCCTGCCGCCGGAGAATCAGGCCAAGAACCAGCAGGTGCTCGCGCGTGGCGTGGCGTCGCTGCGGCTCGCGCACGACGCGGGAGTGACCATCTGCCACGGCTCAGACCTGCTCGGGCCGCTGCAGGCGGAGCAGTCGCGCGAGTTTGGCCTCCGCGCGCAGGGCCTGCCGAGCCCGGTGGTGCTGCAGGGCGCGACGGTGCACGCGGCGCGCATGCTGCGCCAGGAGCAGCGGCTGGGCCAGACCAAAAAGGGCTTTGCGGCAGATCTACTGGTGCTGACGGCGAACCCCCTGGATGACGTGAGCGTGTTGGACGAGCCGGAGAAGAGCGTGCTGGTGGTGGTGAAGAATGGGCGGGTATATACGAGCCGCTGGAGCGCCATGGAGGAGGACACGAAGCCTCGCGGCTCAATGATTGAGTAGGAGAGGGATCCTGGAGGCGGCGTGAGCAGTTGGGCCTGGGTGTAAATGTAGTGTGATTGGTGTATAGTGGCGGAGTTGGTTGGTGCCACATTGGACATTGTTCAGAGTCGAGGAATATGAGAAGCTCAAATGGACGATTCACGAGTCGGGGTGTCAGGGGCCTGTAATGCACTGAGAGCTTTCTACAATCAATCATGCGATGTTTAGGCTTACTCAAGTACACGCCATCTTCCTTGACTGCCGCAGATTACTCAGTACTATATCGTCTTTTGTCCCTGGGCCTAATTCTTTTCTTATCAAGCGGACTCGATCCATTCTGTATACGAGTTCTCAACTCTCGCTATTGTTAGTAATATTTTGAATAAAGAAAAAAACTCAAAGAGGCCAAGAAAGAAAGAGAAAAAACCAGGGCACAGATGCCAAGCTCTGGGAGGTACTGTGCCTAGTTACATGGGGAGGCACAAGGAATACAGTGGGTGTTGTTGTGCCCACTATCCCACTGGAACAAAGAGGCCAGCGAACGGTGTATGACGACGACGCGATCGACGACTATATAATTAGGCGCGAGAGTAGAAAAGTCAGGACTGTGCAGGTCACACCAGATAATTACCTACTTTGTACGGCGTACTCATTAACAAGTTTGCAAGTATTTTAGTGGCCTTGCGCAAGCCGGCGTCTTCGGCTTCTCACCTGCCGGCTTCTTCGGCCGGCTTCTTAGCTGGGATACCGAGTGGGCCAAACCGGCCGCTGTGACACCCGGCTGCATCCGAAAGGGACTGGTCTTATTCAAAAACAAAAAGAGAGCAGGGTAACAATACTTCGTAGCGCGACAATCTACGAATCCATCATATAGGAATCCTTTTGCTATCCAATTTTTACCAGGGCTCAACAGATGGGCCTAATATATGGCAGTTCATCCTTGGTATAGAGAAACACTCCAAATATATCAACAGGTAGCATAGCGTAGTAGGTCAAACTGTATAGAACCCGCTGGCGAATCGGCGAAAATCCATGCCGCTCATGACTTGAGACTCATTATGGTGGCAATAAAATTACTTTGTGCAATTTGGCATCCTCGTTCATATTTATTCAACCGTATAAAAGTAAACCCTCTCTGGTGGTCATTACGCAATTGATGTTCCGAATCACCTTGATCAAACACGTGACTCCGAACTTTGCGGAGGTCAATTATAATAAGCGGTCGCTGATTGGCCAGGGCAACCAGCTAGCACAAGCCGGGGGCGTAATAGCCGAGGGAAGCCAGCAATCCAGTTTCCTACACCTCCCGCCTTCTCACAGCAACAATAATCCCAACGAGACATTTTGCCGCTGCGCAAAAGACCAATTCGATTTCCTCTGTCCATTGCTGTCTTTGCTGACTGCAATCGCCCTCAACGAACCGCTCCTCCGCGTCCACCTCTTTTGCCCTTGACGGGCTCGAACGAAAGACAGAAGAAAAAATGGCAGCTCTTCGCCACTCAGCGGCGCGTGTTCTCGGCACCGCCAGAACATCGGCCCTTCGCCCCAGCTTCGCGTTTGCGCGCTCCATGGCCTCTGTCAGCGAGGTCGAGGAGCAGAAGCCGCGCCTGAAGACATTCCAAATCTACCGCTGGAACCCCGACACGCCAACCGAGAAGCCGCGCCTGCAGAGCTATACCATTGACCTTAACAAGACGGGCCCCATGATGCTCGATGCCATCATCCGCATCAAGAACGAGCTCGACCCTACCTTGACCTTTCGCAGAAGTTGCCGCGAGGGCATCTGCGGCTCCTGCGCCATGAACATCAACGGCCAAAACACCCTGGCCTGCCTCTGTATGTTTTTTCTCATGTTTCACGTGCCGAAAATTGGCGTTCCGAGCAACGATGGCGATACTCGAGCCAAAAATGAGAGGGATACATTGCTAATGAATTTGTAGGCCGAATTCCCTCTGAATCCGCTTCCGACGTCAAAATCTACCCGCTTCCTCACACCTACGTCGTCAAGGACCTCGTCCCTGACCTGACGCATTTCTACAAGCAGTACAAGTCCATCAAGCCGTACCTCCAGCGTGATACTCCTGCTCCCGACGTATGTCCTGCTTGGAATTTCCGTGTCAATTGAAGGCAAGCTAATGAGTTGATTACAGGGCAAGGAATACCGCCAGAGCAAAGAGGACCGCAAGAAGCTCGACGGCCTGTACGAGTGCATTCTCTGCGCTTGCTGCTCGACGTCGTGCCCTTCATACTGGTGGAACTCGGAGGAGTACCTCGGCCCTGCCATCCTGCTCCAGTCCTACCGCTGGCTCGCCGACTCGCGCGACGAGCGTACCGCCGAGCGCCAGGCCAACCTCGAGAACAACATGAGCCTGTACCGTTGCCACACTATTCTCAACTGCACAAAGGCCTGCCCCAAGGGCCTCAACCCCGGCAAGGCCGTTGCCGAGATTAAGAAGCAAATGTCCTTTGGCGCATAAGTACGAGGCATCATTGAGCGCGTGCAGGCGGCGAAAATGCCAAGAGACGACACTGTGAGGTGGCGATTTCTGCATTGGAACGTAGAGGGGAGTTTTTCTTGTAAAACTGTCTGTATTTTAACTGGAGAACCGGTGGGCGAGGGCACTCGATTAAGCAGTCTCTTTTTTCTTTTTTCTCTGTCACATAAGAACATGCATTCAAATAAGCTGCCACAATAAAAATCTACAAACAGGATCAACGGACATCGTGCTCATAACCTTCACTAGTCACTTTCTCAACTCGGGGAAGTATGACCTTGCCTTGTGGTTGCTGAGAGCGCAGGGCGAGTACGATATTACAGCACGTCGGATTTAAGAGAGGAAAGAATAGTATGTTATACTGCTATCATTATTATATATGCTGTGTTTCTAGCAAGTGTTCATAAATCCCAGCATTTTGTAATAACCAACACTTTATTGGCTGCTTTGAACTGCACGAGTGACTAATGATTGTGCCAGTGGCTTTCGGATCGCACTGGCAGCCGATCCGTGATGGGAATACATTGACACCAACCAGCCGCCAACCTCGGTACGACGAGAATACCGTGCAGCAATGTGCGCGCGAGAAATCATTGATCTTTCGACCCTCAAGAACCAGCCATGTGCACCGAGCCGACGGCACCCATTTCTGAGCTCCCACGTGGCCTGCTCGATCTTGATAAGTCTTGCAATAGCTTGCAAATTATCGAGTTGGACGGACTGGAGTTTTGCGCCACTGGCGAGGGGCTCTTATACCATAATAAGAAAAAAAAGACTTAGCCCTTCTTGGAATGTCCCCGTTGCACAGTGGTTAGTGCGTGACTCTTATAGCTAACAGCCACTTTGGTTTTGGTTTTATGATTTACATGTCAAGGTCCGGGGTTCGAACCCCCGCGGGAACACAAGAATGCACTTTTTTTAATCCTCTTTTGCTTCCACTAGCAGTTGGCTATAAAAGCAGCCACTGGGTGGCACATGCACAGTCACCAAGAATAAATCACCTTGCATAGCCTGGCTGAGAATGCCCTTGCTGGGGGGTAGGCGAGGCTGCCAAGCTGCGAAATCGCAGGCCATGTGCCGATACCTACATCTAGGTAGGTAGACAGGGTCAGCGACATACAGGGGCCTGTCAATTCAAGGAACTTGCCAATCATTTATTTTGCGAAGCATTCATGATTATCAAAACGCAGTTTCAAAAAAAAAAGGGTCCCATCGGGATACTCCACCTGAACCCGCTGCCAGTGGAAACAGCGCACCGCCGCCAACGATTAGTACTTGGGGACCACGGCCACTGATAACTGATTGCACTCTTCCTGAACCACAATTTTGTTGCGCCGATGAATCTGGTTCGCCACCAAGATAATCCAGACAAGTCTATCAAACCCATTGCCAGGTTTTAATTCTGTAGCACGCCCGCTACGCGCGTACATACGCCAGAAATAGCACAGACCACACTTTCCTCGGCATACCCTAACTGGCTACTCCGCCATTGCTAGTCACCCTCCCTCTCTCTCTTTTACTTGCTTGTTGAGCTGTCCGTCTCCTACCTCGAGTAATTCCCAATTGCTTTTCTCCATTTGACCCTCTTACTATCAATCAGTCGTTTCCTTTCCTATTTTACTTTATTTCTTTTACTTCTATCCCTCCCCTTTTGCTTCGTACATCCTTTGCCACCTACCCCGACGTGATTCGCCTGAATCTTCTTGTGCCACCAATTGTTGCATCCATCGCATTTCGTCATAGAGCTCCACCACAGGACTTTTTTAAACGGACGGCAACTAATACAAACCGAACGGCATTTTGAAGGAGGGAAATTCTGCGTCAATCTCGATATACCCTCTGCCTTGATATTTGCAATCATCATTTCTATTCAGTCTTATCCCGACGTTGCGCCAAACCCCACCTTGACGTCACCACCAGTGGACATCTAGTGAGGGCACTTGAGTAGCTGGAAGCAAACAGTTGGACTGCAAACGAGACTACTTTTCACCATTCCTTCATTTCTTCCGCCAGCGTATCCAGACGCACAACATGGCTGGTACTGCTCCTGCGCGTCCTCCAACGGACCGATACAATTCGGTGGAGGACTATCACAACCACGCCCAGGACTCCGGCAACACCCTCGGCCATGGAGACCACGACAACGAGAAACAAACTTTCTCGCCCAACCGACATGCTGACATGACCCAGCTCAACGACGATCTCGAACTCCTCCGCGCGGAGCAGTTCATCTCCAACCAAGAACACGAGCTTGAACTACAACAGTCTCGGTCCCGCAACCGTGCCCACAACCCTATACCCGAGGATGCTTTTAACCACATCGACTCGCCTCATGGCCCAGAAAGAAAGAAGAACGAAGAAGCCACTCTCTACAGGCTCTGGATATTTTTGAAAAAGTTTCCTCGCTTCATCCGCTACATTGCCTACATGCTGCCAGTAGCCGTCCTCCTGCTGCTGCCTGTCCTCCTTGGCGCCTTTGCTGTCGACAAAAGACGTCATGCCGTCGGCGGGAATGGAGGCGTTGATCTGATGTGGTTTGGCATCTGGCTCGAGATTGTATGGTGCTCCCTCTGGGTATCTCGCATGGTGACCAATCTGCTACCCCCCATCATGCAGGCTGCCTGCAAGATGGGAGGCTCAACTACCCCGAAAAAGTGGAAGGATGTAGGCTCCCAGCTGGAGCTACATGCTGCCATGTTTCTCTGGTTCCTGGCTATTCTCATTTCCTTCAAGCCCACCACTGCTCAAAAGCGCGTTGAACCCATCGGCGGCAGTGACCAGGCCGACTCACAAAACTGGATCGATATCGTCTACAAGGTCATCATTGCCCTCTTCGTCCTCTTCACCCTCAACTTTATCGAGAAGATCATCATTCAGTGGATTGCCACCTCGTTCCACCAGCGCACCTACGCCACCCGCATCGAAAACAACAAGGGCGACATTCGACAGCTCGTGCAGCTGTTTGAGCATGCCAAGAGTAAGCTTGAAGACACCGACACCTTTCTCAAGGACGAGAACGCGCGCGTTAGCGGCACACAAACGCCCATGCGCATATTCCACGAAAATGCCCGGAATGTCCTCGGCAAGGTTGGCTATGTCGCAGGCAAGGTCGGCAACGACTTGATTGGCCGCAAGGTCAACGACAACCAGCCGCGTAAGGTTGTTACTGAATTGCTGCGTAACACCACTTCTGCCTACACGCTGGCTCGCCTCATATATCGCAGTCTGGTCCGCCCAGACCGAGACACGGTCCACATGGAGGATATTCGGGAAGTCTTTGCCACCGACGAGGAAGCCGATGCCGCCTTTATGGTTTTTGACAAAGATCTCAACGGCGATATTTCCGTTCAAGAGTTTGAGACTGTTTGTAACGAAATTCACATGGAGAAAAAGGCCATTGCGGCATCGCTGAAGGATCTCGACTCTGTTATCCAGAAACTAGATAAGGTCTTTCTGTTCATCATTGTCATCATCTCCATTATCGTCTTCATCTCCATCCTTTCGGGCTCCGCCGCTGCAGGCCTTGCCTCCGCTAGTACCTCTGTTCTGGGCCTTGCATGGGTGCTTCAGGCCACGGCCCAAGAATTCCTCCAGTCTATCATTTTCGTCTTTGTCAAGCATCCCTTTGATGTTGGTGACCGCGTCACCATTTACGGCTCTACTGGCGACAAAATGACTGGTGACGACTACTATGTCACCGAGATCTCTCTCCTGTACACCGAGTTCAAGAAGATGCAGGGTCACATAGTGCAGGCTCCCAACTCTGTACTCAACAACCTGTTTATCCTCAACCAGAGACGATCCAACGGTCTCGCCGACCCCATTCCTCTGGTTATGCGGTTCGGTACTCCGGTTGACAAAATTGACGAGCTCAAAGACCGCATGCGCAATTTTTGCCTCGAAAACAAGCGTGATTACCAAGCTACAGTTATTTCGGAAATGGTTTCCATCGATCAACTGCGCTCATGCACCATGAACATCATTTTCTTCCACAAGACCAACTTCCAGAACGAACTGCTGCGACTCAACCGCCATAACAGATTTGTCACGGAGCTCATGGCTCAGATGCTTGAGGTCGGCATCCAAGCTCCCATGCGCATTGAACCCGGTGGCAGCCGCGATACCCCCATGTACTGGTCCAGCATGGCTGCACCCCCTGCCTATGGCAAGGAACAGGATGGCGAGAACAATGGCAGCGACGACTATCTTAAGCCGGCACCTGCGCCGTTGCGCAAAGGATCCGTCCAGAGAACGCACAATGTCCCTCGTGAAATGACCATCATGGAGGAGGAGGCTGCGCTGACAAGCTTTGGGGACGTTTTTGAAAGCCGCCGCGACCAGACACTTGCGCGTAGAATGACTTCTATTCGAGAAAAAGAGAGAGCGGAAAAGGCGTCAGAGAACGCCGAGTCAGAACCTCGAGGGTCGACAACATCAGCGGCGGTTCACAGGTCATCAACAGAGTCGCACCGGGCACGGTTATTTTCGCGTCCTCGACGCGATACCACAACCAGTCGCCATGATATCGAAATTGTGTAGCTGGGATGCACATCATGACCAATTTTCAATAGTTATGGAATGCTAGAAATTATTATTATTAGATGGGGTATGGTATAGACTTGGCATGGGGTAAATACGGATACATGTGGGGGATCACAGTCGCGCATTTAGCTGGCACTTCGAAAACGGGCCTCAATTACAAAGTTTGATACAACGGATGATCTTGAAGCGTGAATTATTTTCCAGTGGCAACTTGTAGCCTTCATCCGACCTCGAATACCTGTCAAGGACCGAAAGGGGCAAGGTCGAGCGGCGCGGGGCGAACCCTAAACGATCGCCACTTAGCAGTGCAAGACCACGGCACATGAGTGCGCCAATGCACGCAACATTAGGCTGCCTGACAACGTTGCTGAACATCTAACCTAACCTTTTTGAAGTGCTCTTCAGGCCAATTTCTAGAAGTGAAAAGCGACGCTAGGCCCGAGCGCGGATCCCCTTGGCAATATGGTGCGAGTAATAAGCAACAATTCTGGCGGGGAGCGTTCGCGCGGCTGAAAGAGCTCAGCTGGCCCCCAAGCTCCTTTTTAAATTGGTCGTTTGTGCCCTACAAAACAGGTGGCGTCTGCATTCTGCCATCATCCCGAAACAGTTCCTTACCCGTGAACAGGAGAGCGACATTTTGCAGAAGCTATGCAGCGATAGATACCTGTTGAAGTTCAGCTGCCGCTCCTCAGCGCGCCGAACCGCCGACGGCCCCGGAAACCCCAGTCGAGGGCAACTATCCGCGAAAAACTCGGGCGATCAAGACAGACAATCAGTCACTCTCCTCTGAGAATACCGCCTCGCCGAACCATTGGCCACCAAGCTGCATTTCTATTTCCCACCCGCCACGCTCCTACAAACGGGCGCGCCATGACAGCAGCCAGCGCCCTCCCCGCCGGCTGGGAGTGGGATTATGACGGCACGCGCTGGTTCTACACCCTTAAAGCCAACGGCCACGTCCAGTACCACTTCCCTTCCGAGGGCGACGAGTTTCCCGACTTTGTTGGCGTCACAGAGCCCGCACCGGAGCTGGAGCCCGAGGAGCGCCTCGAGTCGCATCAGCAAGTGCGGCGCGTCACCGGTGCGGCGCCCGTTGTGGACCGTAAGAAGAAGAAGAAGCAAAGGGGAAATGGAATGACGGCAACGGCGCGGCCGGTAGGCATTGAGTGGGACGGGGATATAGGCGGTGGCGATGGCAGCAGCGGCGAGGACGATGACGGAGGTGGGCGCGTCGTGTTTGAGCCGGAGAACCTCATGTTTCTCGGCCCGCAGGTGTATGCCGAGGTGAGCCCGCTGGTTGAGGAGGAGGAGGAGGCGGCCAAGAGGACGGTTGTGGGCGTGGTGGCGAGCGCGGCGGACGGTGTCAGCCCGGCAGAGACGACGAACGCTGGGACCCCGGCAGCGGCCAAGCAGGTTGAACTGGCGACGGAAGAGGACCGGGAGAGCGAGCCAGTGGTGCATGTGATGGCCGCAGAGTTGGTATCGGCGGAGCTGGTACCGGAGGCACGGCAGGAGACGACAAGAGCCGGGGAAGAACTAGCGGTAGGAGACGAGGTGAACCAGGTTACGGGACTTACCCAGTTGCCAGCACCACAACCATCAGTCTCTGCAGCAGAACTTCCCTCCTCGCCAGAACAGCATGAATTTATCGTTGTCGCCAAAGCTGACGCGCCACCAACACAAGCAAGCGCGCCTCAGGAGGAAGCAAGCGCGCCCCAGGAGGCAGCTGCACCAGGGATGCCGCCCCCGCGGCCCCAGGAGCCAACACATACCGCCATAGCCCCCGAGACGGCCCGGTACGAGCTGGCCGCACCCGAACCGCCCTTTAACCCCGTCGGCATCATCGCCGAGATGCCTACCGGAGACACGCCGCGGTCGCACATTGAGCTCAACCCCATCCCGGTCGAGATCATGGACACCTCAGTGCTGGCGCCCGTAGAGACGGCACCGCCTTTTGGCGTTGCTGAGCTGCCGGGCCAGAGCGCTGCCGCCGCGGTGGTTCGACAGACGCAGACAAGTGTGGCCGTCGCCGTCCCACCGGTGGTGATGCGCATGAAGATTAAGCGCAAGCCGACGGACCCCAACGCCGTCATTCCTTCGCCCCTGTCGGCGTCGTCTTCGGCGGTGCTCTCCCCAGCAGTCGTGTCGCCGCCATCCCTGGGCGCGCCGTCACCTGCGCCGTCACCTGCGCCGTCACCTGCGCCAGCACCGGCACCGGCACCGGCACCGGCACCAACCCGTCCGCAAGTGGTGCCGTGTTATAAGCCGTATGCGCCTGTGTCGCCGCGGCCGCGCGTGGACATGGAGCCGGCGGGGACCGTTTCGGCACAGCAACAGCAAATGCAGAGCGTGACGGTGCCGCCGTCGCCCGTGGCAAATCCGCAGTTGAATTACGCGCCGACGGTGCTGCGCCCGGCGGGACGCAAGTCGACGAGTGTGTCGCCGGACCGTAAGTCGGGTGAGCACAGCCAGGTATCGGCGGCCCCGAGCAGAGGTCTGGGGCAAGCTGGGACGCCGCCGGAGGGCCCTGCACGGCAGGATGGTCCCGGTACGCCGCTGCCGCCGCTTGGGTCGATACCTCAACAGCCTACGCTACCAACACAAGGACAAGCGCTATCGCAAGGGGCGCTGCCTCAACATGCTCAACACTCCCGGCCCGCCAAGATATCGTCGCAGGGACATGTACCTTCTCAAAGTCACATTTCTTCCCCAGGGCAGCTACAGCAGGGACAACTGCCGTCACCGGGACCCATGGCCCAGCAAGGACAAAGTACAGGGAACGTAATGCGTCATCCCATGCCAAATGGTCGACCCATGAGCATGGTCGCCGGGCAGTATTCTGTTGTGCCGATACCACGTCCCTACAACGAACAGCAGCAACAATTTGTTCACCAGTCCGGACCCCCGTGGCTCACCCACAGCCAGCAGATTCCTGGTCGGGGTTCCACAATACCGCCGCCGCTGCAGCAGCAACAGCCTGCACCAGGATGGATGAGACAGTCCATGCCCCCAGGACAACCTTCTGCACAGCAGCTGCCCCCTGGGAGGCACTCCATGATGGCACACACTACTCCAGGCTCGGTTCCCCTAGGAGGCCAGTATCAGTCAGCATCCTCTGCCACGCCGCCGCCAAACAAGCAACCTGGGGACCCAGGCCGTCAGCGGTCCTCAACAACAGACTCGTCCATGGTGTCTCCTCTCCGATCCAGAGCAGATAGCCAGCCGTCAGGGCTTTCCCTACCATCACCATCTCCTATGGAAACACCACAAGCGGCCCCCGCCGTCCAGTACCCCGGGCCGCCTGTGCCACCAAAACGCCCCATGCAGCCAGGCGCTATCAGCGTCGGTACAGGCGCAAACGGCAGCGGTCCTGCTGCTCCCCAGAGGAAGCAGGCGGCGGGCTCATCGTACTTTCCACCCAGAAAAGACGAACCGGTTGGTCTAGTGGAGGAAATTAGCGACCAGCATGCGGCAGGCATGGAAACCGTTCAGGGACCGGCGTCGCCGCCTTTCGGCGCCGCTCCGACGGTGAATGCGACAGCGGCCAGCCCAGAACCCCGGATCTTGTTCGAAGAAACGTCGCCCAAACCGGGATCTGCGCTCGGCCGTATCGAAGAGCACGCAGCATCCACGTCGGCGAGCGCGAAGCAGGATGCTGATTCCAGCTCCTTGGCTACAAAGTTAGCCCATCCCTCACTGCAACCCAAGACGCAGCCACAACCGCCTATGCCATCACAGCAAGAATCTCTCGAAAACACGCCACAGCTTCCTCAAAGGCCCCCGCAACCGACGAATGGACAGCCCGAGCTACCTCCGCGAGGCGCGCAGGTAAGTGTTCCATCAACAGGACAAGGAGCGCGGCCCAGTCCGATGGGGTCTCAAGGACCGGTGCCGCCGCATGGCTTTGCGCCGCAGCAGCAATGGCAAAGCAACATGCAGCAACCGATGCCGCGGCCCCTGTCTGTGCAACCGCAAATACAGATGCAGCCGATCAAGAGCAAGGATAACAGGTGGACGAAATGGTTCAAGAGCTCCAAGTCGGAGAAGAAACCTGACATTCGTCAGGCCGGAATGCCACATCACCAGCCCCCTCAAGGTCGGGGGCAACCACAGCAGTGGCAGCCAGGACCCCCGATGCAGGGCCATCCCGTCCAACGCGGATATGGCCAGCCAATTCAAGGACAGCATTCGCAAGGCCAGTCCATGCAAATACCTTATACGGGAGGCCCTATACCGCCACACAATTTTCCAATGAACGCATATTCTCCTCATCCGATGTCTGCAGGGAAGTCTGGGGGTCCAATACCCCAGATGATGCCTCACAAGGGTCCCCTCGGGTCAAATCCGCCACAGCAATACATGACGCTCCAGCCGGGCCAACCCGTCCAGACGAGGCCGCCTTACGGCGCTCCGATACCGCAGACGCATCCAGGTGCACCAGCATCGCTACCGCAATCACACGTAGCACCATCGCAGCGGTCCTACAGCCCATCACAAACGAGCACTTCGTCCTTGGTACAAACGACACATATCCAATCTCGGCCGCAAGGACACGTCATGTCACCGGGTCAGACGAACGTCTTTCCGTCACCTCAGTCCACGCGGCCCATGTCCGAAGTCCCAGCCGCGATATTGCCACATAACAGACAGCCAAGCTAGCGGCATGCCGTCTTCCCCTTTCTCTTTGAATACCCGAAATCATAGTCTTTGGAAAGCTGTAGCATAGAATATGGCGTGATTTATACATTCAACTACTTTACAATACAGTACATTGTTTTCATCCTGTTTCCGCGAATGCCTTGCGCAGCTTACAGGATTCCCCAGCTGCTGCCTTCGCACCGCACGCACGACACGTCCGCCCATGGGCAATCAGCAGCACGTGCAGCGGATACTTGAGCGCATCCGGGATGCTGGCATCCAGGTGCGCCTGCGCCTGCTCCCTCGTCGCCTCTGGCGGGCGCCACCCCAAGATCCCCGCGATCCGGTACACGTGCGTGTCGACGGCAAAGCTCGGGCGCTGTAGGCAAAACAGCAACACGCAGCTTGCCGTTTTCGGTCCGACGCCGGGAAACGCAAGCAGCTCCTCCATGGCCTCGGTGTCGCTCGCATGAAACAAGTGATCTAGCGAGTACATGCCGTATTTGCTATGCACCGCCGCCAGCAGGTTCACAATGACACGGCTCTTGGTCGCGGCCAGGCCGCCGCAGCGAATCGCCGCCTGTAGCTGGGGCTGCCCGCCGGCGGCAATGGCCTCCCAGGCGTCTGAGCGCCCGTACGCGGCGTCCATGCTGCGCTTGGCGCGCGTCGAGTTGGCGGAGCTCGTATTTTGCGACAGAATGGTGCGCACGAGCGCGTCCAGCACCGAGGGGGAGTCGCCGCAGCCGGCGGTGGTGCGAGAGGCGACGACTTGGGAGGGTCGCGCGCGCGCGCCGTGCAGCGCGACAAGGATCTCGTGGGCGAGTGCGCAGTCTGCTGGTGTTGGGCGGGCAAAGTCGGGGAACGGCGTGGTAGTCATGTGCTGCGTCTGCTTGCCCTTGCGTGGTGACGGCGGCGGGGGCTTGACGTCTGCGATGGACGACGGCGGCAGCGCGGACAAGACGTCGGCGGCGGGGGCGGCTTCGATCTTGACTTGCTTCTTGATGGCAGCGGCCTTTTCCGAGGCGACGGGCTGCTTGCTCTTGGTGATGCGCATGTGCGAGCGCAGGCCATGCCGTGTCGGCGTGACAGCGGACCGGGCGCTTCGCCGTGATGAAGCATGCGTAGCAGCCATTGTGATTTTTGTGTAGGCCCTTGTGGACAGACTATTTCCGGTACAGATTTTCCGAATCAGCATGAATGGTAAATTGTAAAAGCGCGGCAATTGTGGCGAGCGAAAGGCGCGCTGTGTTCAGTTTTGAAGTAGGGGCAATGTATGACGCATGTTAAAGCTCCGGATTGCCGTGTGGGTTGATGGCGGCGTGGCGTTGAGGTGGGCCAGATCGAAGCAGATCTACAATCTTCAAAAAAACACGCAAGAAGAGACGACGGAGAGAAGACTTGATACACATTACAATAACCGAGTCAGTTTGGTATTTTATAAGATTTTGCTGACGGAGATGGGTGACTGTCTGTCCCCATGGTCCTGGTGTGCACTGTGTTCAAGGGACACGCTCGTGAACCGGATGTCTAGCAAGCGCTGCGGCAGGAAAAGGCCCGTAAAAGAAGACAATGACCGAGACCAAATATCAAAGACTTTTTGGGCATATTAATATATCAATGTCAAGGTAGTGCACGTGACGGCGTGTACAGTGGTGTCGCGCGGCGCGTCCCACCCACCCTGGCCCAAGTTGACGAGAGCTACTAACTAAACTAGCACGGTAAAAGGCACCACGGGCGGCGGGCTTGGCCATGTTTTAAAACACACAGTTTTACAAACCACCATGGACTCGCTGAAACAGCCACGATGGCCTCGCAGTCTATGATATCAACCGTGAGGGACACGGAGGAGTCCCAGGACAGCCAGCTGATCCTCGCGACCCTGCGCGCCGAGCTGGGCGTGCCTTTGGTGGTAAGTGGAAGCGCTGACCTCAGCCACAGCGGCCTGCAGGGCTCTCACTCTGGAACCCTGCAAGCGCCTGGCCAGGCAGCAAGAGACCTTACCGATCTATGTCCTCAAACATCCAGCGCCATCATCCTTCAACGCTGACTGTCCTTCTTTTTCCCTCTGCGCAGTCTACAAGCCCCATAGCTGCACAGTTATATCTGACATGTTCGGATAACAACCGCCATCGCAGCGGCGGACACGTTCCCATACCCTCCGAGCCGGCGCGTCCAAAGGAGAAGCACTCACAAACTCCCGAACATTTACCTCCCACCTATGTATGGAACGAAAATACCGTCATGTGCTTTGTTTGCCATATTCTGATGATAGACAGAGGTCATTTACCATTCCCGCGCCACCTCCACCGCCGAAATCGAAGCCCCAGTGGCCCGCGCATTTTGTCAAACAGGAATCGATAGAAAGCCGTCCGAAGCTCAGCCTAATGCAGGGTCTAGATCATCCTAACAATGCCCCGGGGACTCAAATACCAGACACGCTACTCCCTGATACATTTCTCCCGCCCGCTACCCAGGCCATAGGCCACGGCGGTGATGATGTGCCATCGGCGCACTCATCGCTGCACTCCGCCGCCGGCCCCCGCAAAGACACATCCCAGCAGACGCCAACGCAAGTCAATGACGGCCGCGACTATGATACGGGATATGAGCCGCCGTCGAGCGAGCGTGGAGTCGATACTGGCGATACGCAAGCATCGAACCTCGAAGGCCAGACGCTACAAGACGACGATACCGGCGCCGTCAACCTTGGCATCCTGATTGACTTCCCCCGCCAATCCTCCCAGGTCTCTGAAGACGGGGGCTTCGAAAACGCCAGAGGCGGCTGGAGACTGCCAGACGACACGCAACAGAATTCCATACAGACCGAGACACCATACAAAAATGGCAATCTGCCTCCGCCAGAGACCCCGGCTCTGCCCAAGAACCCGTTTGCGCCCAAGGGTGGCCCGGGGACCTTTGGAGCTGCCCCGGCACCTCTTGGCGGTACACAACTGTTTGGCCAGACGCAGCTACTGACGTCGGCCGTCAAGAACAGTCCGACGTCGTCTCGACCATCGCCAAATGTGTACAACTCCATATCACCAGGCTTCGCCGAGACGTCTCCTCTGAAAAACCGCACCAACATCTCCTCTCCCACAGACATGAGGTCCTCGAGTCCCCCGCGCCTCCATGAAGTGCCGGCGACTGTTATCAAGGGACCTCGTATGAGCATAATCACCGAGGAGACGCCAACAACGAGCAGAGTGTCTAGGGAGGATAGAATTCCAGAGTCGCCTACGCGTCCCCGATCGAGAGAACGACAACCGCTTGCCCACTACGAGCCGATGCAACAATCACAAGCACGCAAGACTGGTAGCGATTCTGTTGGTATTGCCTTGTCTTTTGATGGTGACACACATGACACGGTCGAGCAGCTTGAAAGGCGCCGACGCATCGAGAGAAAACGAGCCAGAGCCGGGGAGGAGCTCGAAAAGATTACCCTTGCGCGGCCTGTTAGGGTAAGTGATCGCGCAGAAGCAAACGGAAAGCGCCGTCGCTTGGAGCGGAACAGTCAGTCCGTCGGCCTGGCAGACGAGAAAGCTCTTACAGGATCCGCCACGACTGCGTTGCGAGGCACACAACCGCAGTCATTACAGTCGACGAAAGCAACACCTGGTGAAGAAACTGATACCGCGGAAATAACTGTCAACGAGAGAGCAGATGCTGGGGCCCGGAATCAAGGTGTAAACGACATCGCTGAATATGACATGATTCCGGCAACAAGCCCGGTACAATTAACGCCCGCAGACGACCTCAATCGAACTGGAAGCCCTGCTTCCGAGCCTGATCTGCCAATTCTACGTGAAGAGCAGTCCACGATTAGCAGTGCTGAACCATCATCGTTGCCTCCCTTGAACAGCAGAAGGCGAACGTATGGGCGGCAAGCAGTAAGACGGCGCAAGAACCTCGTCCTGGACTCGTCGAATCCACACTCGGCCTCGACGGGGATAGTTTCCTCAAAATATGATACTGGTGAAACTCGTCCACCCAATGATGACCCTATTCATTCCGACGAGGGACAGACACCGATGGCTACTCGATCCGGATCCAAAAAGCAAAGCCCCAAAACGCCAATGCTGCTCAGTGGTGACGAGGCTTCCACCACATCATCAAGCCTGAGTGTCTCATCTCGCACACCGAACCCGCCACCCAAGACAACGCCTGCGACTGACGAGTCCCTTGCGTCAAAAGCTCTCGACGTGGATACAGGCCACTCGCTTACGCCGAGCAGAAGCTTACGCCGCCGCGTCATCGGAAAAGAGTCTGCCACACCGCTACCTTTGTTGTCGTCACGGAGCCTGCGTGCCTCAAAGCGTCTGCACGGCGAGCCTCATTCTTCTGGACAGCCACGCACGCCATCCGACACTTGCGCTGCTACTACATTTGTACAGAGAATCTGCCAGAATGTAGAAGCTGTGCACCGCGAGGAGCGTCATCTGTTTGAAGGCATGGTGTTTGCCATATCTGTAGCAGCGGACCGTGGCAAGCTTGAGAGTCGCATAGTTCAAGCCGGCGGTTCTGTTCTGCAAGACGGCTTCCAGGAGCTGTTCCAGTCCCTGCCGTCGATGACCTCGACAGACGGCGCAGTAGATGACAAGACGGATCTCATTCTCTCGCAACCAGGTCTCGAGAGTGGCTTCGCTGCCCTCATCGCGGACGGACATTCACGGAAGGCCAAATACATGCAGGCTCTAGCCCTCGGCCTACCTTGTCTTGCGCAGCAATGGATCTTCGCTTGTCTGCACAAGGGCGCGCTTATTGACTGGCAGCCTTACCTGCTCTGCGCTGGCGCCTCGGCCGTGTTGGGGAATGCATCCCGGTCGCGCTATCTGCTGCCCTACCCCGCGGACACGGCCGTGCTGGCGGACACGATTGAGCAGCGCCCGCGTCTCCTGCACGGCCAGAGCGTGCTCGTTGTCATGGACGGAAAAAAGGCCCGGAGCGAGGCCAAGCAGCCGTACATGTTCCTATGCCAAGCCCTCGGCCCGGCCATTACGCGCGTGACCACGGTGGACCAGGGCCGCGCCGCGCTGGCGCAGAGTGTCAAGAGCGGCGGCCGGCCCTTTACGTGGTTGTACATTGACAAGGCGACAGGCACGGCGGATGCGGTGTTGGCGACGCCGTCCTCGGCGAGGTCCAAAAGGAAGAAAAAGAGAACGACACCTGTCGCGACGCAGGCGGGTGCTGGTGTCCGAATATTGCATGATGAGTTGATTATTCAGAGTCTTATTCTTGGCCGCATTGTCGAGCCGGAGGAGGAGGATTCATTTTGATTACACGGCGTTGGTGGGGAAAATGAGGCAAAACTATCAAGGCGCATCAGGTCGTTCCATGTAGCAAAGGGCTGCGATGGACCATGTTGAATATACCACGGCAGTTGGCGCGTTGAAGTGTTTTGATCTGTGTTGCTAGCAATAATGCAATACAGATAAATGTGTGATATTGTAACAAATCTTGCCACCCATGATATATCAGCTCATCTGAGGGTTTCACACCAGGTTGTCCACGTCGAGCCCCGGGCGACATTGCACGCCAAAATTGAAATTTACTTTTCAAATTCACTTGCCAAATTTACTTGTCATTGGCTCAGAGACTCGTCATCAAAATACAAACGCGCACCCATCCCATTCCATTACACGTGCGAGTCAAACGTAATCGTCTTGGTCCATGTCCACTCGTCAAAGCCGCCGCCGAATCGTCCGTAGCCGCTATCCTTGGTGCCGCCGTGCGGCAGGGTAGGCTCATCATGGGGCGTCATGGAGTTGATATGCACGGCGCCCGTCTCGAGCTGACGGGCGACGGCCAGCGCGCGACGCAGGTCCCTGCTGAAGACGGCGGCCACGAGGCCGTACTCGGTGTCGTTTGCGACGGCGACGGCCTCGGCCTCGGCCGCGAAGCTGATGAGCGACACGGTCGGCCCAAACGACTCGGTCCTGTACACGTCCATGTCTGGACGCACGTCGGCGACGACGACGGGGCGCATGCGCGTCGCCGCCGCCGCCGCCGCGCCGTCCTCGACCGCGGCGGCCGCATCGCCGTACAGCACGGCCGCGCCCTTGGCGACGGCGTCGGCCACGAGCGCCCTGTTCCTGACGACGGCGGCGGCCGTCACGAGCACGGGCGCCTCCGCTCCCACCTTGCGGCCGTCGCCGTACAGCGCCTCCGCGGCCGCGACGAGGTGCTGCGCAAACGCGTCGCGCACGCTCTCGTGCACGAGGATGCGCTCCGTGCTCATGCAGATCTGGCCGGCGTGCAGGAAGGCGCCGAGCGCGCAGTGGCGCGCGGCGAGCGGCAGGTCGGCGTCGGCGAGCACAATGGCCGGCGCCTTGCCGCCGAGCTCGAGCAGCACGGGCTTGAGGTGCGCGGCGGCCAGGCGCGCCACGATGCGCCCGACGCCCGTGCTCCCGGTGAAGTTGACCTTGCGCACGTGGCGGTGCGCAATGACGGCCTCGGTCACGGCGGCCGCCTGCGCCGGCGCGCAAGTGATGAAGTTGAGCACGCCCGGCGGCAGCCCCGCCTCCCACAGCACGCCGCACACCAGTCGCAGCGTCTGCGGGCTCAGCTCAGAGCCCTTGAGCACGACGGTGTTGCCGGCGGCAATGGCCCACACGATGGCGCGGATGCCGAGAGGGAGCGGTGCGTTCCTGACAAAAAAAGAAACTTGGGATTAGTTTTCGGAGTTGTCGAGGGGGCCGCGGCGGGCCTCTTCTTGTCAAAAAAACGTACCACGGAACAATGGAAAAGACGACGCCGTAGGGCTCCCGGACAATCAGCGCCTCGCGGCCCGGGTCCGCGACGGTGGGCATGCGACCCTCAATGTTGACGAGGTGCGACGCGGCGTGGACAATGCCCTCGGTGGCAATGTGCAGGTTCATGTCGGCCCAGGCGGCGTCGCTGCCCGTCTCGTTGCGCATGGCCGTCTTGAGGGCGTCGCCGCTCGTGCGCATGACCTCGCTGGCGCGCAGCAGGATGGCGCGGCGCTCGTCGACGTGCGTGCGCCGCCAGGCCGGGAACGCGGCGCCGGCGGCCTCGACGGCGGCCACGGCCTCGGCCACGCCGGCGCTCGAGGACGTGTGCAGCAGCTCGCCGGTGGCGGGGCTGACGACGTCAAAGGTCGCGCTGGTGAGGACGTCCTCCCCGTTGATGACGAGGGGCAGCTGGGTTGATGCCATTTTTTTTTTGTTTTTTCTTGGTAAAGTTTTGTTATGTTGGTTGGTGAGAGTCGGAAAGGGGTTTGGGGAGGGGTCCGTGTTAGTCTTGGATAAGGGAGGGGTTGAGATTGAGGATTTGATTTTATACTAAGAAAACTAATGTGACGTTGGTTAAGATGAGAATTCACGACATTTATATATATTGGACTTAGTTCGTCCACCATATTCTTTACCGAGCCCATCACCCCGCTCTTTCTCAATGCCGTGGTGCAGTGCTCCGTACTAGCAAAATGCATCATCCCGCTCGGCGCGCCGCATTGTGGGGTTAAGCGGGGGACCGTTTGCGGCCGCGGCCTTTTACAAAGTAACGTTGACCCTAGTCGTTCTCGAGGTAGCCCTTGCATTAGCCTGATTGCTTAGCATTGCCGCCTCGAGCAATACTGCTCAGGACACTCACCCGGAACATCTGGTCCACGATGCCAAATCATCGCGTCCTCAAGAGATCCCGGTTCTTTGTCCCGAGACATTTTGCCACTGGGGGATGGATCCTCGTGTCGGAGCGGAAGCTGCTGGGATTGGGCAGACGGCGTTAACTTCTCTGTGGGTTAAAGCCGACCGACGACACGGAGTGCGGAATCTTGCGAGTTCGGCACATGTTCAATTTTCATCAAGCGCGATTTGGTGGTCACGTTAGCTAGCCAAGCAATTCAACCGACATGGGGGGCTTACAGGGACGTGACAAATCACTGTGTATCTACCTATAGTTCAAGAGACGACATACTGCGCCGCTAATCATGTGGAAGCGCAAGGGTCGGCAATGCTCCGAGGGGTGCGCGGTGATTTGGCAAGTGTATCGGCAAATTGCGACTGTCAAAACACCGAACAATATACGAAAGAGAACGTCCTTTTTTTTTTTTTTACTTTGTTCAACATACGGATACAACGTCAACCTATACAAAAGTTGAAACGTCTGTGCTGTAGTTTCATCGCTGCCGTACAGAGAATACATGCTGCCCGCGGCATGAGTACCACAGCATCTCCAACTCGCATCATGGAACATGTAGCCATTTCGTGCCGTGTCTGCTTGCCGATGCTATATTGGACGCCTCACACAACTAGGGCCTAGCCAAGGAAGCTGATCAAAAAATGCGCCTCGTTTTAGACTACCCCAGTCCATCACAGTTGTTAGCGTGGGGGTTTGGTCGAGCCAAGCAGAGAGCCATAGTCGCACCGATTGATCAAGGGCGGGGGTTACAACTTGCTGCCCATGTTTGGCCATGCCCTGGAATTAAAGGCACAAACTACAATGTCAAATGAAACTGAAGTAGCGGCTTCGTCTCCTTGAACAGTGGATGAAGAAGTGTTTCGTGCGTGGTCAACGGTGGGCGACATATAGACCATGTCGCGACACCATCTATGTACGACACGGCATGTTGTACATCGGGCCTTTACTTGCGGGGTAGTTTATACGTGCGTCTACCATGCGCTTACTTGTTTCAGGTCATCGCTTTCCACGGCCAGGTAGATTATCCCGCGCAAAGACTGGGCTAGTATGCAAGCCTCGTAAGGATACAATGCCAGTCACCTTTCACACTGGGTAGTACGTCCAGGGCAATGGCCAACCATTCCCCCCAACAGCTGCTTTCTCGCCCAAGCTATCGGCTCTGCTTCTCCAAGTCTTGGAGCGCCGTCGCCCAAAACCTCTCGACTTGCTCCAACGCCGGGCGCTTCGTCGGGTCTCGCTCCAAACAGCTCCCAACCAAGGTCTTGTAGCTCGCGGGAATAGTATCAGAGCCACTCCAGTCCTCGACTACATCCTCTGTGCTTTCAACGTCGTCCAAATCCTCGCTTCTGTATTGGCTGAGCAACATCCACATGGTCCGTCCGAGACTGAACACTTCGGCCAACTCTGCTGCCTTTGGGCAAGTCTTTTGCCAGTGCAATAACGAGTTCCACACGTTCCACCCATTGCTTCCGGGCGTTTCTTCTGGCATGTTTCGCCTTGGAGGGCCTTGATACTTTGAATAGAGGACTCTTGTGGTCGTAGAGCCATCGGGGAGACGTTCTGACATTTCCTGCGCATCCCACGTCCCGTCCATCTCGGGAGCTGCCGTCGTCACAGGAGCGTCGTTCTGCTCCCAGTCCACCAGCACCACGTTCGAGTTGTCGTCCAAGATAAAATTGCCAGGCTTAATATCCATGTGGAACGTCTTCGCCTCGTAGTGCGTGTGAGCGATAGCAGCCGTCATTTGGTAGCACCACTTGGCCTTGAGAGGCAGAGGGATTCTGACGCCTGTACCATTGCTCTCCTCAATCTTGTCCGCAAGGTTCCCATTCGTGTAGAATGGATATAAGCAACCACATACATACTCACATTTTCGCTCTCTGTCGGTCATTGTGACGAGTATCTGCGGCGCAGGAAGAATGTAGGGGTGAGGTGGCATATGACAAAGAAGTTCAATCGACCTCTTGAACGATGTGATCTCTTCCTTGACAAGACCGGATTCGTACGTGAAAAGAAATGTGCGAAAGTCGACGCCTTTGAAGACCATTTTCGCCTCTGGAGTAGAGGAATCATGAACCAACGTGGTACACCCTCGTCCTCCAAGTTGTTGTAGCCGCGTCAAGTTTTGGAACGCAACAGTCTTTGTCAGTCCCTGGGCTTCAAAATCGGACGGCTCGGGAAGAAGAGAAAGATAGTCAGCAAATAAGTAGTCTGTCACAACTTCCCACGATCCGTCTTCGGTCACGTTGATGATCGTATCCGGTTGCGATGTTGCGTCCAGCCGCGCACAGTCAAGCCAAATAGCGGCAACAGCCGACCAGAGAGTAGCTCGCATGGCTACTCGGCCAGGAAACGTTTCTTGAGGCTGCGAAATATTCCTGTCGTGGAAGCAATTGACGATCCGAGACGGTAGGGAATCCGGGTGGCTTTTGTCAGCGATGAATCGAAAGATGATTGTCCTGTTGATGCCAAACGCCTGGGCAAAGACTGTCGTTTCGGCATCATCTCCCCATATCCATTCGCCAACGACGCCGAGAGAGGCTAAACTAAGCTGTTCCATCCTTTGGCTCTGTTGAGCTTTTCAAATGTCGGGTATTTTTCTGCGCAGTGGATAATGTGCATGATTGGCAGAGCGACTGTGTTGCATGAAGCCAAAAATCCATCTTGGCTAACCCATCAGCCTGCTTACATAAATAACGATAGCAACCTCACACGTGATGTGACTCACCTCCGGGACAAAGCCTTTCTAGTAGCATTTGAGAAATTAAAAATAAATCTCGTTAAAATTTGCGGTATGGGAGCAAACAAGACATACTGCTGTGGAGTTTGTCGTCACACAAGGGAGGCGCTCTTGCGGCCTGAATAATTATACAAAGTCAATGCTAAAGGCTGATGAAGGAGCCAGAGACAAAGGAGCCAAGGTGTAGTTGTTAGCTTAAAAATACTCTCCTCCCGCCTCTGGAAGTCCATTCAGCATTCATCAGACAGCACACAATAACGAGCGATGGACTTGGCACGCAACAACTTCCAACTTCCGACAAGACCTGCGGCGATCGAGATCAACATGACCTAGAGATAGTTTATGCCAATACCACAGCTCCCTTGTAAATATGGATACTCCCTCGACTCAATTCCTACTCGTTGATAGTATAGACAAACGAAGAATCAGTCCCTTTGGCATGATGAAAGTCCTTGTCCGTCGCCTTGGCACCACCAATCAGCCAGGCGAACCACACAGGGTAGGGTGAGCCTTCGACAACGCTGGAGCGCTCCTCTGTATCACCGTCCATGAGTATACCTCTGCAAATGTTGTACGATGGGGTACTTACGCAGGTAGCCAATGACGGTGCTGCATGCATGCTCAGCCTTGCACTGCTTGATGGCCTCCTCGCGAAACGTCGCCTCGGTGTAGCCGGACTCGAAGCTGCCAATGACACGCAGAGCGCGCTGCGGCCAGAGACTCTGGTTTGGATTGTAGTCTTGCGGGCCGGGCAGCGAGAGCTCGACGAGATACTTGCCGCGCGGGAGAGCCGCGACGACAGCGGTCCACGTGAAGAGGGCGGCAACCTTCATGGTGGACGGCAAAGAGATGGCGAGGAGATGGCTGATATTGGACTTTTTGATTGGCTGCTGTTGGGCTTTGGAATTGCTAACTACAAGGACGGTCCTGTTTAAACGGCAGGTATTCCTCCTCTTATACATCCGGCTGGGTACAGTGCGATGAGCCATCACTCACCATTTTTCTGCCGGGTGCGTGCATGACCCGTGATTTTTCCATTTCAGGATCCCAATGAGGCGATTCTTTTCGAATGCCCGTCAATCTTCTTCAGCCCATGGTCCGGACACTGCCGGATACGTTGACCGCTCCGAGTGGGCAGCCAACTTGCAGCCTGCAATGCAGCCAGTTGGCGCCTTGTATACTCGGCGCTCCTTTCTATAACGGGGGGTATTTGTATACTTTTTCGTATTGAGCTTGATTCTAGCGACTGCAACGTATCACCAGCTTTCATTTGCCTTGGCTTTTGTGCAAGGTGCTGGACCTTTTGCAGGGTTCCTCACAACCTCGTATTAGCCACTGGGGGAGGGGTGGGAGTGATGCAATGGCATAAGAGTGGCAAAAACACCTTTTCGTCATCCTTTTTCTTATTTTAAAATTTACCCATTTTTAATTGATCACTTCGCCAGATCCGGCTCCTGCCAGATGTAACCATGTCCTGCACCGACACGAAAGCTGAGCTCCCACGACCGAGTCGGAACGCTACCCACCGGCGCCGCCCCCATTCACCCTGGCCTTGGACGGCCTGAACCCGTTGACGAGGCCCGTCCGCTGGTCTCTCGTCACGCCGTAGCACTGGTACGCGCCGGCGACCGGGCGCAGCACTGCCATCTTCTCGCAGACCAGCACATAGTCCCCGAAGAAGGGGTGGGCGCGCACGTCCTCCCCGGCGCCGGCGACGATGCCGTGGCCCAGGCTCGCGCCCCAGAGGCCGCCCGCAACCTGGACCGTGTGCGCAAAGGGGCTGCCGTCGGCCTCGAGCAGGACCGAGTAGACGTCGCCCGTGTACATGATGGGGTCGACGGTGAGGTGCACCGGAAAGTACCACGCGACGCCGTCAAAGGAGACGGGGTGCCACGCCGTCACGAGCAGCGCCGCCCCGAGCCGGCACATCACCTCGTTTTCGACCTGCATCCGCAGCACACCCACGACGAGCCGCGGGCCCGCGAGCGTCTGCACCACGCTGCCCGCGCGCAGGTCCTGAATCTCGACTGTCGATCGCGATTCGAGCGTCACGGGCGTGCCGTGCGCAAAACAGGCACTGCCACTCTGAGCAGATGTGGAAGAAGAAGAAGAAGATGATGATGAATATGAAGAGGTAGAAAGGGACATGGTGGGTGGAAGGGTGGCTAGCTGTCGTCGTCGTTGTCGTCGTCGTCGTTGTCCGCTGCTTTGCGAGACGACACCTGAACTGTGTGTCGAATTTTGGCTTGGCCAACGAGGTGCCGCCTCCATGCCCTGGTTCTGTAACATTGTGCATGTGACTGGCTGCAGTCTTGTGCACCCTCACGTCACGGTGCGGCGTGGCACAAGCACTGCTTCCACTCACCGTCTCCAAGGGCTTGCATTGCTCGAATGTCGCTTTCCATGGTTGCTACATGACGTAAATGGTCGGTTGTTGCCATTACACGGCAGAAGACCAAATCATTTCCATGACGTGAGAAATCTGCCGCCTATGCATTGAAGACGGGCTCGGGAGATCGGCAGATGGCGGCGAGCGGCACCGCTGATCAAGTTTGTCGTTGCTGAGACTCGTAGACTTGCACCCCTTGGCTCGTCCACCAGAGCCATTACCTACCATTGTCAGCGAGAAACAATCACAGAGAGCCTCGAGTCATGGACCATGAAAATCATCTGATTATAATCGTAATTGAAACACTAAAAGCATTCGGAAGCCTGCTTTCCCACGCCCAAAACCGATTCCGCGGGAACTTGTAGTCACAAACGGAAAGAGAACAAAAGCAAGGCGAAAAACAAGAAGACGAATAAGAACAATAAAACTAAAAGAACGACAAAACTGAGTATATATTACAAAAAGAAAAAAAAACGAACAAAAAAAAACGAACAAACAAAATCACAACTCCAAGCCAGGCAGATGCCCGCCCGACACATCGCCAAGCCAGACAGATCCCCGTCCAAAAAACATATTGTACGGCTTTTCAGACTCCGTCAAAGCGGACCAAACTCATAGGCTAGCCCTCTGTAGAACTGTATTGGTAAAGTCATGGGCCCGATCTTTGCTTCTGGGCTGATTCTGCGTCGCGGAAAGCCAGTATCTCGTGGCCGGTAGTCACTGTGAATTCGTCCGGAAAAGGCTCCGCTGGTAGTACGGGAGTCGAGTCTCGCTGAATCCCAAAAGACGTACCCAAGAGTTCGATGAGGAATATGCCACTTGTTTTCCACACCCATGTAGTAGTCGGAGCTCCATTCACGACGGCGGTAGCCCTGATTTGGTACCATGGGACATTCAAACCCAGCATGGGAGGCTGGAGAACAGAGACATTTGGATGGAGGTACTTGCATAGGTATTTTCTCAACGCGGTCTAGTGTCGTCAAGAGAAAGCCAAAGACGAGGAAGGAGCTTTTCCGGATAGCGATGCATCGATCCCGCGTGTCGCCTCGAGCGAATGACAGCATGTACATGAGCCCATTAGCGACGATTGAGCTAACGTATGAGTTCGAGAAAAGTCGTCTGTGCGTGAACGAATATAGGCGGAGCGGGCCGAGGCCCATTGTAGAGGAAAAGATGTCTTGAGCTGCCGCATCGCCTGGAGTGGCGGCTCCCACCTCGATCAATTGGTCGACCTTTGCTTCGAAGGCGTCTTCCATATTGTCCAGAGTATCCTCAATAAAATCGGCAAAGTACTGATGAACACATGTTATTTCTTCTACTTCCCAAGGCTGAAAGTATGATAGGAAGCCATTGAATTGGTTGGTTCCCAGTGCCCATTCTAATGGTTGCGCACGTCCGCGAGGTTTGAAGAGTTGCGAATATATTTCAAACCTCAGAAAGGCACGATATAGCCTAATGTACTCTGTTTTGGAGAAGTCGTACTCCGTAGGACATTCAGCGCCGTCCCGGCCCCGGGCGCCTTTCCACAGCTCATTCCCGAGCGGCACCTCGCACAGCCGGCCCAGTTCCGATGTTATCTTCTTGGTGAGGTCACTGATGAAGTATACGATTGTCGAGTGTAGATTGTAGGCTGTATTAGCGTTCTCCAGAGTGGCTGAGATGTCAAAGTTTGCAGAACCGAAATATGCTTCTAGGAAGCTCCTTCTGAGGTCAAATCTTTGTTCGACCGGGGAGAGGTTTGTGAGGAGGTAATGAGCGGCGCAGAACTCCCGCCATAGCTCCGTAGGGACTTCCATCTTGATAGATTGACAGATGACTTGTCCCGGGTAAGACCAAAAGGCAGTGTACCATTGGCGCGACACGAGCAACAAGCTTGGGAGCTGTTTCGGCGAAGAAGCCCCGAGGATGTTTGAGATGACCAGATGCGGCAATTGAGAGATATCTGTCGGCATTTGGAAGAGAGCAAGAATATATCTGAGGGACAAGTGATATAGTAGAGGCTCGTGATGTGTCTTCCCTGCACCTATGCGAGAGGCCTTTCGCTTTTTTTTGTAGGGAGGCACGCTTCTGTAGGGAGGCCAGAGGCGCCGGCGCCTCTAATATTTTCGCCGCACGAATATAATCTTTAGTTAACATCTAAATAGGCGTCATAGAAATAATTAGCTTTAGACGCTAACATATTTTATTTTCCAGCATGAAGTGCGCGAGTTGGCGGCTTGCCGTGGCTATACATGTACTTGTCAACCAGGATATGATGAAGCGAGGCGACGAATGTGACTATCTAGTTGTAAAGAGATTTACGGGCCACGTTAAGTAAACTAAGAATCTACAACACTAATGCAGTTTAAATTATAATAAAATTTATTTCTGTGTGGCGAAATTGGGGTTCATTTTGGACGGTGGCTAGTACGTAAGAGGGCGGTAGTCGGAACAAAGCAAGGAATGCTCAAAAGAATGAGAAAAAAATAAGGATCCGGGAGATCAAAGAAAGATGGAAAATATGCAGAATGAAAATCCCGGAATTTCATACAAGACGTTGCTGCTGCATCTTTTTGTAGCCGAGTAATTATGCGGCGTAGATTGCGTAGTCGTTCCTTTGCCTCGCAAGGCACTGACGACGCTCACAAGGCTGAGAAGTAGGTCATTAGTACATGTATCTGGGCTGGGCTACCGACTTCTCGGCAGGTATCCTATACTTGGCTTTTGCCCCTCCTGCGCTCAGCCCACTGTGGCTTCCGTGTGGCGGGGCGCCATGGACCTCGTCGTCATCCGACCAGCTGCTGCTCAGCCAAATGATCGCCCTTCACATGCCGTCCGTTTCTTTCTTAATACGATACTATCCCTCTCTGCCACGATCGTACTGCGAAGTATACCGTTTTTACTCTAGACAAACTACCACGCTTCTCCCACCGACCCAGCAGTAAACGCCCACCCCGCACCTTGCAATGACGTTGCCGTCTGGTGCCGGCTCTGGCCTGCAGCGACGCTCTGATTCTCCCTCCAATAGCTTCTACGCGGTGACGGATGACGACGACGGCGCCTACGATACAATTACACATACGGAAACGGGCAAGGGTGTGAAGCTGCTGTTCTCAAAAAGCAAGGTAGGCCGAAGACGCTTGCAAACGGAGCTCGTGATGCCACAGGCTAACAAGAACAGGTCTATGTGCACCCCTCACCGTCCTCCAAGGACAATATCTCGGGCTACATTGCTTTGCTGCAGCAAAAACCAGCTGTTGGTGCTGCATCGTTCAGCGACGGCTCCAGCCCATCCGCGGCCGATCTCCTGCTCGCCTGGATCCCCGAATCCTCTCTCGGCGACTCGGCCAGCATATACGTCAAGGTCGACCTGTCCGATGGCGACTCACCACCACGACAATCCTATCTCGTACCCCCACCACCGACTGTCACATCTCACAGTGGATCTGTCGGTGCCTACTCCTTTGCCGTGCCAGTCGGCGCCATCTACTCGCTGCTGGTTCGACCACCCAGTGTCGGCTGGTGGCATGGCTCCATCATTATCAACACCAAAGCCGGCGACAGCTTCCCGGCTCTGTTCTTCCACGACAATGAATGCCAGAGTACTATGCAGCAAAAGAAAAAGCTGACAAAGGATACATTTGACCCCTTCAGCGCAGCCGGCAAGATGTTTTGGGGTGCAGACGAGATTTTGCGATGGCTCAGACGGTATGTCCGGATTGAGAAGTCGGTAGCGGAACCCAACATTTATCTCATTGAGCCCTCCAAGGACGACTTGAATGCGTTTGGCTCGATTCCTACGACGGTTACCAAGGGCAAAGGTGCCCCGGCCAGTCGCGATGCTGAAATGGACCCGTTTGTCAAGTTTGTCAAGGAAACGGGTTGGAATATCATGGAAAAGTTTAGTCAAGTGACAACCTTTACCCGGCGAGCAGCCCAAGATTTGGCCGAGAATCCCAACATGCCACCCCAAGTCAAGAAGCTGCTGCGAAACAGCGATGTGCAAACCCTCCAGGACGAGTACGACAGCGCGCGAATATATCTTGCGCGCTGGGCTATGGGTATCGCGGAGCAAAGCGAGCGCGACCGAAAGCAAAAGATGTACACGGTCAAGGACATTCTCGAGCTAGAGGATACCGACGTCGGTGAGTTTGAGCTCCTCGACGCCGCTGGCTCCCTGTCTCTCGAAGAGCGTCGCAAGCCCGTCACCATGACGGAGTGGAAGACGTTTTTCGACGCCGAGAATGGGCGCCTTATCAAGACGACGGACGAGGTCAAGGAGCGCATCTTCCACGGCGGCCTCGACGCCGACGACGGTGTGCGCAAGGAAGCCTGGCTATTTCTGCTCGGCGTCTACGACTGGTACAGCACGGCCGACGAGCGCAAGGCGCAGGTCGCGTCCCTCCGCGACGCCTACTACAAGCTCAAGGACGCCTGGTGGGAGCGTCTCGACGGCGAGGGCGGCGAGGGCGAGACGGGCGAGTGGTGGCGCGAGCAGCGCGGCCGTATCGAAAAGGACGTCCACCGCACCGACCGCCACGTGCCCATCTTTTTCGGCGAGGACACGCCGCACCCGGACCCGAGCTCGCCTTTTGCCGACGTCGGCACCAACGTGCACCTGGAGCAGCTCAAGGAGATGCTCCTCACCTACAATGAGTACAACAAGGACCTCGGCTACGTCCAGGGGATGTCGGACCTCCTCGCGCCCCTCTACGCCGTCATCCAGGACGACGCCATTGCTTTTTGGGCTTTCAAGGAGTTCATGGCTCGCATGGAGCGCAACTTCCTCCGCGACCAGTCGGGTATGCGCGCTCAGCTGCTCGCGCTCGACCAGCTCGTCACCTTTATGGATCCCAAGCTCTGGAATCACTTGCAAAAGGCGGACAGCACCAACTTTTTCTTCTTCTTCCGCATGCTTCTTGTTTGGTACAAGCGCGAGTTCCCCTGGGAGGATATTCTTAGTCTGTGGGAGCGACTGTGGACGGATTTTTTGAGCGCCGACTTTCACATCTTTGTCGCCCTCGCGATTCTGGATAAGCACCGCGACGTTATCATGGAGCACCTCCAGGCCTTTGACGAAGTTCTCAAGTACAGTATGGTCGCCCCTCCCACCACCACCATGTGCTCGCATGCTGACTGACACACGTTCTCTAGTTAACGAGCTCTCTGGCACCATGGATCTCGACTCGACGCTCATCCGCGCCGAGGCACTCTTTCGCAAGTACCAGCGTGCCGTCGAGGCCATTGACAAGAAGCAAAACTTCCCGGCCCCGCGGCTGTCATCAGGGTCCACTGCAGCCGTCGTCAAGCCACCAGCCCCCGGATCCAGAGGTAAGGAACCAGAGGTTGCGGCAAAGGTCATCACGCCTGAGCTGCGCAAGCTGTTGAGCAGACAGGTGCAAGTGCTGCCGCGCAAGACTGTAGCGAAACATGGAGATGGCATGCCTGGCCAATAATAGCTGCATCTTATTCTTACTTTTGACACCAGGCGCTGGCGTTTTGGGGGGGCTTGATGGTTTTGCTTGTAATTATAGTCGCTCGTCACGGTTTGACGCGTATATGAGACACTATTTCCGCTTGCTCACCCTGTTCCCCTCAACGTAAAAAAAAAATGTGACATTGTTATCGATTATTTTGTAGTGCCTCTGCCGCTTCTCTGCAGGCACCCAGGGTATACCGCCGCCAGGACCTATGTACAGACGAGCCAAACCAAAACGAAAGAAGCAAGCGACATGGACAAGAAAAAAAAACAGACCTATAACAGGGGAAAAAGCAGTTTCATAAGGTAACACTGCCAACAAAAAAACAACCAGCTTCATCCATGCGTTACGCTGAGCCGGGTTACCGATACCCTCGCGGCCCGCTAGGCAGACCTTGTCGTTGGCCCCCGGGTTGTCCTCGGCCAGACGGATCCCCCCGGCCGCGACCGCCGTCATACGGCCCTCCACCGGCCTGCGGCGGCGGGGGCGTCCCGTACGGGTTCTGATTCTGATTCTGCGCCGCCGGGCTGGCGGCGCGCGCGGCGCCCCAGAGCCGCTGCTTCAACCGATCCTGCGCCGTCGCACCTCCACCGCCGGCCGCCGCCGCCGGCTGGCTGCTGACGCTCTGGTAGCTTCCGGAGCGCTGACTCGGGAGCGGCCGCGCCGCGACCTCTTCCCTGGTGCTGCTGCTGGCAGCACCACGGCCGGCGCGCAGGCTCTGCTGGGGTTGCTGCTGCTGCTGCTGGCTGGAGCCGGTGTCCCACAGGCTGGCGAGGCTAGAGGAAGCCGGGAGGCCGCCGGCACTGCTGCTGCTGCTGTTGGGGGGCGCGCCGTAGCGCGCGCCGAGCTGGGGCTGGGCGTACAGGGCCTGGGGCGGCGGCTGGGCGGCCTTGGGGTCGGCGGGCAGCCACGGAGGCATGGGCCGGCCCTTGTCGGCGTAGTAGTTGCGCAGGACGCGGCAGACGTGCGTGTCGTCGTCGGTGTCGCCGTCGGCGTCGCCGGCGAGGAGCGTGGACCGCAGCGAGGAGATTTGCGACGACGTCTTGGTGACGATGCTCGCGTACCACGACGCCATGGCTGCTGCTTTGGGGGGTAGTTGTGGATATGTTGTCGGTTTGCCGGTTTGCGGGCACGTGAGGGGGGGCGTCGCAGAGGCGATGGGCAAGGGGACGAGGAGCGAGTTTTGCTTTTGTCGTGGTATGAGATGGGAGAGGAGATTGTGTCGGAGGGGTTATTGATTGATCAAGGCGTAGAATCGAGTTGCCATTGGAGACGAAACGCTTTGGACAGGGCCTTCTTTTGCTGTGAAGCGCTTTGTCCTCGTAATCGATCGGGGGCGCGAGGGGATGGAGATGTCCCGAGGTTCGTTTTCTTTGGCAATTCGCGGTATGGGATGACGGTAAGCAGAGGATGGTAGTCCGTCAAGTAAAGGCGAACCAGAAAAGCGTCAGATTCCAGCATCAATGTTCGCAACAAGTTGCAGGTTGCAAGGTTTCAAGTTGGCAGAGCTCAGTGGACCCCCCTGCATTGCAATGGGCATGGCCTGTTGGTGGGGAGGTGCGTACTGACTGACTGGTAGCCGCCCTCTTCATGACGTCGTACCCCTTTGGCTGGGCGGCTAATACCGCTTTAGCTGAAACCACCCGTTTATGCGGAAACAACGTTGACAAGAATAATTTTCCTTTTTTCAATTCAAAATAATATTCATATATCGAAATAACCGACAGATGTAGCAGAGTAAGCAGAACCATAAATACATGCCAGCAAACGCCGCTATGCTATGAATAAATCCGATGCCCATCCTAAACTTTTCTTTGTGCACAAGCGAGCGCGGCTTTCAGCCAGCCCTCTGCTGAATAAAAAAAACAAGGACAATATACAGGCAGCAAAATAGCAAACGTATGAAACCGTCCCCTTGTACCTGGCGCCTTGTCGCTTCGCTCACGCGCCGGTGCATTACCAGGCCAGGTCGTTGGTCAGAGTCAGCTTCTCCTTCTCCCTCTCGGTCTGGCGAGGACGTTTGTTCTGCATCTTGATGGCACGGCCGCGCTTTCTCTTGCTGCTCTGCTTTTCCGTCTCCTCCTCGTCGCTATCCTCCTCGACCTCAACCTCGTCCTCATCCTCGCTCTCCAGCCAATCCTGCAGCTCGGCGAGCTCCGCCTCGCTCTCATCCAAGTCGGACACATACTCGACAGCCTTTTCACCGTCTTCGGCCTCGCTGTCCAGCTCCTCCTCCTCCTCCGAGTCGATGCCCTCGTCCATGTCCTCGTCGCGGAGGCCGTTGCCCTCGCGCTCCATGGCGTTGAGGACCTTTTTCCAGATAGCCTCGCTCACGTTGAGCGGCTGCTCGCCGTAGGCGCCCTGGCGCAGGCGCTCGAGCAGCTCGCGCTCAATGGTGCGCTCCAGCTTGGCGGCCGCCTCTGCCTTGCGCTCGCGCGCGCGCTCGCGGTGCCGGATCTTGGGCGCCAGCTTAGGCACCAGCTTCTCACCCAGGCGCTCCTCCTCGGCGGCGATGCGGCGCATGCGGATCTGCACCTGGGTCAGGCGCGTCAGGCGTTGCTTGCACTTGTGCAGCAGAAACTTGGGCCAGTAGATGAGCCGCTCGTCAATCTGCTCCAGCGCCTTGGAGTAGTTGTTGGACAGCTTGATGCGCTCCCACATCTTGGACGGCAGGTGCGCACGTTCGACCGTCTTCATGTACAGGTAGAGGGTCTGCTTGGTCGGGTGCTGGCGGACCGTGGCGTAGCGCGAGTTGGCCAGCGGACACGACTGGCGGTTGCAGAAGCCCGTCACATTGTATTCGTTGCGGCAGAAATTTTGCTCCTTTGGGGTCCTGGTTCTGTTAGAATGGAGTGCGGTATCGAGTTTTGAGGGACATACTTCAGTTTAAAAGCACAGAATTGCTGGTTGATGATTTGCCAGATAATCTCGTCGGACGCCATGATGGGCGATTTCCCGGTTGTGTCGCTTTTCGGCGGTCTAAAAAAGAGGAAACAAGAATTTCAGGTTTGCATTAACAGATGAATACACAGATGGAACTTCTTCCGGGCTCTGCTCCTCCGACTGTGCAGAAACGGGTGGAAAGAAGAGGCAAGGCCGTGGGACTAGGAAGCAGTATATTTTTTTTCTAGGCCCAAGCTGGGAGACTTGGAGATTTTTTTTTGCCAGCCTGTGATAGGCAGGCTGTCTTTGCCTAGTGGGCGGGCCGCCTCACCGCTTTCCTGCCATCTGCTGAGCCACATGAGGCGTACACTATTATACACCCGTTTCGAAATCAGAGCTCGAGAGGAACCTGCAGCTTTCTGATATAATCCAAAAAATTGATGATTGATCAATTGTATTATAATTCTTCGAGAACGTCTTCATTGAGTGCTTTTTTTTATGTATCGGCCTCGTTATGGCGTTAGCGTTACAAACGAATGGAAGGCTATCTGGTGGGTGGCAGGACATCACAGCACACAAGACCGGATATGCTGGCATGCCTCAACAGCAAGAGAGAATAAGCAGAATATATCACTGGAACAGGAAGACCATGTCAAGAAATAACCACCCAATTTTGTGCTTCTGCTCAGGACGTCTTGCACATTCATTTTGCCGCTGTCCTCTGGAGCACATGGTTTCACCGCCTGCCTAATCCTCTACCCCACCACCACGGGCAGCCAGCCTCCGAAGGTGTGTCTGCGAACGTCGCATTACACATTACACGCACGTAGCGCCCGAACCTGTCTCGTGCAATCTTCCCAACGACTTCTCCCCGCCACGCTCACGACCGCAAGCCCTCAAACAACCCCCAGCGCGCCTCTTCTCTCTCTCTCCACTTTATTCTCCCACAGAAACCACCGACCGAGTCCTCGCCGCCGTCGCCGACCGAAGCTCCGAAACACCCTCAACGTCACCCAAAGAGAGCTCTCCATCCAGCCCGCCTTGGAAAGCTTCCCATACCTGGCCCTCCTTGCGCGCATCGCATCCCCAGACCCGAGCCACTTTGCATCACGACTCATAGACGATCTGGACACGGCAGCGACCGCCGCCGCCCCCCGCCCACCATGCCGACCGCCGGCCTCAAGACCATCATTGCCCTGTCCTTTGTCCTCGCCCTCGGCTTCCTGCTCGTCATCCTGTCGTGTGCCCTCTTCCACTCGTACTTTCCGCTGCTCGTCGTCGCCACCTACGTCGTCGCGCCCGTCCCCAACTGGATCTGCACCCGCTGCGCCAACCCCGATGACTTTGTCGAGAGCGCCGGCGCCGCCGTCCTGGACCTGGGCCGCTTCCTGACTGGCTTCTTTGTCGTCATGGGCATGGGTGCGTTCTTTCCCCTGTTTTTTTCATCTCTCTGTATACATTGCTAACTGAGATGTTCCTGGCAGCCCTGCCGGTGATTCTCGCTCACGCCGATATTATCCGCACCGAGGCCATGATCATGTCCATTGCTGGCGGCCTACTTATTTACGGCACCATCATCAGCTTTGGCATGTTCTTCCAAGAAGAGCAAGAATTCTAAACGAAGCAGACCTGCCATGAACCCGCGGAGAGGAGTTTAATGGGAACCCGCTTTTTTGTACCTATATGTTGGTCGGGAGCAACCTCGGAGTCCACAAGTTGAAAGATATCGTTCGAAACTCACCATAGTCTGTTTTGTCTTTTTCTGCAATAAGCATGAGCGTTACCAAAGAGACAATGTTTCTTAATGTATGCGATAATGTTAAAAACGAAAGTGTTGGTTGTGAATATGTATGATGTTGAGATCGCTCTAATAAACCATGGTATAATACAGTAGCTCTGAGCCCTATCCGAGGTCCAAGATTCTAATGAGATGAGATGCCCAATCTTACCCTTCCTGCCTTTATGCCGCGTCTCTAAATGTGCCGAGCGGACCAAACAGCTTCGTAAACATTTCCTCCCGCTCGCCTTCGGGCGTGCTCAGAATCGTCACGGCACCGCCCGCGCCGATTCGCCATACCTCGCGCTCCTCCGTCTCGCCACCGCCGTCGTCGTTGGCGGCCCTGGGCGGCGCCCTCTCATCATCCCAGGAAAACATGGTGCGGATGGTGACGCTCCAGTCGCCCTGGCCCTGCGCGTCAAAATACCCAATGACGCCCGAGTAGACGCTGCGCTCGCCGGGTTCGATAACACGGAGCAGCTCGCAGCTGCGTTTCTTGGGCGCGCCCGTCATGCTGCCGGGCGGGAGCGTCGCCGCGAGCACGTCGATGCCGTTGAGTGCACCGGCGGCGTCGCCGCGCAGCGGCAGCTGGCCGTGGACAGCCGTCACCATCTGGAACACGGTGGCGTACTCTTCCACTTGCAGTAGATCCGGCACTGTGACATTTTGCGGGCCGCAGACGCCGTAGAGGTCGTGGCGCACGAGGTCGACAATCATCAGGTTCTCGGCCTCCTCCTTGGGCACGTGCAAAATCTTCTCGGCGTCGGCGAGCGTGGCCACGGCGTCCGACTTGCGGACGGTGCCCTTCATCGGACGCATGCGGCAGAGGCCGTCGCGGTCGGTGGACAGGAACCGCTCGGGGGAGCAGCTGATGATGGTGGCGCCGCCGAGACGGATAAAGGAGCCAAAGGGGGCGGGTTGTCGGCTGCGCAGAGTCCGGTACATTTCCCATGGTGAGCGCTCCTTGTTATCGGGTTGGACGGGTGGTCTCGTCATGGTGGTCTGCGCCGTCAGGCACAGTTCGTATGAGTGTCCTTCCTCGATGGCATACTGGCAGTGTCGGACGTCGTTCTCGTACTTTTCCGAGTCGGGGACCTTGATCTCCAGGCGGTCGCTGCCGCGGGCTGCCACATCGTCCCACAGCTCTTCGGGGGTCAAGGTCGCCTTAGGGCAGCTTACGGGAGGCCGTGAGCTGGGATCGCGCCATAGTCTGGCAGTCTGCAGCTTCTGCACGGCGTCGTCGACCCAGCTTCCGTCGTTGTCCGCCGTTGTCAGACTTTGCACATAGGCGGTGCTGGTCTTGTGGTCCAGCACGACGCTGTTGGTGATCCAAGCCATGACTAGATCGGGGCGATGATGGCCGCGGTGGGCGGACACGGCGCCGGGGCTCAGGGTGCTCAGACCCTTTTCATACGTGACAAATCCCATGAAGCCGCCTTTGAAGGTGGGCAGGCCGTCGTTGTCAGCGTCGTTCAGCTTGTGCATCCTCCAGAATTCGGACATGATTTGGTAGACGGCCATCGGATCGTCTTGTGTGCCATCAAGCGAGATTTCCACCACCTCCTCTGGACGAGAGCCACCAGCTTCGGAAGCCGGACAACGAAACGTAACGTAGTCATCGCGGACGTGGTATTTCAGCCGAAGAGCCTCATCCACATTGAGCGCAATGATGCTGTTTCGCGCCATGGGGTCGCCATTCCTTGCGCTTGACGAGTCTAGGAGTATAGTCTCGCCAGAGGTGCAGCCCAGAATGTCCATCACATCGGCCGCGTCGACACCGTCGGGAAGCGTGAGCTGTCGACAGACGTAACCGGGCTGCGTGCCGTGGCTAGCCAGGCCGGCGCGCAGGGCATTGGACCACCGCGCGGCCGCCAAGTCTCTCTCCGAGGGACCCTGCGTCGCCGAGCTGGCGCCTGTCGCCGCCGACTCGAGGTTGGCCGAGTGTACAAGCGGTAGCACCCACGGCTTTCGCTTGCGGCCATGGATCTCGTTCCACTTCGTCGCCTGGTCGAACCAGTTGCGCAGAATGCCATGCACAGCCATGGAATCTGTGCAAATGGACTCGGGGTGGCACTGGACGCCCCAGAACGGCAGGCTGGCGTGGCGGACACCCATCAAAACCCGCTCATTATCGTTCTCCTGCTCCGTCACCCACGCCAAGGGAACCAACTCGGGCGCCATGGAAGGCGGCTGCCACCTCGCCACCGGCCACTGCTCATCCGAAACATGATCCTGGCCGATATCCGCGCATAAGCTGTGGTATAGTGTCGCCTGGAACGCGGGCACACCATCAAAAATATCCGCATAGCCTACCCCCGCTGCTGTGCCCGTCCCCTCCAAGCCCTTGTGCTCAATGGGCCGCACCATGCCGTGCAGTCCCCGTCTCAGCTTCCGGACGCGCCCGCCAAAGTGCTCGACCAGACTCTGGAAGCCCAGGCAGATGCCAAACACGGGCACGGCGCGGCGGCGCGGCAGGGCCCATAGGCGACGAAACGCGCCCACGTCGTCGGCACAGAGCGGCGACCCGGGGCCCGGTCCGCACACGACAGCGTCAAACGAGGCCAGCCGGTCATCGAAATCCTCGGGCGTCCAGTCAGGCGTCGGGTCCGAGTGCAGCGTGCGCAGGTCCATGTGGAGGACGTGCACCTGCACGTCGGCGCCGAGCGCATCGCGGAGCAGCGACACAATGTTGTTCGTGAAGGAGTCGTAGGCGTCCAGGAACAGGATACGGGTGGCGGGTCGCGGAGGCATGCTGCCGCCGGGACTAGTCGTCGTCGTCGCCAAAGGTGGCGATGAGAAGCCCGAGTTGGTGCGTGACTGGATCAAGGGCATGACTGGCAAGCAGGGTTTTTTGGGGGGTTCTTTCTGCGTTTGCGCGCCGCTTGAGATCCACGTCGCGCGGCCACGGCGAAATCCCAATGGCCGCTTCTGCTCTTGTTTTCCAGTGTACAAATTGAAGAGTGGAAAATGGCAAGATTGGAAAGCTTTTGGTTGGTTTTTTCTGGGTTGGTCCTTGCTGATCTCAAGCCACAAAGCCGAATGGCCCAGCAAGCTTGGCGGGTCAGGATGGGCGGCGGAAAGTGCAAACAACTACCTAGGTAGTTAGCGCGGCTGATGCGAACAGATGTGCTTCTTTTCCGTCAGGAGAGCTTTTTAAATCAAAAGCCTGCCGTCTTTCCGATAAGGCTATCTCATCTGAAAGTAGAGTACCTAAGGTACATACATAATCAGTCAATGCTGAGTCAACATCCGCCCACGGCTGGCTTGGCTCAAGTCCCGCAGCAAACCGCCCCGAACAGTCCCGGTCCCGGTCCCGGTCCCGACAGGCAGACCTAACCGCCGTTCCGGTTATCGACACGCGCTAGTGCCGAGAGCCAACCCTTTCTTTCCTCGACGGGCTGATCGGATGGTGCACATCGGGTAAGCGCCCCGAGAGAGCCAGTGCTGACACGCATAATGCTTGTGAGGCATGACCCCCTCCCTTATCGTGGATATCTCAACATTGCATGTCTCAGCCTTGCATTCGGTCCAAGTTGCCTGACTTGCCGTCTCGCTACCCACGTCAGGTGCGCAATATTTCGTCTTGTGACGTTCGTTGTATAAAAATGCTTCATTTGACGCTATTCCCGATGATTGCATCCACTACATGACACGCCTGTCCCATATCTCTAAATGCTTTAAAAAAAGAGGCACATCATCCGCGATAGTCTAGCACTCTATTACTCCATCTACTCATCCTTGACAGACAATTGGAACGGGTGTCGCGAGTGCCACATCCGACGCTGCGTGACACCCAGAGCCGCATCCATCGCTTCCTGTGTGTTAGACCTTGGTCTGCTGTGTCGTTGCTTCTCGGCCTGCCCAGGCTCCCAGACGAGCACCTCTTCCACCGACGCCGTAATCTCAAACTCGCCGCGACAGAGCGCCGTGAAGCCCAGCACAAAGTCTTGGCTCTTGTGCGCCTTGAGCTCCGGCAGCAGCTGCTGCAACGTGCCGTTCCAGGCAATCTTGCGTGTATAGTCCAGCGCCACCGTGAGGGGCCGGTGGCAGAGCGCGGGCACCAGTCGAACCATCGGCAAGACGGGCCGGCTGGTCTTGTTGGTAATGTGTACTTTCAAGTTCATGAATTCGTCAATGATTGCCACACCCGCGCCGGTTGTCGGCTTTGCGCCCGTTTTGCCGCCAGTTGCAGGCTCCATGGAAATGGTAATGTCGACTTCGTCAATCTTTATTGCTTCAATCATGCGCGTCGTTAGTCGTATATTGCGTAGGTCTATCACACCCTCTTTTCTCGGCACCGACGCCGTTCTCCAGGTGGCTTTCAGCGAATCAAGAATCTTTTCGCGATACCAAAACGCCTCTCGGTTGGCACGCTCCATGTCCGGTGAAATCTTGCTCGAGCTGACCACGAATTGCCTCGTTTTGTTGGGGTTCAGGCTCGGTATCGATGCGTGCGGGTCTTCTAGCAACATGCGTTTGATCGGCAGAACAAGCCGCGTAGTCTTGCCAGGCAGTATGCTATCCTCCGCCGTCATTCCGTCGCTTCCTTCTAGTCGAATCGTCATCTGGCTCGGCCACGAATTGCGCATATCCATCGACAACAAGCAGTATTCTTCATCATCGGGTGATGCATTGCCACCGACCCGGTCCAGCAAGCTTTGAGGAATGCTGCCGTGGATGGGCAAGGTGTCTATTCGTGATAGTTCGACGCTGGCATTGACCGTAACCGCCAAATCCAGAGATAGCTGTCGGGTAAAGAATTGTTCAGTAATCTCATCAATGGGGACACCCAGATAAGTGTAGTCGACTTGGATCGTTGCATTGGTGAGGCCTGGTTTGCCGAGAATCTCGAAATCAAAGGTAGCTTCACCACCAGGCACAATGTGCCGGTTTGGCTCGCTCTTTGGTAGACGCAATGCCTGCTTCTTCATAAGAATCAGCTCATACTCGTACATTTCTGCTGCAGACACATCTCTGCTATTCAGTGCCGTTTGCAGCGGCCCTTGCGTAGAGTCCGTAAAAGAGAAGAGCATAAAGTCAACCGGGTTTTCAGACACATTTTGCAGAGTCACCGAAAAAACATGTCTCTCGCCCTCCAGAACCATGACGGAAGACTGCGAAAGTGTTGTTGACTTGATAACGATCAAAGGCTGCGCTTGCACCACATTGACGCTGAATGTGTCCGCGGAGAGCTGTTGGTCAGTAGATCTGCCTTTGATCGGCACCGGAGGTCCGATATCCAGAGAAGCCAGGCCTTTCGACTTGACCTTGTCCGCACGCTGGGGAGTCCAAGAGTTTGTGAATATTGGGAAAAGTCGCTCTCGGCAGCCGCGTACTCTCACCATGGCGCCCTTTATAACGACGGTTCCAGGCGCTTTCGGTCGTCCTTGAACAATGAGAGTCTGGGTGCGATAGGGACCCAGAGCAACGTGGGTCGGCAGCGCTTCAAACTCTACCCCGGTTGCCTCCAACCGGATGCTTTCAATCTCGACCTCGATATCGTATGTATTTTGTAGCGTAACTTTGAAGTTTGCAATCTCGCCGGCAACCAGATTCTTGGCAGCAGACTCTGCAGCCTCTTTGAGAAACGGATTATAGATGAAAGGGTTCACGTCCTGGGACGCACGGCTTGCCGTGGCACCTGGCAGGATACTGCGAGCATGCGGCACTGGTGTCCTTGTCAGTGGCAACGGCTCCAACTCCACACCGCGAACCAGGAATTCGTCCCAGTACTCGGCATCGAGATACGTCATGCCCAATCGCTGAGCAAGGGCCCAAGTGCGAGAAATGTTGGCTGCTAAACGTACTTGTTCTTCCTTGAATATCAGCGGCGGTGAGTGCTCCTTTTGCAGCGCCGGCGCAACACCTGAGCCAGCTGTGCGCATCAAATCGCTAGAGAATTTCAAGACGCCATTGAAGTCTGGTAGTGCCTCTGCAAAATTGATACAAGAGCGCAAGATATTCAGCTTGATTTCTGCAAAGCCGAAAAAACGTGTAGCTAGCTGCCTTTCGATTCTGGAAATGACGGCAGCGTCCAGGTCTTCCTTGACGTCCGGGATGTCGGCAGTTTTGCCAAGGGGGTCGAAGCTGACTACGCCGTAAGACCTGCAGAGCAGATCCAGAAAGGCTTCTATGCCTTGCTCAACGTCTGCTTCACCAAGATCCAACACTGTAGCACCTCGTCCTCTCTCGCCATTCGCACCCAGAGGTATGAGTCCCGCTGCAGGATGCACACCTGCCTCGGCAGCCCCCTTGGTGCGTGCCTCAACAAGACCGCCAATTAGCACAGACACCAGCTCTCTTGTGACCATGGCCTTTTTGCGATGATATCCAATCTGGCCTAATACGGCGGCAATTCCGCTGAGAATCTGGACTCTGTCTGCCGTAGTCAAGAGCTCGGTAGCTGAGGAGGGGAAAGCCTTGAACAGTGTGTTCACTATCTGTTGGCGGCTTGGAGTGATGATGAGTCTTGGAGACGTTGTCAGGTAGACTTTGGGGGTTTTTCCGACGACAATCATGTTGAGACACTCTTGATTCAGAATGCCGTTACAGCCGTGCAGCGATGACAAGATCTTGCAAAACCGAATGGTGGTTTCCGAGAACGGCAACGGCGGCAGACTCTCACTTGATATTCTGGAATATAGACTGAGAATTCGATCCAAAAGCTCAGGCAGCAGCAGTTGCAAGTTGCGCAAGTGCTTAGGTTGAGTCGGATCAACAAGTTCTTCAACCTTCTGTGAAGCTGGTCGATCTTGGATTGGCAGGCAAACAATGGGTATCTGGAACTCTAGATTCAGCCAGCCAAGCAGGAAAAGGTTCATGAGGATCAATTCGAGCGCCTTTCCGTGCCAAATATGGTCATTCAACGACCGCGCAACTTGAGCACCTTCGCTCAGCTCTCGGAGCGCATCGCTCCATCGACCTGCCTGTAAGTACATAGATCCAATGACAACACCAGCACGACCTTTTCCTCGGAGACGCCATCGATCGTTGGCGCCACCAGGTCCAAAACCTTGTACTGAAACTCTGTCTCTGCTCGGATCACGCGACCCATCGCCACTCCTTGCCATGGGAATCTTGGGCTCAGGCGAAGATGGTGAGCTAGTGGGTCCACTCTCTGTGCCGTCGACCGACGGCACAGAACTATCACGTCTTTCTCTCTGCGTTGGAGTTTCTGGACGAGGTGTTGAACCACTCGATACGGACATGGTTCGCGTAGGTACAGGCGGCATGGACATTCTAGACTGCCCTCGGTCGCTCATCGCTGAGCTTGACCGTATAAGATGTTGTGGCAAGTGAGAGTTGCGTCGCGGGGCCCCATTGGACCAGTCATCATTCACTCTCATATTTTTCGCGGCATATGACCCGGGAGAATCTATCGAAGTCATCGCTTCGACAGACTTGGCCAGTGTAGTCATTTCTGCGAGGAGTAACGAGGAGATATTGCACATAACTGATTTCATTGTCGTTCGTTTCGAATTCGCGGGTGTGGGTATCGTTGTTAAATCTTCGGGGATGTTTATCTCGCCAGAGAGAGGTACATAATCAAAGACTAAGACCTGGTGAACCAGTGACTTTGGGTAGACGTCTCGAAGGTCCTCAAGCTCTTGGTATAGAGCGCGGAGGTTTCTCTCTGTTGCTGTAAGGCCGGTGCCATTTGAAGAATGTCGTTTGCTGAATGTAGCATCGCCAAGCTCGCTGCCGTCCGCAATCGCAATGATAACGAGGGGTTCGCGATAGAGGTCGAAGGGCGACAGGGCCAGGTGTGAAGGCGGCGGCGCGTGAGAGATTAGATCATAGAGGATGACGCCGTCCGGATACGCGAGAGGCGAGAACATGTCTATCATGTAATTAGCATTGACCTCATCCAGGAAATTGCGCTGTGCGCATCGCCAGATGATGCCTTCAACGGTGGCCACGCTTACTCCTATTCGGGCGGCTGTCCGCGGTGATGTCTCGCAAGTACACCACATTTTCGCCTTGAAGTCTCTCGACAAATGAGGCGAATCTGTCTGCCTTTATTTTTCCGACAGGAAGGAGAAGAGCCTTCACCCTTGCGGGCGCAATGGGGAGTAAAGGATCCAGGCTCATTCTAGCAAGTGATGCGCATGGTTTTGTACACGAGGTTTGCGGGGTTGGGATGCGCGGTGGCTGGCGCCGGCTGTGCGACAGCTCGCTGTAGGGATATAAACGCGCAAAGAAATGCAATCAAGAACGGCAGGCTCGCAGAAAACGTGGTTCAAGGGATGCTGCATACAGCCGCGTCGCAGACTGGCAGTTGTGGTCGCGAGGCTTGGTGGGACCAGGAGATGTCGGTCTGGACACCAAGCGGGTTGGTGCAGCAGGTGGGGAGCTTCACTTGTGTAGCAGAAGGTCTGGACACCTTGCCACCAGCCACCCAGCAGCTGACACTTTTGAAGAATTAGAAGAATAAATGGAACTGGAGAAATTGATTGAATAAGAACAATTTGATAAGTGAGAAATAAATTGCAGTAAATGGGTATTTGAAAAGGGACGTGAACTATGAGCAGCCCCAACGCCTTGACGCTGCCACCAGCGCAGCAACTGGGCCCTTCCTACGAGCATGTACAATTACGCAGATGAGGGCCCCGGATCTTGCGATTCAATCGTTATCTTCCGTTCCCGAGCTTCCTTGTTGAGCTCGCTGTCGAAGATATCAACAGCAAGACTCGCGTCTACAAAATCTTCCATCTCTTCCACGACCGTCTTGAGCTTCTCCCGCACAGCAAAAGCGCCTTCTGTCCCGACAATGTGTCGTGAAGGGGGATTTTCATGTCCACCAATCGCTGTCAAGGCGTGGACCGTTTCGGCGACAAGCCTATCCAAAGCCGCATGCGGCAGTGCCGGATAGCGATGCAGAATCTCGCCGACACCAACATCTGGTTCTAGGGAGATGGACTGCAAGTCGCCCTCCGTCGTAGTTGGTGAGTCCGGGACCTCGAGAGTAGGCGGCATCACAGTGTCGGGGTTGGTGTTGAGCACATTGACTAGCATGTCGCGAACACTCGGTGCCGGGTTATAGTTTGGGGCATACGCGGCGATTTGCGGTGCAAACGTTATGCGATTCGTCAGGGATTGGATCTCCTTGTTGGGTTGTACGATTGTCACCTTGACGTTAAACGGGGCGACTTCGTAGGCAAGCGAGTCGCAAAAGCCTTCCAATGCCCACGTAGCTGCGGTGTATATAGACATGCCAGGGGTGCCAATGTGGCCTCCAATGCTCGTCAAGGCTATGATGTGACCAGTGTGCTGCGCTCGAAAAACTGGCAACGCCGCCTTGATGAAGTTGACCTGCGAGAAAAATATGGTTTCGAATTGGTCGCGGACCAGGTTCTGGGTGCCGGGAGTGTTGGAAAGCTCTTCAACCGTTCCGATAACAGCTGCACAGTTGGTTAGTCCATTTTCTGCAACAGTCTGTCACGGGTTTGCCTCTCTCACCTTCTGACTTGCAGCAGAGCAAGATATCGATTCGACCAAAAACCTGCACGGCCTCGTCGATAGCTGCACCACAGCCACTGATGGCGCGGCCGTCACAGCGTATGGAACGGATCCGGTTCTTCCAACCATCGCGATCCTTTCTATTGCTCTTACATTCGCTGATGAGGTCCCGGAATTCGGCGCTCCGGTCGTCGTCTTCAATCTCATGAGGGGGCAAGCATGCGACAACGTAGTCACCGTGGGCCAGGAGCTGTCGAATGAGGCGCACCGCCAGCGGCGACAACGCAGCTGTGATGAGCCATGTGCGAGGCGAGTTGTGGGTAGCTGCAGGAGGCGGCGAGCTGTCAGCCATGGTCACAAAAAAAAAACTAATTGCTAGGGAAGTAATCTCATGTCTAGGAGCACAGGGTGATGAGGAAGAAAATCGTCGGTCGCGAGAATGCCATGCGGCTGCAATTGGAGATGAAGGAAGGCCAAAGCAAAAGCAAAGTGGTGGCAATAAACAAACAATAGGTCGCCGCTGAGTGACGGCGGGGAAGTGGAGGGGCCGGCAGCTGTCTTTGGCAGAGGCCGTGGGGGTAGCCCTGTAACTTCTCCCAAATGGGCTGACATCAACATAGGCGGGTGAGCTATGGCGCCGCGCCAGTGGCAACGGCAACGACATGTAAAATGTGCGAAACGGAGGGGGCCATAAAGACGGAACGAGACGCGACAGCGAACAAAATACAAAAAGGGAATGAAGCTATTCACAACGCAGGTAAACTTACGAAAGGCGTGTGAAGGGGGGGCTCCAAATGTTTGGCGGCTGGCAGATGTGCTGTCGTGCCTTGCAGCTGGCGGCCGGCTGGCAGAGGCCATATGGCCGAAGCGCTGTTTGTATATAAGTTTGGCAGTTGGCAGTGGGCGATTGTGCTCTAGCAAACACAGCTCGCCCGCCCTCACGACATTGACACGGCCTCAAAAAGACGCCTCTGGAAAGACGCGACGATTGATGCCCGATCAACGGGAACCACGAAGCAAAACCGGGCAGCCTCGAGGCTTTCAGCACAAGTGCCAACCGAGTTGATCTGCCGAGCGCCGCCAGGATGGGGTAGCGTTTGAGGGCAGAGCGAGTGGCTTCCTTGGTGCGGATGGCTTGCCAACAAGACTGCAAAGAGGCGGTGCTGGGGTCGGTGAGAGATGCTGAGGAAAAGACGTGTCGGAATAAGCAAGGGAAGAAGAAGAAAATTCGAGATGATCAGAAAACGAGTCGCGACAGGTCCTCGAAAAAGGTAGGGCTCCTTGGCCTTATGTGTGGACTACGACTACCACCACCCACGACCCCAAGCCAGTCTGACCGGGGCTAGTATTGCTGAACGATCTAGGACAAGGGCTGAGAGCTACAAGCCGGCTCGTTCGCTACTCAACTGTTGTACCGCGCCCACCGAGTTCACAAAACAGCCGCTCAACTCGGGATGGCATGGTCGTCATGAAGCTCCCCCCTCGCTAGCTACCTTGTGACGGGGGCGTGGATCCAGCAACTCGACATAGATTATGGGCCTCAACGTGGTAAGTGCCGTTGGTACTACTTACCGTGTACACGCCCTATTTAGTCAGGTCCAATTTTGCTACGTCGCTGTCGTAACGACCAGGTAGTTGCGGCTACTGGAATTAGGCCCTGTTTTCAAGTCTTGGACGTGCTCTCTCTGACCTCGAGAAGAGGTTTCGTCGGTTTCGTCAGCCTCTTGCCCAGCAAGCCCGCGTGGCCCCCAGAGAGGTGTGGGTTTGGCTTCAAAGGCAGCCACTTTCGTGGAGAGACCAGACTTTGGGTCTGGTTGGGTTATGTTTGCATGGCACAGACAGCGGCTCAACATCCACCTTCAAGTCACAGGTCTAAATGATCGGCGCCGCCGGCTGCAAGCTTCTAATAGCCCTCTATTGTTTGACTCGCAACTCGCTCTTGAATGCGGCCACCCAAAGTTCACCGACGGATACGCGCCAGGGTGCCTCTTCAATGCGGGACTCGCCCGGCATATCACACTACTCCGTGCCACGCGAACCAAGGTGAAGGTTTCTCTCACCATTGCTCCGTGCAAGCCTGATCATTGCATTATTTTCGTTATGCTCAATGCCGCAGTCGTTTGCTTCCAGTACTCAGGTACCCATTCCGGAGGGGCGGAAGTGTTGCGCCGCCTTTTAGTGACAGGCTAGTCACTTCACCATCGTCGCCTTTCCCAGCTCCTCCCTGGATTGTTTAATTCCTATCAGCGCATTCAATTCGTAACTGTTCCGGGAGAAATTCCCCCGAAAGTCAGCCACAGCTCCGAGACATTTGGTAACCTTCTCAGCCAGGTTTAGAACCTGACTAGGCTCCCCTGCCCCCAAAGTGAGCAGCAGCAGGCACAGGGGTCGTATGCAATGTATAACAAGTTTGAGATTGGACCAAAACGTGGCGACTTGGCCGATCTGGTGGATTGGACGTGTTTGTTTTCTCCGTCTTTGTGTCTTTGTTCTTCATCTTTGCTCTTTCCACTTGGGCTCACAGTGGCGTCTCATTTCCAACAGCGCTGCCGCGTCTGAGGGTTGAAGAGTGTTGGCCATCTGACGAGTTCTACAAATTACCTTGGTCGTACATGTCGTGTTAGTGATGTTTGAAGGCACTGATTACACACAGACACAGGCTAGAGCCCTTGAAGTTGGCTCGTGCAGCATTGCCTGTCCATATCTAGAATCCGAGGGAGCAAGGGATTCTACTGTCATCGAGTCAGGTAACTAATTTGTACTGACAAGCCACCTTTTGTGGCGCGGCCCCCGACACGAGTCCAATGGCCGCATACGGTTACGTGGATGATGCGTCACGACATTAGGCCTTCGAATGTGTGCGATAGCGGTTATGCCCCGATCATATTTGCCAAAGCTTCATGCAGGCGTCTTTCGAGAAGCACAGTCCTTATTGAACAATCATAACTAATTGATGAGATAGATATCGGCGATATCCCCGGTAGACCGGGCAAGCGCAGGAAACCCGCTCCCCCACCAGAACGTCGGTGGAAGAGCTAGAAGCAAGTTCTCGCCAAAATAGACTACGCCTAGGCCTCTTTGATGAATGGTACCTGGCAGGAGATAGGACGTGGGGTGCAGTCTCCAATACCACCGTGTTTAGCGGGATTCAATGCTGCTAGGGCCAAATGTGCTGCATCGAGGCCATTGGCCAACAAGGGTCGTCCTCTGCAGCCGATGATCTCGCCTCACTCGGATGGTTGGATGCTGGATGGTCAAGTCATAATGACACCGGCGCTAATAAGATGCAAGGAGTCGGGTGAGCCCGCTCAGAGAAAATATGTGACAATTGGGCCTAAATACGCCGTCGAATGATGAAAAGCCATTACTGGATTGCAGATGTTAACCATACATAAATACCACCCGCGAGTCTGCCAAAAGTGGTGACCGTGGAGAAGAAGGTTTTGTGCCGCTTGAGCCTTGGTGGAACCCCGCGCTCGGTAACTAATGTTCAATTGCCAGGTATTTAACCGTAATCAACAACTAGGTATACAGTACTCTGTAAGTCGGTCCAGAACAACAGATGTCTGCAGTGAATGCGTCATTCTCAAAAGTGGCCAGGGCTGGCTAACGGCTGGGCTAGCGCCGCCAGTGGTCGGTGCACTGTTGGTCGTGTCGTCGTCGAACCGTCGGCCACCACAATCGCTGCAACAGAACATCAATCATTTCTACAAATTACACATCGTACTCCTGCGCTTGACAGCCGAGACAAGGCTGAAGCCGACTTTCCGTATTTGAAAGGCAAGTACGGAGCTCCGAAGGCGCAGTTTTGCCTCCGCTAACCATGATGGTTTTAGTTAAATATCACAATCACGGATTAATCACCCAGGCCACGAGTTTCACCAATGTGGAACAGGGCATCCCTACACGACAGCTCAACCTTTTTAGTTATTACAGAGGGGCAATAGCGTCCACGACAAGCCCTGTCCCTGTCTGTCCACCACCTGGGCCCGCCCCTCCCTCCTATTTTGGTATGCGCAGAGCTGAGGGGTGTGGAGGATGTGGACGCCAAAGAATCAGATGAGAAACGCCTTGGCTCAGATTTGTATCAGACAAGCAACACGCGTGAAGAGGCGATTCAATCGCGATCAAGGCCGGTCGCGCTTACAACCGAGCGTCAGCCACGGCCTATGCTGCTGGCAAAGCTGGTCTTTATTACCTACATACATGTATGTATGAGGGGTGTGTGCATCGTGACTGTGTGACGCCCCCTTCTGACCGGCTTCCTCTTAACGAGAACATGAGCCGATTGACATGCAGGCCACCTAACTAGTTATGGGGCTGGGATAACGCCACTTTTGCGGATGTTGACAGATAACTGGCTGCAACCACATGTCCGCGATGAAACCCGGTATTTCTATAACTCGGTCTTGGCAAGGGCCCCGTTGGCGATGCTACGTTTATCTTTGTGTGTTTGCCCTTGAAACCAATGCATACCACAACGGGCCCAAAGGTTTTCCGCAGCACATCCGCGCTGGCTGGGGTGTCGCAAGGCTTGTGCGTCTGCGCCGCCGCCTCAGTCGCCGCATATGTACGAAACCGAAGAACCAACTCCCCCCAGGCGCTATATACATAGCTAAGTTAGACATGACCCAACGACGATGGGTTTGAAGGAATCACAAACGGCTCCACCTCGGCTGCAGAAAGTCTTCCGGAACGCCTTGCGACCCTTGTCTTTGTTCCCTCGCTGGCAGAGTCGAGATCGAGCTCTGCGGAAGTGAAAGGGGGCAGGATGGGGATGACAGCCAAAGTGTGCCGTCGCTTAGATTGAGCCCGGATCAGGGTATATCGCCGGCACATCGCCGTGCCGAGGGCCAGGCAAGAGCCAATCGCTTCTGACGAACAATCGAGTGCATCATCTAATTAGTACTCCGTAGCGCCTGCCAATCGGTGGTGAAGAGTACATAATTCAGATCCCCAGGGCGCGCGTCACGGATGCCCGGCCATCCTTGGCAGGCACTGAAAGGTTTCAGCTGTTTCTATTTCGGTATTTCTGCACGCCATCCCGCCACCCGTCTGTGGAATGGGTAATTAAAAAGCTCTAGAAGGCGTACAGAAAAGACAGAGAGGATCTAGAGTCATTGCGTCCGCGCGGAAGACGGGTAGCTCAGAGCGTGCGACGCACAAGAGCTTTAGCACGTTTTTTTTTCCTCCACTTGCATTTGTTTTAGACTTTTTGTTTAGAAATCGGTTCTCAATGTAGATCGTGCTGGAAGGGAAACGAAACTGCCGAATAGGGCCGTGTTTCACAGGTATGGCTAGCCCGGGGGCGCCGAGCTGGGGCAAAAACAAAAAAGTGCCTCAAATGGCAAGTAGACTTGTCCTTGAAACGCCGCGCGATGACACAGAAGATTGCGTCTTTGGCTTCAACGCTTCTTTGTTTTGGTTGTTTTTCACTACTTTCCGGGTTACTCGCTCACGCCCCATGACACGGCCCGTTGGTACGCATGTGCCGTTGCGTAATTCACCTCGGGGAGAGTGGTCGAAGCGTTGAGAAACGATTCCGGGTTGGGCAACGGCGGGGGCCTCTGTTTAGCCAAGAAAGCAAGCAAGTCACAAGATGCTCGGCAATTCGAAATCGAAAGCGGCAGCCAAAATACCGGTGAGAGGAGGAACGTGTGATTGATTCCATTGGTCATGGTTAAGGTTTGAGAAGACAAAGGTTTACGCGCTTGCGAACATGACACGACCTGCCGAGGAAACGGAAAGCGCTCGCGAAATGGAAGTGCCGAAGGAATGACGAAGCATTGGAAAACTCGACTGGTATTCAAACAACAACATGGGTTTATACTATGACAGAGGGACGGAACAAAAGCGGCAGTTGAATGTTGGTCACGCGTCGCTCAAGCAGCGGCGGACCTTGTTTTCCGATCATGTTCCTTATCCGCAGGTGCTTCGTGGACAGTGTCGATGGTGGGTGTATGTCTGCCCGTCTCAGAGTCGCCGTCGAACTTGCGGTGGAAGGCGTCGGTGACACCAAAGAGCTCGTCCATCTTCTCGAGCGACAAGCCCTTAGTTTCGGGGACGAAGAAGTAGACAAAGACGCCCATGAGGAAGCAAAAGCTGCCAAACATGAAATACATGCCGTACCCGGCGCGGCCCATGGTGCTCTGCATGGTGAGCACGGTTCGAGCGGCAATGAAGTTGAAGAGCCACTGAGTGGCAGCGGCGACGGAGACGTTGAGGGCACGCAGGCGGGCGGTGGGAATTTCGCTGACGAGGATCCAGCATGCCGGGCCCCAGCCGAACTGAAACGATGCCGCCCACAGGTAAATGCAGGTGATGGCAACGTAGCCAAAGGCGGTAACGGGCTGACCTTTGACAGGGGGCTGCACGCGGCCGTAGATGCCGATGATGAAGAGGACGACACCCTGCGAGCCGGCGGTGGCGATGAGGCTCCGCCGACGGCCGAGCGAATCGGCGACGAAGAGCAGGAAGAGGGAGCAGCTGATGACCTTGACGACGCCATAGATGCCGGTGGCAAACAGCGACGAGTTGGTGGCGTCCATGCCCAGATTGGCAAAGAGTTGGGGGGCGTAGTAGTTCTACCCAAATCAGCGGTTTTCTTGATATGGTGGCATGGTGGACTTACAATGGCATTGACGCCGGTGAGCTGCTGGCAGATCATGAGCATGATGGAGATGAGGGCGCGGTTGCGGTTGCCGGGGATGAAGAACATTTCGCGAAAGAGAGCCTTGGGCGAGCTGCCGCCGGTCAGGCGCCGCTCAATCTCGAGCTGGTCGGCCATTTCCTGTATCTCAGCCTGCACGTAGGGGTCCGTGGGGGGCAGGTCTCGGAGTCGCGAGAGTGTCGCGGTGGCCTCTTCCCAGTTGTCCTCCTTGGCGAGCCAGCGGGGGGATTCGGGCGAGAGGGTCATGCCGACGATGAGGAGAATGGCCGGGAGCGACTGGAGGGCGAGCGGGATGACATATTGGGCGGGGGCGGGGACGTGGAGAAGACAGCCATAATTGACCCTGCGCGAGGTTAGTAACTAAGCAGCGGTTTCTATCTCTCCAATGCTATGCCGAGTGGGGGTCCCAGGAGGATTGTTCGTACCAGAAGGCGACCATGATGCCAAACACGTTAAAGAGCTGGTAAAACCCCGTGAGGCCGCCACGGATCGCGCGCGGGGCGCACTCGGAGACGTAAACGGGGGTGAGGGCCGACGCGGCGCCACACCCGAGCCCGGCGACGAAGCGGCCGACGTACATGACAGCAAGCGTCCCGCGGGCGGCCGACGCAGCCTGCAAGACGACGCCGATGGTGGTGAGCGCGCCGGCCGCGACGAGGACCCGACGTCGGCCGAAGCGGTCCGCGGCCCAGCCGGTGATGAAGCAGGCGAGGAAGCAGCCCGCCTGGAGGGTCGAGACAATGTTTTGCTCCAGGTCGGCCTTGTTCTTGGCGGGGCTGTCGAGGAAGCCGAAGCGGGCCTGGGTGGCAGGCATGTGCAGGATGCCGCCAATGGCGCCCGTGTCCCAGCCAAAGAGCATGCCGCCGAAGCAGGCGGCGCAGACGAGGGCGAGGACCCGGCCGTTGTAGATGGCCGTCGGGTCCTCGCGCATGGCGTCGTTGCGCACAATGGCGCGGAGAAGCCGGGCAACGGCGCGGGCCATGATTAGGTGGGTGAATATTGGTGTAAAGGCGAACGAGGAGGAGGAGGAGGAGGAGGAGGAGGAGGAGGAGTAGCCCCTCACGGCGGCGGCGGCGGTTGATCAGAGGCGCGCAGGAAACTTGACGAGCAAGAATGGAGAGTTGTCTTGTCGAGTCGAGCGGGGAGGGGAGGACGGGTGCCCCCACGATGTTCTCTGTGGTGAAGGGGGACAAGGGGGATATATGACCCACGACTGACCACAACCAAAAGAAGCGCAGTACCGGCGTGTTCGACGTGAAAGAGGGGAGAGAGTCTTCTTCTTGTTACCCCAGTCCTGGCGATATCCAGTGGCTTGCATTGGTGCACCAGAATAGACGAAGCTACCAGATGAAGATGCGCTAAAACACCAAGTGCCGGCCTTGGTGGCCAGAAATTGATCTTTGATTGGTGGGAAGTCAGCAGGAGGCGTTGAAGGCGCACTGTACGGATGAGGCCATCGCGGGGAAGTTGCACTGTGCTGGGCGGGCCGACTCTGGCCAACTGCGGAGAAGAGGTCAGCCTCAAAGATTGAATTTTCCTCGAATGAATTGGCGCTCCACTGCTGGGTTGGGTGTTGGGTTGGACATGGTGTTATCGATAGGGAGGCATAGGCTGTGTTCGGGTTTGGAATGCACAGTGCGAATCATTACGGACGTTGTAGCCTCTCAGACCGCGCAGTATAATAGCTCCCAAACACTGCACCATGCATGCTACCATGGTACTCACAAGGATAAGTGTATAAAGTGCAAGCGCCTTCTGCCTTTGGCTTTTTGATATTTCTTTCATCGAAACAAGGTACTCGAAGGTGCCATCTGCTACGCCGCAGTACCCTACAGCCTTTACTCTCATTCACGTAGTAAAATGCAGCTTGTAAAGGAACAAGGATGAGAACTGTACTCATTGGCGCCTACCGGCAATGGAGACAAATCAAAAGAGCGAAATCTATGTATCGCGCCAGAGAATGGCCTACGAAGCGCATAGCACATGTAGCACACTAGCCATGTGGTTTGTTGTCGCGTCCAAGAGTGGATATCCAGTCATGAAAAAAAAAACGGTCGAGTGCGATGGCGTCCTTCATAGAAAAGTACAAAAAGTCACAACCATCACAGAACAACTAAAAATCCCCCTATCACCCACGCTTCGATTGTCTGGATATTGATGGATATGCAAAGCGCCGGAGAGGAACCTACGTCCCAACCAGATAGACCCTCTGGACTGGATGGGCTCATCGACGCCCAAGCAGGGCGAAAGTACTGGGAAAACGCCGAAGCCACCGATGATGGCATGCTAGGCGGCATCCCGACTTTCAAAGCCTACAGCCATATTTCACGCATGGACATCCAGGCGTCCCGCGCATTTCTGGCGAGACTAGGTATTGGCCTCAAAGCCAACCGCGCGCTTGTCAAGAGCGCCGTTGACGCTGGAGCAGGGTATGTTGAGCGCCAAGAGGTCATCGTCGCCGTAGCCCTTGCTGACTTTATGCCGCTGCTCATCCGGGCGATTTACAACCAGAATTGGAAGAATCACAACAAATCTGCTATTGCACGTCGCCGACGAGGTCGACGTGGTGGAGCCCGTCGCCCGGTTTACCGAGCCGCTGAAAGGCACAAAGGGCGTGAGACAGATTTACAACGTTGGGCTCGAGGAGTGGCAGCCTATCCAAGGCACAAAATATGACATAATATGGACGCAGTGGTGTCTGGGCTACTTGACCGACGCGCAGATTCTCAAGTATCTCGAGGTGTGCAAGACGGTCCTGACACCAGAAAGCGGCCTCCTAATTGTCAAGGAAAACGTGAGCAGCGGCTTGGAGGACTTGTTCGACGCGGCAGATAACAGCGTCACAAGGTATGATATTTCTCCGTACGAGGCGAAACCCGCCTCGTGAAAGTTTAATGGACAAGAAAAGTTTGACCAACAAGAAAAATCGACAGACTAGACGAGAGGTTTCGCCATCTATTTGCGCAGGCAAACCTAAGAATCGTTCGGACAGACGAACAGCCCGTTCGCCCTCTACAGCAGGCGAGAAGACTCCTCCCAGTACGCATGTACGCTCTAAAACCACAATCGCAATAGACAACCCATAATACCTGCGACATCCCCTCCCCCCCCCCGCCGCCGCCTCCCCGCCTCCTCGCTTCACCAATCGCGCCCAGGATGAGGGGAGCAACTCTATTCATAGCGCTTTTGCAATCTTTTATGAAGGATAAAACGGTACACCTAACCCATTTGCTCCCCACAAGTTCCTATGAAGACCCAAGCAATCAAGTAAGGAACGCGTAGAGTACCTCGACAACTGCCGTCAGAAGACTTTCCCCACCAACGTCTCAAAACGGCATCTGAACTATCACACCGTTCCCTCGCAGTTGGGGAGCTGCTGCAGCGCCCAGACCTGCCAATTTCTCGGAGCGATGCTGTATTATGATGACTTGTGGTGCAGCGCCAGACACCTGCTTACACTGGATGTCAGGCCTGCCCGGTCGAGAGCCAGAAGTTAACCGAGTTCCCACGCAGACTACGTACCACACGATTTTACTTAAATTCCATACCCCGAGATAATCTACGGCCAAGTCGACTTTCGAGGGCTGACCGCACCGCAAAGGTTCGGGGCCACATCCAAAAACTGACAACTGACAGAGAGATGCCATAAGTCTCGCTCACTGCGTTTTTCTCACGAAAACCTAGAAGCTTCACAGCAGCACCACGTCAATATTCGTGGAAGAGATCTTAACCCTCGTTAGGGCTGTAAGTTATTCTTCCATAAATCCCAATGCGGATTTAGGTTCAATAATAGCGACTCGTTACAGGCCAACACCGATCATCGTCTGAGCGCTAGTCCTACCGTAGTCTGAGCACTTGTCCTACCGCTGACAGGCAGTCTGAGCATTAGAGGGCATGACAGGACATCCATACATCCCATCTTGCATAAATTGGTCTAGTTACTGATCTAACGATCGGCCATATGGGGCTACGCTGGCACCGTCTGTGGCCTTGAAAACTTGATAAGTTGAAAATATGACGAACCCTACGTAACACTGCCGCTGCCGGGGATGAAAGTGAGCCTTGGGCGAACTGCCGCCAGTCAAGCGATACTATGTGGATACGCAGATCTCGAAGAACTTATCGCACAGAGCACTGCCCCAATAAGAGGGCTTATCTTATCTATACCGACGATAAGCGTAGATAAGCAATAACCTTAGGTATCCTAAGATATAATATTATCTTATAACTTAAATTATATAGCCTAAGGCTAAGAAATAGGATATATAAATTAATTAGTTATTCCTTATAGCTTTATTTAATATAAGGCTAATTATCCTTATTATCTTTACTTTTTATTATTTTTTTATAAACTATATTAACTATATTATTATTTTATATAATTATATTAATATTTTATAGTTATAAGCCTATAAGGTTTTAATTATATAAAGTATTTATTATAATTTAAAACTTTTTATAATATTTATATTATATAAATCTTTTTTTTTATTATTACTTTTATTTATTATTATTATTATTATTATTATTATTATTATATAATATTTTATTATTTTATTATTTTATTATATTATTTTATATTAAAGTTATAATTTTATTTAAACTTAAATAATATAATTTAAAAAGTTAGTTTAATTAAATTTAAGCTTTTTAGTTTTTTATAATAAGTATATAAATAATTATTAATCTTATAAAGAAAGATAATATTAAAAATATATTAAACCTTTTTAATATACCTATAGAAATTAAAATATATAAAATAGAACTTTATAAAGTTATAAAGCTTAAAATATATATTAAAATAAACTTTAAGATATTTAATATATTTAAAGCTTTATTTAATTAAGAATAATAAAAATATAAAATTACTTTATAAATATATAAGAAAAGTAAAACTAAGTTAAATAAGGTTTATAAATTTATTATATTATTTATTAATTTTTATTTAATAATTAAAATATATAATAAGTTTAAAAAAGAATATTTAAAAAGGTATATTATTTATTAATTAGTTAAGAAGTTTAAGTTAATTATTATTTTAAATTTAATATATATAAAGGTTAAGATAAATTATACTTATAGAAATATACTATAAAATATATATTAAAAGAATATTAGTATTAAGAAATAACTTAAGAATTAAAAGGTAATATATAATTATATAAATATACTTAATATATTATTAATTAATAGTTATTTTATAATTAATAATTTCTTTAAAGCTATTAAAATAAAGCTATACTTAAAATAGGCTTTATTATAGTTATATAAGAATAAAGTTTATATTACTTAAAGTAAAAAATTAAAAATAACCTTACTAGAATATAAAACCTCTTTTTATATAAGTAATAAACTATAACCTTTAAAATTAGCTTCTATATATAATATACCTTATAGTAATAAAAAGTATAAAAAGGATAAGCTTAAAGACTTTATATATCTTTATAATACTAAAAAAAGATATTAATAAAAGCCTAAAGAATACTATATACTTTAATTTACTATAATAAGTAATAAGAAAGTATATATTATAAGGCTTTTAACTATTTAGTAGATTTTTAATATTAAAGGCTACTTTAATATTAAATATAATATATATATAAAAGTAAAGTATATATAGTATAAAGGTAATAAGAGTTCTACTAATAGTAAAGGAAAGAGTAATAAATTTATATATATATTATTTAAACCTAAACTCTTAAAAGATTATAAAGATAAGTATAGCTTTTTTAAAAGACTAGTTTATATTATTAATATAACTCTTATAAACCTAGGTAAATACTATTTATATAAATCTATACTCTTTAATAACTATAATAGTATATATATTATTAATAATATAATACTTTTTAATTTAGAATTAATTTAAATCTTAAATAATAGATTTTCTATAAATACTAGTAAATAGATCTTTTAGCTAGATAATATTAAAACCTATATAATAATAAATATATTAAATATTAAAAGTAAATTTAAAACCCTAATATTAAATAATATATATATAATACTAAAAATACTAATTAATATTATATTAAAAATACTAGTTTACTTTACTAGTTTATAACTATATAGTTTTAATTATACTTTATATAAAGGGAATATAATAAAAAGTAAAGTAGTTTAATAGTTAATATAATCTAATAACCTTATATTCTTTAAATATATTCCTTTTTAATAATTACTAATATACTTAGAAGATAATATAGTTATAATATTATTAATATAAAAGAAAGAATAAAGCTATAAATACTTTACTTAACCTTTATCTATATTATAAGCTAATAAATACTTATAATATCTTTATTTAAGGTATTTAAGGTTATAGGCTTTAAATATAATTAATAAAAATATATTAAATATAAAGATTATTAGAATTAAGTATATTAACTATAAAAACTATATATTAACCTATATAGGCTAAGTTATCTCCTAATAACCTAGTTATAACCTTACTTAAAGACTATTTAATAAGATTAGTTAAGATTTTTAAGACTATCTTATAAGTTATAATAGTAAATTCTAATTACTTATTATTAAAGATAAGTATATAGAGTATATTTATTATTAGCTATTACTTTTAAAAATATAAAGACTTTTATTTTATATTATTTAAGCCTTTTATATTTAGGTAAAAACTTAATATAGACTAGATATATATATAATATAGTAAGATAATAAGCCCTTAATAATTTAATATAATTCTATTTATACTAAGTATTAGCTATAAATATAAAAAAAAGAAATTACCTTAAAGATATTACTACTATATATAAAAAAGCTAAATAATAGTATTAAGTATATAAAATAAAAAATAACTATATACTTTATTAAGATATTATATAATATTAACCTTTTAAAGAACCTATAACTAGAAAGTTATATAATTATTATAATATTAATATAGATTAGTCTATTATAAAGATATAACTAAAAGATATTATATAAAGTATTTATTAAATAGCTATAAAAGAACTTCTAAATATATATATATAAACCTATATTTATATTAAATACTTAGCTTAAGTAAGGAGTTTTATAAGTCTATAGATATTATATATATATACTATTAAAAGAAAGGGAGTAAGGGTTTAATAGAAAAGACTTTAAAATTAGCCTTAAAAGCTATATTAGATATTTAGTTAGCTATATTATAACTAATATTTATAAGGTATAGATTCTTTAATTAAAGTATATTATTATTATAAAGAATATATATTTTAATAAAAAGCTATTTTACTAGCTATTAATAGAAAGTATTAATATACTTCCTATTACTAAGGTAAATAGCCTTTATTAAGAATTATTCTAAAATAAAGAGAATAAGCTAAGGCTTTATTTAAAAATAACTATACTATTATACTTAAATAAAAGAAAGCTAAATAATATTATATTAAAAATACTAAAAAGCCTTATAATAAAAGTATTAAAGCTTAATATAGCTTAAGGTATAAGGTTAATAACTCTTAAAAGCCTTTAAAGAGAAATATTAGAAGTTATAATAAATAATAATACCTTATTAGTTAACTTTAAAGTAATATATAAATTAGCCTAAAAACTACTAAGTCTTAAGTTAATTTTACTTTTAAAGAAAGAAATTAATTATATTAATAAAGTAGTTATTTTAAAAAATAATAAATTCTAACTTACCTTAAAAAAACTACTATCTATTAATATAAATAGTCTTAACTTAAAAGAAAGTATTAAAAATACTTTATAATAAAGTATTAAAAGTATACCTATACTTAAACCTAATCTAATTATTTCTATTAAAAAGCTAGTTATTAAGAAGAATAAATATAATAATAAGCAGCTCTAAAGCCAGAAGAACAATCTCCTATTACCTAGTATATCTAGCACTTACCTATACTATATAACTAGATAGAAGTTATATAATATAATAACTTTACCTCTTACCCTATATATACCTTATTAGTCTTAATAGGTTATAAGCCTAATAATACTTATATTATAAAAGCTATTAATAAAATAAAAGAAAGTATTAATTTCTTATTAAATTTACTTACTATCTATATAAGCTAATATTTACTATAAAACTTAAGAAATTTATAACTCCTTATATATAGGAAAAGGAAAGACCCTAAACTCTAGCTAATTTAGAGTATATTTAA